CAGCACAGCCATATTTGATGGGTTTTTTTGTCGCTCCGGAGGCGGCGGGAGAGCAGTTGGGTGCCGAAGGTCGCTGCCTAGTGGAAATAAGAGAGTACGTCATTAACATGGCGCCGCGGCAGAGCGGGGCGGGAGGCGGCCGAGTTGCGGCTCCGCTATCCCGCGCGCAACTTGTGCCGGGCTGAGCGGGCAGAGGGAGGGAGAAAAGGAGGGAGAGAAGGGGACCCGCGGTGTCGCGCTGCGCTCCGGCCCGAGCTGCGGGCTGCGCCGCGGGCAGCGCCTGCCGCGGGGAGCGGGGTGCGCCGGAGCCGCTCGGGAGGAGGAGGGCGGCAGCGGTCCCGCCGGAGCCGCGCCGGGAGAGGGCACGGCCGGCGGCTGTCACCGCGGCCCCGCGCATCCCGGAGCCGCCCCGCCGCTCACCGCGGGAGGAGGGGCTGTGCGCGGAGCAGCGCGCTTACGCTGAGCGCCGGTTGGGACTCGGAGGGGAAAAAAACGCTTCGACAGCGTAAAAAGCGCCCTCGTTGGAACGGGGCACAAGTTGTCGCTCGGGCCAAGATTGGGGGGAGGGGGGTGCGGCGGGCAGCAGGTGCAGCGGCCCCTCGCGATGCGTGTGCCCGGCGCCGCCCCGCCCGCCCGCACTCGGGGAGTTTAAAGGCGCGCGGGGCGAGAGCGGCCACGTGGGGGGCGCGGTGCAAACTTGGTGGGGCCGTGGGGCAGCTCCCGGTGGGCTCCTCCCGCCCGCGGTGCGGCGCTCTGCCCGCGGGGTGCGCCGAGGGAAAATCGAACGCCGTGGCTGCCGTTGAAACGCGGCCGCGGCGGCGGGAGCCCCCCGGCCGCCGAGGCGGCTCCTGCCCCTCGCCCCGCGGCCGGCCGCGGCGGGGTCTCGGAGCCCGGTAACGGTCTGCGCTTCGCGGGGCCGGCCGCGGCGTTTGCGGTGCGAGACAAAGCGCCGCGTCGCCGCCCACGGCACCCGCTGCCGGCATGGGCTCTCCTCTCCCCGCCCGTCCGTCGGCGCCGCGGGGCTCTCCGCGTTTCGGGGCGGGCGGAGCGGCGGGCGTTTGTTTGTGCGCAGCGCCTGCTGGCTGCCGCCTGTGACAAGAGGTGATGCACAGTTTCCAGAACTGTCTGGGAGTGGGAGGAGAGACAGACACCGACACGAGCGCGAGTCCCCGCCGCTCGCCCCGGCCCCCCCGTGCTCTCGCGCCGAGGGCGGGGGCGGCGCCGCCGCCGCTCCTGCGGTGACGGCGCTCGGGGCGGTGGAGCGGCGGCGGGGCAACAAGTTTAATTTGCGGCCGGGGCCGAGCGGATTGGTGGCGGCCGGCAGCGGGGAGGAGCGGCGGCAGGGGAAGGAGGCGGGAGCGCCGGGCCGTTCAAATGGAGAGCGGCGGCGGCGCGGCCTGGCTGCTCCGTTCCTTTTGGTGGGGTGGACGTTGGGGTGGGGACGCCGCGTGAGGAGAGGGGAAGAAGAGAGGAGAGGGTTGCCGAGCCGCGCCGCGCCCGGCGGCGCCCGCGAAGCGGCAGATTTGAACTGGTTCCCGCCCGCCTGAGGGCGGCACGCAGCGCGCAGTGGAGGCGCCCGCGGGGAGGAGCGCGCGCGATCGGCGGCGGCCCCCTGCCTCTGGTCCCGGCCCTCGGCTGACAGCGCCGCTCTAGTAAAGTCCCTCGATGGCCCGCAGGTGAGCTCAGCGGGGTTCCGAGCCGCCGGCCGTGCTGTGAGAGCTGCCAGACGTGACGTGCAAATGAGCGGTTCGTGTGGCTGCGCAGCGGCACGAAAATGTGTGGGTTCCCCGCCGGTAGCACTAGAAGTTGGGATCCCTTTTAACGACACACCTTGGGTGGCTTTTTAATTCACAATCAGGAAGATCTTCTGTGCCGATTGCATTTATTTCTTTTTAGAGACGAGTTTTGCCGGGACTAGGAATAGTGACCACCTTAAGCAGGCGCTGTCTTTTAAGTGAGTGAAAAGCTGCCCACACTTGCAAACCTGAAGCCTTCGCAAAGTGGTGCCAGAACGCGCTCGTTGTGATACTGTTTGGAGAGATTTCTCACCCTTAGCGGGATGTTGTTGGAGCGGTAGGGCTGTGCTCCCGCAGCAGTAAGGTTTTCCCTCTGGCTGCACACACTGCTTGCTCGCTGTTTTTGAGCTTTGTGTAATAGGCGTGTTTAAAATACAATAACCATAATAAACCTCCTTCTCCTTCGCAGCTGCACATTTCCCTTCTAGCTTCTCTGGTTTCATTCCCAGTTTGCTGCAGAAGAAAATGTGCAGTGTTTCCTCTTGTGCTTTCTCCCAGCTGTTCATCCTGCTGCCTGGTTCCAGTGGGACTGTCTGAGCTGACAGCTCCTTGGTGGCAGGACAGAATTGTGGTGGCTGTAGGGTGGGCTGGGTGTGCTCCAGAGCTCAGTTTGCCGGGACTTTGGGCAGTCGCTTCCCCCAGCACAGCTTGGGAATAGGTATTAGGAACCAACTTTGTACAGGTGCACCAATGAGCGTGTGGACCTTGGGTGTGGTGGCCTCAGACATGAGCATGTACTGCTTTTCCTTATCGGGTTTGGGGCAGAGGCGCTGCAGTTAGTGGGAGCAATCTTAGTGAAGAGTGCTCCTGGCCTGGAAACTTGCTGCCTTTGTTTAAGAAACCCTAAAGGCTTTCTCTCCAAATCTGTGTCTTGGGCTTTTTGTGCTGCAGGCTGTGCCACACAGCACTGTGGTGTTTCACCATAGGTTGAAATGCGGACTCTTCTTTGTGACTATTGAACATCGCTCTCAAAGCTTTTATTGGTGCTAAAGAGTTTGAGTTAAGAAGTTTTATGTAGGTTGGAATAGTTGATAATATTTTTGGTGTAACTGCGCCTAGAAGAAAACAGCAGTTTTCTCTTCTTGCACCAGATGTCAGTTCATGAGGAGCAAGGTGATGCCACGACCCAGCTACTGAACTGAGCACAGCGGAGGAAACCAGATGTGTTTATCTGCTGTTCTTGTCATTAAGACTGTGTTATACTTCCATGCACACAGTGAGTGTTCTGAAGTGATCTCTGGTGTACTGGCTGTAATTAGGTCTTTGTTTCAGGGCATTTAGTGTGTTACTTTCAGGAAAAGCCAGTTTTCAGTTTGTCTTCATTGTGTGCATCTGTCATAATTCTGCTTTCTTTCCATCGTGTCTCTGCAGCTGCTCGTTGCAGTTCGTTACATTGACACCTGTTAACACAGTTATGGTTAGTTGTCTGTTAGAGTTTGAATGATAAACTTTCTACGTGGAGATTTATCCCTGAAGGTACTCTAGTGAGAACTCCACTGTAGAAAGCCTCTGACTTGCAGAAGTAGACTTGTTCAAATGCGGTTATTTTTAAGAATCTGTTTCTTTTTCACTATTGGCATTACAAAGGCTTTGGCACACTTTACATCTCTCTCTTCAGCCATGTCCACTCAGGGTCAAATGGAGTGACAAAGTATATCGTGCCATAACTGCTTAGTAGCAGTGGAAAAAAAAAAAAAAAAAAAAAAAAAGAGGGATTTTGGTATTACTGTCCTGTGCAGCTTCTGTTGTTTGTCAGTTGTTTCAAATCAATCTGCTGTAGAGGTAGGAAATGAGCAGCGCTGTGATGCTGCAGTGCATTTCTGTGCTGGGTCGTGTTGCTGTGCTCCCTGTGAAGAGTCAGCAGAAATGGCTAGAAATGGCTGTGTTCTTAGCGACAGCTTGTTGGTGTGTAGGGTGAGATGTTCATGGCTCAGCTCTGCTAGAACGTGTAGATCCACTGTGTGTTTGACATTGATTCTGCGTTATCATTTCGTCATTCCATTCATACCGCATTTTACAAGTGTTGTGAAGTAGAGGCTCTCTCCAAAGTGAAGTAGGCAGAAGAAACATTTCAGGCAGCGTAATCTTGTCTTTAAGATGATCACAGTATCAATTCTGCAGTGTTAACTCCAAGGTTAGATTTGTGTGTTTGCTGTTTGCCCAGTCAGCAAGTAAAGCCCAGAGCTTGGCTTTCAGACCTAGCGTGATGACATGGGGGGTTAAATCTGCTGGTGTTGTCTCTGGAGCATCATGCCTCAGGTGGAGGGTACTGCAGAGCCCACTGCAGGCTTCCTGTCAGCCACATTGCTTGATCTCTGAAACCGTGGCTTTGAAGTGGAGAAGCAAGGGTCCTTCTAAGAAGTGAAGCTGAACTGTTATGCAGAATTCAGTAAGATTCTTATCTGTATCGTAACCAGCCTTGTGAACAAGTCGAAACCTCACGTTGTTGCACTTGTGTAAGCACTGCTGTAAGCTGTGCCAGGAGTGCTCCCTTGTTATGGCAGGATAAGAGGTGAAGGTAGAATCAGCAAAACCTGAGCGCTTCTCCGTTACTTGGAATGGCAGCAAGCATCCAGTTGCTTCTGTGAAACTTAGGACAGCTGCTGTTGCGTATACCACCAGAGTTTTAGTTAGACCAGGGTATAACAGGAAGCTCAGGGATTGCCTGATGCATGGGTGATGGGCAGCCTTCGTTGTGTTTGGGCTGCAGGACTTTGTAGCTCTTGAGCACCGGGCTTACTCTACAGTTAAACAGTATATGGGCAAGTGCCCTTTTCAGGCTGCTGTGTGCGTTTGGAAGTAATGGCAGTCAATGGGGAGTCAGGGGGCACTGCTTGGTTGGCCGCTTCAGAGACGCACTCGTCTTTTGAAGGCAGTGGGCAGTGGTTCTGTGGCATGTGTGACACACTGAGTGCTTTGTGGGAACTCCACGACCGTTCAGCAATTACGCGGTTGCCTTGAGTTGCTGGGAATTGAGCTCAGTAACCTGGGTGGTTTCCTTCTGTCTCATCGCATCATTTTTACTTCTTATTGGTATGAGTCTTAAAGGTTGGTTTATATGTGTTGCCCTTTTGTTGGTAGTGTGCTTACATGTGAATTTGCTTTGTTTACGTACATGTTTGTAGCCACCTTGTACCGTTGTGCCACAGTCTTGGTGAGCCCACCGGTTGGAATTGCCAGGCTTACTTCTGTTTCAGATACATGTTTTAATGAGATCAGGGGTGAGTTACATGCATTATATTTGCACCTGAATACATTGATTATATGTCAAAATCCAGTCAGTCTTCATGATCGGAAGGAGAATTTCAGATAAAGGTAGCACTAACATCCCAGGCTGGGAAGGAGAAAGAGATAAGCAGTTTTAGTGGAAAGCCTGACATTCTGCCTTCTAAAATATAAAAACCTCTCCTTACTTTTAGTTGCAGATATCCCGCAAAGAGTGATGTAGGATAGTCTTCTTTTCTAAAGTGGCATGCATTTCCAGTGTCCTCTCAGGATGCAAACTGTGTGCATGTGGCTGAACAGGGAAAGCCTGTACCATCAATCTGCACCTCAGCAGCAGCAGTCTGTGGTTAGCCTTGCTGCACTTCTTGTGCGACTGTGAGGTCCCTGTTAGCTGCCCGCAGCCTGTGGTGTTTGGGGCAGAGGGACTGTGTGTGGTACCGCAGGAGAAGCGGCATTTCCGTCTGCGTGGGTTATTCTTGTTAGCTGCAGATGGTGTATTCTGGGCTATGGGCTTGAGCATCTGGTGCACGATGTTTAAAAGGAGCAGTCTGAAGTTATTTTAGAAGTCAAAAAGTGCTTTATTTCTTTTAACGACAGAACATCTAGGGGTTAATCGTAGGGGGTTTAACAATTGCTTAGGGCAGCCAAGTGCTGCTTTTCTGTCAGCAGTGTAGCTCCCTGAAAACGCAGTGAAGTTCAAAGGTAGGGAAGGATGATCTATGGATTCCAACTCTTCTTTTGTATGCATCTGTAAAAGAATCTCCCACAAACTTCATTGAATTGTGCATTTCCTTTTAATGTTATATTTGGGGATGTAGGCTTTTCAATACAGCCATCTTTAGAAACCTGCCTTAGAGTGGATGGGTAAATGAACTGCGTTATTGAACACTGTACTCCAGAGAAGTGGCTGCTGTGCTGGCTCATCTGACTGCTGGAGAATAGCTAGCTAATCCTGAGGGCTTGACAGGGAGGGTGTGAATACCATTTGCTCCTTTAAATAGCAGTCAGGGGGGAAAAAAACCAGCATCGTTTGCTGTATTTTTTAAATTTTTTTTTTTTTTAAAGATACACAGTAGAAAGGAAAAGCTTCTGGATGTTCCTTATTTCATGAATTTGCTAAGTATGGTTAGGAGAAAATGAACTCAGAATATACTTGTCCGAAGAGATGCTGGGAGCAGAATTTTGGATTTCCTTGTTCATCCCAAGGCTGTGAATGTTTCCTCTGTGTGTATATGCAGTGTTACTTTGCTTTAGATTGCTTACTTTTCAGACCGTGTTGAAAAGAAACAAGAAGTGAGGATTTTGGCCAGGAATATATAAGTAGCATTTCTGAGACAGTCTAGGTATTTTTTACTTTATTCCATATCCCTTTTATTTAGTTTACAGGAGATATTTCCGTACTAATGGAATATGCTCTTTTAGTTTGGTGGTGTTCACACTTGTTTCGGTTACAAGAGAAGTATGTTAGAAAAAGTGTGTTGAGGAGCTGAGTTCTGGCCTAATAGCAGCTAGTTCTGTCTTAGCCCAGTTTGGATCTGAGTTGTTGCTTTCTGGTATTTCATAAGTAACCGTATGAGTACTTGGCTCTGGAATGGTCCATTTATACCAGATCCCTTCAGAGGATTGTGATGTTCTGTGCTGGTGTGTGTGTTTTTTCATTGGTGACCTTTCTGCTTGTCATACATAGAAAATTCTGGTCTGCTCCAAAGCCATTCTTCTGGGCTGAGTTCTTTACACACTGTAAGAGGCTGTCATTAATGATTCTTCATTCTCTGCCATCAGAAGTTGTATGTGAACTTTTACACGGTGGTGATGACAGATCTTGGTGAAATATTCACCAACTGTTCAATTTAATGTAGTATAATATCAGAAAGGAGGAAATCTTGCAGTGCTTGGGCTCTAAAAGCAAATTGGAATTTACTGTAGGTGTAAAATAGTTTCAGATTCAGTTGCTTATGTGTTCCTAGAGATGATTGGATGAATTCTGTCTCAAAAATGCTTATTTCTGTGTGAATCCCTTTCTGAGGAGAAGATTTATTTCTGGTTTTTGTTTGTTTGTTTTTGTGTGTTTTGGGTGGTTTTTTTTGGGGGGGGGGGGGGGGAGGAGGGGGTTTGGAAGTTTAAAGTAGTGTCAGGCTTTCTTCTCCTCACTTTGAGAATTACTCTTCAAAGTTGAAAGGGTTCTCCTAGAGTTTACTACCATGAGTCATTTCTCACTGAACAAAGTAAAGTAGTTACAAATCTCCTGAAGTGGTCAATGAGAAGAGCTTTCCTGACAGGTTTCTGGGAAGTTCCAGCTCAGGTGGAGATAAAGAGGTTGGGCTTTCTGCACCCACCTAGAAGCAGAAGTGTTTTCAGCATCTGATTTTCAAGTCCGTGCCCTGAAGGCACACACTAGGGCTTTGCTGCTAGCAGAACACTCAGACCTTGTTGATAGCACAATTGATACATGGCTGGCAAAGGCTCAGGGGATTTGATGTTCTATCTGGAGTCCTTGTCAGTTCAACTTCAAGTGGATATGCCTTTCTGCACTTCTTGTCATGTTTTTTCTGCTTTTCAACTTACTCCTTTTAGTAGGTTTTTACATACAATGCTGAGTGGTTATTCACAGCTTCCTATTTGTTTTTTCCCTGAATTTTCTTCCATTCTGCAAGTAATACACACAGAATACCAGCACCATGTGAGTAGCCAATACAAACATAAGGAATGTTTGCCTTTCCATCGCTGGTTTGTGTGTGGCTGAGCTCACTATTACTAGAATTGACCAACTTTGGAGCTTGGAGGGGCAGTGTTATCAGATGATGGTGTGGTTCCTGAAAAGTGTTTAGGCAAGCTGGTGGACATGTGCCTGCAGGAGGAATTGACTCTGACCTTAGAGATGGTACCTTCTGGGGCATGTATGATCCATGTGTAGTTTTTCTGGGGAAGCTTAGCTTGCTATGCTGATGTTTCTTTTTCTTTTATGCAAGGAGAAGACTTTAATCTTTGACGTTGCAAATCTAGCACTTAACACAAAAATAAGATTGTTCCAAAGGCATATCTGCCAAAGTAAATATTTACTGAGGTGGTTAAAATGTTACTGTATTTCAAATCTAGTGTCAGGAATGGGTAGTGTGCGTTAATTTACTCAGATACTTAGTGGTGTTCAATCTCTGAGAAACAAATATGCTTCTGTTTTGGGGCGGAAGAGTTGGTGGACCTGTCATTATACCCTCCAGTTTTTTTCACCTGCTCAGAGGGTAATTATCTAATTATGTGCCTTGGAGATATTCACTGCTCGTATTTCAGATGCTGCTTAAAGTTGTTTGTTTTCCTTTATGTGTTGTAAATCCTCCAATGCCATCAGAAACACAGCCTGATGACTGCGTGTTATTATCTTGAGTTAAGTGCTGTCTGGTTGCTTTGCAGGCTGCCTGCTGTTTCCCGGGGAGATCATGAAACGACGTCGGCTTCCTAGCAGCAGTGAGAATTCTGACGACAATGGCAGTAAGTGCTCCTTTGTTGTAGAGTGCAGTAGGTTATGAGTTGGAAAATGCTTTTTAATACAACGTTTCATGTGGCAGAGGCACTTTGCATTGGTTGGCCTGGTGGAAACACATGTGTGAGGAACCAGTTTTAAACTTGGTTGTTTTGAGCGTGTGTGGATGTGCATTTGGGATTCCCCCCACTGTACTAACTGCCTGGTGTTAATTAATAAGATAAAACATGAGAAGTTGGTCTTTGTTTCTCTTCTCTTTTTGCATCTTCAGTTGCCATCAGCATAATATACACAAGGACAGAACTTGGGTAGAGACATGTGCTAACCTTGTGCACACATCAGTATTTGGTATAAGATTCTACTAGGATTTTAAGTCTGCTTGCATGTTCCCATACTCTTTTATGCAGTTGGAAGGTATGTTGCTGCAGACTTCAGCAGTAAAGACTGTTGGTATGTGGAAATGTTTTGCTTCCATTGAAGATTATTTTACTTAATGTATAAATTTCAACAATCTGAATTCAACGCATCACTGATTCGAATGTACGATTTTTCTTTAAAAACCAAACAGAAAAACAGCATTTCCGTATTGATGTAACTAACACTGAGCTCTGTGTGGTCTCTCTCAAGTTTGGATTCCAGGGGCCTATAATCTTTCGTTTATTTAATAAAAAAAAAAAAAGGCAGTTTGAGAAATGTATAGATGTGCCAGGGTGTTTTCTTTGCCCCAACAAACAAGGTGATTGTATTTGACTGTGGAACTGCTTATCCAGTTGTCAGAGCTATTTTCCTGGTTTTAATTTGACTTTACTGGGTGCACATCTTCACATTTTGAATCTGGTTTTGAGTAAATAAAAGAAGGTGATGGGAGATTTTTCCATGTGATTTTGAAGGATTTGGTCTGAAGATGTAGCCCTGCACTGTGGCCCCAGACGGGTGACTTCCTCACCTGCATGCATTTCCAAGAAGCATCTGTGCTGCATGGAAGGGCTGCTCAAAAAGCTCTTAGGGTCAAATCAGTGCCTTACCCCAACCCTACACAAACTATAGCTGAAATGAAGGAGTGGTAAAAAGGATTGAAGGAGGTGAGAAGTAGCAAGCTGATCAGGAGCTCATCCATATAAGGATTAGCTATTAAAGTTGGGTGGGATTTAGTTTGGTTTTGCAGAACTACTTGAGGTTGGAAGATTTTGGAAGACAATTGTTTTTCTTCCTTAGAATATTAGCTTGGATTATTTAAAAAAAAAAAAAAAAAAAAGTAAATTGGTATGTTTCTATGAAGAAAAGAAGTATTCTTCACCCAAAAAAACGTATATTATTACTTGTAAAGAAGACAAGTAGCAACAAATGTGATGTTAAGCATTAGAATTTTGCTCTACTGTTTTCTCATTCCCTCTCTGACAGCTTTATGTAATAGTATTACATTTTGATAATTCACTCTGTTTTTAGTCTTTGATCTCCCTTCGTGTGCCTTGTTTTTCACACTTCACCAAATATGCTATGAAGTAAATAATCTGAGTTGAAATTCTGCAATAAATATTGCTGACTGATCTGTTAGTGGTTATAATACTTGTTTGTAATATCTTTACATATATAAATGTCTGAAGTAGAGCTCTGTCTGGAATAGTTGGGTAAGTCAACAGCTCTATGTTTTCTTAAAAAAAAAAAAAAAAAAAAAGCCCCCCACAAACCTGTATTTTTATCTGTTCCATAGATCAAGATCTAAGAAAATGAAATAGGGGAAAAGAAAAATCTTGCCCTTTTATAATTAAAAGCATCCTAAATAGGAATAACTGTTTCCTGAATAAATTATATGGCAAAAAACAGTGAAATTTTAGAAGTATTTTCAAGTATTGTCAGAAGTAATATATCAAATAACACAGCAGTTCTGTTTCATTATTCTTCCTTTTTTCTTTGCCTAATGTTGTTGTTTGTCCTTTTATTGAGGCAAATTTTACTGGGCAAATTTCAGATACAGGTTCATTTATGTTCGTTCTATTACTATACACATGTGGGAAAAGTTAAGTTAGTAATCAGAAAGAATGTGACCAGAAGAGAATATATATTGTACGGCCAGCATCTCCAAGGTTTCTTGTCTTTCATGCTTTCATGAGAACAATTTCTGACATTCAGGTCCTTTTCCTCCACTTCTGCTTTGATAATATCCTTACATATTTGAACTCCAAAGCACTTGCCTGATTAGTTTAATCTTTGCTCATCTGTAGTAGAGTTACTGATCAGTCTTGCTATGTTAATTTCTGTATGGAGATCTATTATTACTTCATCAGTAGTATTTCTGATGCACTGTGCTGCTATTGGTGTTATGCAGAGTAAGCAAATTTTTTTTTTGCCTAAAAGTCAAAAGGTAAACATTTCAGGGCTACTTGTTTGAAGTCCTTAAATAGCAAATAAATAGCAAAAGCTAGCTATTTTTCTTTCTTAGAGATCCCACAGATAGAAAACAATTAAATAGACTATTCTGAGCTCTTCAAACAGCTGCCTTCTAATTGAAAAGTTGCAGTTTTAATCAACACTTAGTTGGAATCCTGTTGCCAAACGCCTGTTTCCCTTCAGTCATTAGCACCTCTTGACCCTCCAGTTCCTCCTTCACATTGAACTCACTGGTTTCTTGGCTGAAAGTTCTGCACTACGCTCCCTCAACTTGTGAGGTGACGACTGGCACCCAGAAAGAAGATTTTTTCTGTTCTGAAGTTGGCTCTTCATACTGTACTTTAGCAGACTGTGAGATCAGGCATCTTGGATTCATTACAGGCATCGCTTGGTGTTGTATTGCTGGAGTAACCTGAACAATGATACTTGTTTGGGTTGGAATAGTGCTGCCAGGAAAATGTTTTGACGTGAAGAAATGAACTTTTTTTTATTTTAATTGAACTCAGGAGCCTAAATATTTATAAGGTAATAGAAACTGTGCTACTAATAACGCTGTTTATCTACAAAAGTAAATAAACATTGAGATCTTGTTTTCTGCTTTGTGACTACAAGGTGATCTGAAAAGAAACCTCAAACCCCAAGCTCTAAGAACGTATTACACTGAAGATTTAAGCACATCTGTAGTTCTTCAGAGGAAGAAAAGGTTGTTCTACTTTTGTAAGATGAAAGAAGAGTGAATTGTTACTGTTTAGAAGTAAAATATTATCAAAACAGAAGCAAGTTTACCAGCGTTGTTGAGCTGTGTCCCCTTAAAATCTGACATCTACATTTAGACACAAGACCAAAATAGCGTATTTGAGGCACTGCGCAAAAGATGTCAGAGTTGTGCACCTCGGTGCTGCAGTCAGTCCCTGGATATCTCAGTGTGTTCTCGGAGATTCCATTTTCTGAAATTATAGGTCACATTTGAACATCTTACCCAAGGAATAGAATTGAACAAAAAATGGCTCCAGACATACTTCAGGATTTATACTTTTTGCCTGAGTACAAACAAGAGGAATAGTTTTGGGAGATGCTTGGGGAAGGATTTAAGATTTTTTTGGTGTTGTTTATTTACATCTGGCAACTTGTTAGTTTTTCCAGGTAATGTATTGCAGCAACCGTAACAGGTGTCTGAAAGAAGGACTGAAGAGGCTTGCAGATGGAAAGTACTTCTAGGCTTTGTAACATGTCAGTCACATCACTTCTGAGACATGAAAGATTTAATATTTAAGGATTATGAAATATAGGTGTGTGAGTTAGATGTACCCTCATGCTGTCATTGCTAAACTAATATTATTTTAATTGCAAATATCTTGCCTATATCCATTGCTTTAACTCAGTGACTGGAATCTTTGGTAAGAAAGGGCTTTTCACCCCACTGGACTTGTGTTGTTTGGGATGGATCCCAAAGTGCCATCACAAGCACTGCTGAAAACGTAACCTTAGGTGCATGCGTCGTTTTTGTGTGGCAGTTAATTAACAGTGCAGGTAATGCTGTGCAGCACTTTGGAAGCAAGCGCAACATTCCTTGTTTTTCAGTTGAATGAATTGCTGGATGAGGGATGGTGTTTAAACAATGGGTGTAAGGCAGTTGTAGCACTAAGATTTGAACAGAGCAGTGTAGAAGGTGTGGCTTTTGGAGTGATGACAGAGGGTCAGAACTTACTGCTTAGTTCATGACTAGGCTTGCTGGGATAGATGCTTGGTGATGAAGTTGCACTTTGATTGGAAAGCTTTACCTGGTTTGATAGGCTATTCAGAATCACAGAACATCTATTGTATCGGAGGAGGGGACTTACACATCCTGATCATCGTAGGCTTTGGAGAGGCACGTGTTTCTTTACAAAACTGCTAGTACTGAGTGTACCTAACTGCACTTGGATTATAAGTCTCAACAACATAACATTGTCAGCCTGTAAAGCTACCTTGAGAGATGCTGAAATTGGCTTCAGTTATCTGTAGTGAAATTGACAATAAAAGTTCATACACACTGATGGTAGAACAACGCTGTAGTGGGGAGCCTTGGGCTGGGGTGCTAAAATAGCACTTAGGTCCAGTGATTTAAAAAAGAGTAAGATGGACTGTTGGAATGGTGATATGTCTCTCTGTGGTCTCTTGTCCTTTCAGATTATAAAACTCAAATGTGTGCCACTGAGAAAAGTGATGACAGAAGGCAGCTTGTATTGAACTGCTGTGGCAGTGTGCAGAGGCTGCTCGCTGCATGCGTCGGGTACTGAGCAATTGAGCAGCAGTGTTGTAAAGCTGCTGAGATCGTATGGATCCACTGCAATTGGATAGCTGTGAAATAACATTTTTTTTCAGTAGTGTCAGTATTGACAAGTGAAAGGCAGTTGCTTTTCCTCATTTGATCTTGAATGAGATTATTGCATAATAGTATACTATTACCTACAAAGATAAGGACAAGTGCTCTAGCAAGAGAAACATGAGAAGGAGAATTTGGCTTTATAAAATGTAGTCTTAGGCTCTGTTTGTGTCTGTTCTGCATTCTCAGTGATAAGATCTGAAGATAAGTGTGCAGATAGCTCTTCCTATACCCAGCATAATGGAAAACTGCTGTCAATCTGTTTGCATTTTCTTTGTGCTGGAATTCTGATCATGCAGTTATGTCTAAATGATATGAAGCCTTCTTGTAAGCAGTTGTGGGCCAGGCACTAAATGAGAAGACTGTGAGCATCTATATTTTCTCTTCAGACTGCAGCTCTGTCTGACAGTTGGCAGCAGCACCTACTTTGTCTCAGAGAGCTGAGAAGGGATATAGGCATCTGGAAAAGCCAGTGTTGAGCAGAAGCGACAGCCAGACATGCATCCATGCCAGAGGTGTTTTGCTCTGTTGCGCTGCATGGTGTAATGATGGAGCAGGATTGTATTTACAGTGAGCAAAGTGCTTTCAGAATCAGGGTGATCTGAGTCTTTGAAGTGTTCAGAAGCTGCAGCAGCAGGTAATTCTGCAGGGGCACAGCTGGGTGCTTTGCAGGTGGCTGTACAACAGCCTTGTGCATGATACATTATAGCTAAGCCTTTTCTGCTCATGCTGAGTAGCGTTATTAGTTGTGGGGTAGAATTCCCTGAGGGTGTTAGAATTGTTTTATTAGTTCAAATGAATTTTCTGGTTTGATGGTCTTTCTTGGACTCAAAAGGTTTTTGACAGATCATTTAGCAAATTGATACAGTTAGAAATGATGTCTTTTTTTTTTTTTTTTTTTTATTTTTTTTTTTTTTTCCTTTTTGGAAAATTTTTTTTTAAAAAAAATTATTGGGGAGTGTAATTACTTCGTTCATATTGTTTTTTTTTTTTTTTTTTACTGTCAGGAGGTGCATGTGTTTTATACACCCTGTAGCGGTATTATATATAGCTTACTCTGTTTTTATAATACCCTGGAAGTCTCCTTCCTAGTACCATCAGTGTGTTAGAGCTTTGCCTCTATTGCTGTGAATTGCATCTCATTAAGTTGTTTTAGGGTTTGGGAGTTTCTTTGTCTTTAAGTGGATAAAAGTGATGGGAAAACCGAGTTATGTTTAGAGATGTAAGCCTCACCTCTTTATTCTTGGTGATGAACACCTAATCCATCTGAAGAGATCTTAATTAAAAGAACCAAGATGAGCTTGGTATTTCCTAGAGCAGTGATTCCAGCTAGGCTACTGTGTTCATCCTTAACTTTCCCAATCGTGTGAAAGGATAGGCACTTAATAAGAGACCTTTTGTGCTTAATTTCTTATGATGATAGCATTGCATCATTCAGGTATGTTTATTTAGCTCCGTGCTTTGTGGTTGACTGTTTTTCATATTCACTGTTACTCACGCAGCGTTTGGTGGTGTTGGTTCTCTCTAACATCTCATTAATCTTCCATCTGCTATAGAACTCATTTTCCCCGTGAGGTATTCTGTTACCTTACCAAGGTTTTACATCTTCAAACTTCCAGCAGTTCAGACTTCTATGGTTTCTGCTGTTGTTTTGTTATTTTTCTAGAACAGGGTTTAACTCTGTCTTGAGCCTTAGAGGTTTTTCTAGCCTTGGTGATCCTAGAGTTCAGAAGGCTGCTGATGAATAATAGTCACTTCTTTTTATTAACTGTTTGAGGATAAACTTGCTGAAAAGTGTCTGGAATCTATCTAAAATACTCAATTAAGTTAATGTGCTTTTGTAGTACAGAAGAGCTGTTCTGAATCCTGTGTTTTGACCACAGCGAATTCTTCCTTCCATATAATCCAGGAATGGTTCTTACTTCATGTACGTAGGCACAAATATCAGATCATTAATCACTGAAGTAGCGGTAATTGCCTGTTAACTTTGCCTTTCACTGAGGTCCCTCTTCTGGGTTACTTAACAAAATATGGACATAACGCTGCAAAGTCAAACCACATCCTCCATTTTCCTCCTGCACTTCTGTTGATATGTTTGGAGTGGGTGCGCTGCTCCTTGATGGAAGCAGCTTTGGGTAGTTCAGTGTTGTGTCTTGGCATTGTGAAGGGCATTGATATTTTGCTTTACATGCAGCAGAAGCAGAGCTGAGGCTTTTCTTCAAGATTCTGTAAGTAGTTAAGTTTCATACTGTCACAGACTGAATATTTTTCTGTGATTTGACTGACTCCTGTAATTTCGTGTGCTTTTTTGTCCAATGGTAGTTATATGAATCTGTGAATGCATGCCTTATAGTTGGGCTTTGTTTATTCAGTGAGTAAATGTTTTCCCTATTGAAGTGAAGCTCTTGCCAAAGGTTACCTGTTAGCTATGGTTACAGGGCTCAGCCAGTAGTAAAATTTGAGTCCCATGAGAAATTCCTCCACCTTTTCCTCGTAGTATTATGTATGGTCAGTTTACACTGCTCAGAAAATACAACAGTCCCTTTAGAAAGTTGCTAAAATACCACATTTTCACTGTGCATTCACCAGTGTTACGTTCAAGGAAATAGCTATTGCAGAACTGTATAAAAAAAAAACAAAACAAAAAAACCCACTTTCTTTCCTTTCTCAGTGTAGGAAGTTATCGAGGTGGATAAACTACTCAGTATAATAAATTCCTGAGGAAGCCTGGCTCTGTTCAAGTTGTCCCTTCACAGAATCGTAGAATGACTTGGGTTGGAAAGGACCTCAAGGATCATGAACTTCCACCCCCCCTGCCACAGGCAGGGCCACAAGTCTCTCCGTTTAACACCAGACCAGGCTGCTCAGGGCCCCATCCATCCTGCCCTTGAACACCTCCAGGGATGGGGCATCCACAACCTTTCTGGGCAGCCTGTTCCAGCACCTCACCACTCTCTTGGTGAAGAACTTCCTGGTATCCAACCTAAATCTTCCCTCCTTCAACTGAAAACCATTTCCCCTTGACCTGTGGTTATCTACCCTTGTAAAGAGTTGGCTCACCTCCATATGTCCTTTACATATGGAAGTTTTACGTAGTGTGCTTTCATGGAGCTCTTAAAATAAATAAATAAATAATAATAATAATAATTAAAAAAAAAAATAAAACAAAAACCACACCAAAATTCTGTAACTTCAGAAGTGGTAACATTTGACTCTTCACATTGCATCCAATAGTTAATTAATACAGTGCTCTAGCCCACGTGTATTGGGTCCAAAATCAGAAATAGACATTTAAGACTCTGTTTTGATGTCTGTCATCAGATGACCCAGTAAAGAAATAGAAATAGCACTTACATAGCCGTTATTTGACTTCTCACCATTGCAGTTTCTGTGTGGCATGAAAGAGGTGTGTGCATTTCCTGGGAATCACAGTGCTGAAGCTTCTGTATTTTTTTAATAACTGTGAAACACAGGCACTTAGGAAAAGTGATGGCAGCAATTCAGAAATCTCTCAAATCATCAGCCTTTGTATTGAAACACTAATGTTTGTCTAAACAAATTTTTGTGTGTGTGTTCTGACCTCAGAAAAGAAGTTTTTGTAGCAGGTTGCTGATTCGGTTTTGACCATTATGCAAATTGTGTGAAACAGGTGTTATTCACTGCTCGGTTTTGGAGTGGATTTTAATGGGGCAGATCCTTTAATGTATTACTAACTGAACAAGGATGACAAAAGTGCAGCTACAACGTCATGAATTCTTCTGATGACTTCATGGTGTCTTTCAAGTGAAAGTCTTGGGGAGAGAGCTTATCCCATCCTGAGCAGTGCATCTTTTCAAGAGGTCTGTCTGTTCCATGAGAGGATTCTGCAGGGTGATGGTGATTATTGCTTTTATGAGCTGCAAAGTTAACCTCCTACTCATAGTGTTTCTGCGCACAGGCAGAGAAGAGATGAGCAGTGTAGGAAGATTTTTGAATTGATCCTGCTTTGTTTGTCTGCTATTAATACCCAGAGTTGCCAAGTTCAGCCTTTAGAGTTCCCCTGGTAGTTCCTGGCTTCCCACTCATCATAGGCATTGTTACAAGTCCTTAATTTCTTCACCTAAGAAGAATTTATTGGCACTTTTTATTTAAATTTAAAATGAGTTGATTTTCGCAGTTACAAATAGACTCTGGTGTCTGCTTTGTCAATGGAGTGTAGTTTCTTCCTTTCTCTTTTTCTTTTCCTCCTGTTGCAATATTTGTGAAAGCTGACAGAGTCTGTGTCACAAAATTTCAAGGCAAAAAAGTATAATTTGTTTGGAACGTAATGATTCCGCAGACAAAAATTGTCCAAGCACCCTGGCTTAGAAGGAGAGCAGCATGTTTTTGGTGGCTGCACTGACCTGGCATGTCAATTTCTATTTTGAAAAGCCTTGCTCTAGGTAGAACTGGATAATCAGTATAGGTAATGAGAATGTGAATACATTGAACTCAAAGATTACATCTCAGGCTATGAATAGACCACCTCATTAGATACTATTAGCCTGCAGAAAGTGCATTATTGATGTTCAGAAGCAAGCATGGTACAAGATGGCTTTGTTCAAATGCTGGGTGGAAGGCTGTAAGTGCAGTGCAGCCAATGCATACATCATTAGAGATAGGATAACAGAGAAGCCACAACAGAAGTTGAAGACTGAATAGCTTCTATTTTCTGGTTCATTTTGAAAGAGTCTTTTTCAGGTTTGCTCTAGAAGCCCAGCTCTGGTTTACCTTACTCGTATGATCCTACTGGAGTAAATAGGCCTAGTTGGGTGTGCTGAGAGCAAGGAAGCTGCAAATGATCTTTTCTGTATTCTAGGTCTGTCCACCTGGTCCCAGCATTCCAGATCTCACCGTCGGAGGTCTTCATGTTCCAGACAAGAAGATAGAAAACCTTCTGAGGTATTTCTGGAATCTGATTGCCATTTTGTTGCACCTACCAAATGAAAAGTGCATGTGTGTTCTGGGCATGTATCCGTGTCTTCTGAATTGTGCTTTATTTTCTTGCTGCTCCATTTCAACTGGCACTTAGTGCCCCCCCCTTTGCCTTTTTATTTCTGGTCAGGAGATGACAGAGCTCAGCTGCCAGCACCAGCGCCTGTCAGAGAATTTTGACTTAGTCTGACATCCGTTCAACATAGCTGTAGAGTCCTCTAGTGTTTTGGGCATCAGAATTGCCAGTGAAACTTTATCTTAGGTGCGCTTATTTTATAGATTGTACTGGGTGTTCATATGTGGTCATTGTTCATGTGCTTGTCAAATCTGCTTCCTGATAGTTTTGTCTTCCGTTGTGCTTTTAAGAAGTCGGATCAAGGGAGATAAAAATGGTTTTGAGTTTCCTTGGATAGATCAACCATTAGTAACACGTAAATGGGATCCAATTCATTCTGTATCTCCCTATCTTCAGACTAATACTGCATCGCAAACTCTGCAGAGGCTGCGAAGAAAGCATTAGATTTAGGAGACAGGATTTCTCGATTCAACTTACTTGCCTGATAACAAGTATTTTTGATTCATTAGCAAGTGTTTGGTGTAAAGAAACATGCTCTGTTAATCTCCCTGCAATACTCTAGCAAAATCCAGGAGAAGAGATTTCAAAGGAAGAATCTCCTTCATTCCTCGTGCTACTTGGCTTTTGATCTTCATTTTATTTGGACTTTGATTTGATTTTTCTTTCATTTTTATTTTTTTATTGCTGATTGTTAACAGCTTCTTTATTTTTGTGAATGTGCAGAGCTCTGGAAATTCACCAGAGCCGTCAGTTGGTTTGCTTTCCTTAATTATCTTTTGTACATAAACTTAGACTCATTTTTGAGAACTAATCCATGAAACACTATGAAGAAATAATTTCAGATAACCAGAGATCTTGCTGTTGTTTTTGTGTGCCTGTAATCCTGTTTCTCCTCTCCCTTTCCTTGTGTTTCTTGTCATTATCTTTCCAGTTTTGTGCTGTTTTCTCTTAGTCTGGGTGGACTTCCATATACTTCCTTCATATACTTTTTCATATATTAGCTCAGTTTCACAGCCGTCTCACCTTCTCTTCCTCTGCTTTGCCATAGCACGCTATTTTAATGGTAAGTGTGCTGGCAGAAAGGTGATGCTTGCTAAACTCCCTGGGTGAAATCGTGGTCTCACTGAAGTTGACCGCAAAACTCCCATTGACTTCAGTATGGTCAGAATTTCACCCTTTAGCTTTGAAGTGTTCTGTGCTGCTGAGAGCCAAGCGTTCCAGTGAGCTCTGCTTTGCTCCAGGCAGTCTGATTTCATCAGAAATTAGAGCAGAAAGAATGGTGTTACAGGGCCACTGGCTTGGGAAGGAGATTCTTGGCTGTCAAGTACCGTGTTAGCATCTCTCTCGAGAGCTTTGTGAGAAGTTTATCTGAGAGCTCGGGTTGCTTTGCCTCTTGGATTGAGCAAGGTTTGCACCCCATTTTATATTTCTTACTCTTCATTTGATGGCATTTATTCAAATAACTTTGAAGTGCAAGATCCCCTGATCAGCTCTGCATGCTCATTGTGTGAGACTGTTAGCTTTGCGGATTATTTTTCGTTTCTTGTTTACAGCCTCATAGGACTTGTGTTTTAAACACTCAGTTTACATCATTACCCACACTTACCTCTTACTTCATACAGTAATATTAGTCTTCACTTTTAAGGATGGCAGGCTTTTTGACCATGTCAAGAGAAATGCTGAGAAAAATGTAATTTTCCTACTATTTTAATGATAAAGGCAGAGCAGAAATGTACTGAGAGAGAAGTGGGGAGTACGTGAGTATTGGGAAGGAGAAGAGTTGTCGAGATAGGCTGCATTGTGAGACAAATCATACTTATAAATAGTCTTGAAAGTCTGACTAGCCATCGGGTTTGTTGTTCCCCTAAAATACTTCTCCTACTGGGTAATCTGTAGAGATTTCAGGGGTGTGACCAGTGTATGACACGAGTTGCTGTACTAGGGAGGCCTGTCTAATTAGCATGGTGTGTAGCTGTGGCACTTCTGCAGCCATATGCGTTCTGGCAGCTGGCTGGAGTTAGTGTAAAACCACTATTAGTTTGGGACTGGTTGGAGGCCCAGGAGGTTGTCACTTTGCTCTGTTAGCAGTCCCATAAGAGAGTCCAGGAGTACATTCCTTTTAAACCTGTGCAGTGTGGGGCTGGATAGATGCCTACTGTCTTCTTGTCCCCGCGGTGCTCATTTTTTGTCACTTGGTTGCTTTTAAATCCTTTCCTTTGAATACAACGTTTAATAGTAAAAAGCTTACAGTGCTGTGGAGGTAAAGGAGTGCTGAGTGCTGTTGCTGTAGTTGACTACAGCCTTGTCTTGCAGGGAGAGCAGGGTGGGGAGAGCTGGAAGATGGACAGACAAGTGCAGACTTGCAGTTCTGATTCCTGTGGTAACATCCTTTGCTTTCTGAAGTGCTGACGAGCAGTGGTGCTGGCTGCGGCTGAAGCTGCCACAGCAGTGGTGTACCATGCCTGCTGAGGAGCGGATCTCTTTGATTTCACTCTGTGGCTCGTGGAAGATGTTATCACTGCTTGCAAATGACCCAAAGTTGGCTAAGATACTGCTAGGTTTAGAGGTGGATGCTTTTGCAAAGGCAAATGACAGCTTTGGTGCAGAGGTGTCTGTAGCTGACAGAATGACAAGCATGTCTGGTGAACATCAAGCTACCACCAGAATTCAAATCTGGGATTATTTTGTTGATCTTTTGGGTTATTACTTTAAATGCTGACAAGTGTATGGGGCAAGAGTCATTTAAATAAGGCAAGAGTCATCTTGGTAGAATTTCCTCTTGTATCTGGTCATGGTGGAGTCATGCCTTGATTTCTATCACAGGGAATTTCTAGAATGCCTTTGGATTAGTCATAGCTCCAATAGTTGTGGGTTTTTTTGTTTGTTGGTTTTTTTTTTTTTTTTTTTTTTTTTTTTTTTTTCTTTTCTTTTTAGAAGTAGTTTGAGCAAAATTGAGTCTTCCTTATGCTGGTGATCTGAGACTAAAAGCTCCTGTGGTATTTTATTGCAGCCAAGAGGGAGGTCAAGTTGGGTAGCATCATTCCGCATCAGTGTGTGGGGGAACACAGGACTCAGAGAGAAAGTAACTGAAGTCATTTGCACCTTTTGCTACCCCTTTCCCTGCAATGAAGCTAAACTTCTGTCCTGCAGCGGGAGGGGTTAGTTGACTTTTGATATAGTGACCTTATTATGCGCTGTGCTCCATGGTTACCCTGGAGCTGTGAATCATAGAGTGTAAATATCAAATGTCAGTGTCTCTATTTTTCTCTCTTGGTCACTCTCTTTGCAGGTGTTCAGAACGGACCTGATCACTGCCATGAAGTTACATGACTCCTTCCAGCTGAACCCTGATGAATACTATGTGCTGGCAGACCCCTGGAGGCAGGAGTGGGAAAAGGGCGTGCAGGTGCCAGTTAGCCCAGGGACCATCCCAGAACCAGTAGCCAGGTATAGTTTGGAGGAATGAAAACAAATACCTATTTATGCTAGCAGCTTGTGTCTATGTTGCCTTGGCTTCTTGAGCTTTGTTTCACTTATCTAGCAAGGAAGCACAACGTGTCTCAGCTTTCTGAATGGTTACAGCAGTCAAGAATGGGTCTCTTCTGCCAATGTGTTGAAATACTAATGTCAGAGAATTATTTTTGGCCTGATGTTAGGATGAAGGGTGATGACAGAGCCTTAAGAATACTTTCCAGTTTTAAACCCAGGCTTGATCTCATTCAGCATTGCTGGGAATTCCTCGTATGATGTGTCCTGTGCTTACTCCCAAGCCATAGGTTTCTTTTCAAGGTAAAATTAGGCAAGCCAAATTTAAGGGCTAGAGAAAATACAGCATTTTTCTTGCTGTTTTATATATTTTTGGGGTCATTTTATTTACTGACTTAGAACACTGTTCGTTTTAGTTGCTGTAAGAACCATCCAGATGTGCATGTAACAATATGTTAATGTGAGATATTCCTGCTCTTGTCCGAGAAACCCTTGTTTACTTTCCCTTGTTTGTTATGCTTAGAAGTTTACTTTTTCAGGTGAAACAATACACTTGTAAGGGCAGGAGCATTTTGCAGCCATGTGTCTGTTTTATGCTTAGTTAGGACAGGAGTTAGAAGTGAGGAAAGGATTATTGCCATTTGCGCAAGCTAGATCTCTGAGTAAGTCTAGTCTGGTGCATGAAGCGTTACTAAGTGACACACCAGTGCCAACAGGGCCAGAACAGTCTATGACATGCAGCAAAAAAATGTTTTGGAATACAACTTCTATTAAGGCTTTATCTGGCAGCTTTAGCATTGGAGTAGTGGAACTACAGGAACATTTGTTAGTACTTCCTGCGTTCTCTGTACAAACCTGTATGTAGACCGCTGCACAGCTCCACCAGGTCTGTACAGTAAAGAAAACTTGTCTGCATAACAGATGAACCCTTTCCTTCTTCCACCTTCTGAAGGATCAGGCCTGGGGCTCTGAGGAGAGTTCAGCACTGAGAGGAGAACTCAGAACTTCCCCATCTGCTGTGTACTTCAGGGCATAGCAGCATTTAGTTCCCCCCCCACACTTACCCCTTGCTCCACACTGATCTCACCCACCTGCCTAAATGTCCACACTTTGTACAAGCGTGCTCACGTTCTCACTGTATTTTCTTAGAAGCATTTTCCAAGCCTGCAGGGAGGCCAGGAGACCAGTGGGCTTTATTAAAAGGAGACCTTCCTAGGTGTTCACCAACCTATATCTATCTTACATTTGAGGAGGTAGTTTGGTGGTTCTTTCAGGTCCGGGTGCTCACTGAAGAGGGAGCCGGTGTCTGTGAAGGGCCAACAGAGAGTGTGTTCTGGAAAGGGGAAAGGAAAACAGGGTTCCCAGAAGTTTGATGCCAGCGTGGAAGGCACCGCTTTTTTTTTTTTTTGTGCTGAGCTGTCTTGAATGCTTGTGTTGGTGAATACCTGCTGTACAGTGGCCTTCTGATGCCTGAAAACTATCCTGTTTGTCCTCTCACGACATATTTGGGAAGCCCTGCCATAGTAATGTTGGAGTCTGGAACTGTTCGTTGTGTAACTGTGAGAGGGAGGGTTGAGATTACTATACTTGGGATCAGCAGTAGTCAAACAGTACCTGGTGTAGAACAGAAGGAAAATATAACACAGAGAGTTTGGTCAGAGTGGTAAGAGAAGCAAGAACGTGTGGGGCTTCAGTGTATGCATGTGCTGAGACACAAGATTCATTTCAGTGTCCTTTAGGTACGTCACAACTTTTCTAGTTCTTCCACAAAAATAAAGAGATGAAGGTGGTCTGTTTTAAGGCCAGATTACCTTTGCTTGTTTCTTTTGTGCCACTACAGTGTCATCTAGTTGATATGTGCAGCATGCTGCCCAGAGGTTGTAATTTTGGTGTAGAGAGGTACTCAGGAAGGAATTTATGGTACAGAAGATTCAATGAGCAGTACCTAGTTTAAAGTAGATTCTCCATCAGATGTAGTAGCTTGTAATATTTTAATACTGCAGAGTATAACCAGGGATAGTCCTGGCAATGCCGTTAGCCTGGCAAAATCATTCAGGTTCTTATTCTGCCACAAATCCCTTCTGCACCTTATAAGCTCAGAATTCAGCACGGGGCTCGTGTCTATGATTTCTCAGATTTATTATCTGAATTAAACTAGGTGGGGGGAAGAATTAGGGCTGTGCAGGAGACTGAAATAGGTAGAGAGTTCATAGAGATCTGTATGTGCAAATACACTGATCGCAGAGCAGGAGATCTTTCTACTGTAAGCGCCACAGCTGGGAGCAAAATAGAGGAGCAAAAGGACATCCTCCTTGCTGTGAAGCTTAGGCTGTTGTCAGCAGAAAGCTCTGACTGCACCTAGTTGCCGTCTCAGTACCAGTGCTGCATGAGGAATTTATTTTGGTATGTGCATGTAACTTAGAGAAGGTGCAGCATCCTCTGCTGGGAGGACCACGTTGTGGCTGAACTGACAGAGTTGCCTGGAAATTAGGAGGCAAATCTGCAGCTTGCTGGGAGAACAGCTACTGTCCTTTGCAAATGGCATTTTTGCCCACTGCTCCTGACTTTGTGAAATTGCAGTACTTCAAGAATCTGATGTAAAATAAGTTATGTGCTGTAGGTATTTTCCTGTCTCCAGAACCAATACGTGCTGTTAAGCAAAATTTCAGTTGGCTTGCAGCTCAGATACACTCATGTGTTTTATTTGTTGGTCAACTGGAGCCTCCAGACCCTCAGGGGAGATAGGATTCAGTGGCTACTGATTAATACTTGCAGAAAAGGGTTTCATGCAGCATGTGATTAGTGACTGTGAAAGAGAAAATGCAGAGCCAGGATGCCAGAGCTTGGATCTACTTGGGTAAGTGAAGGGGAAGCTGTTGCGAATTGCTGATTCTCTGAGGAAAGTTCTTCAGAATTTCAAAAAGATGGCGATGCTGTTGCTACACACACATCCCAAACACCCAGAAGCAATGTACCATGGAAATTAATGTCTTTATTTGTAGTTGGTTGGTAGTTAGCAAATGGATTTTGAAGTCCTAAAACAGTTTAACACATGTGTATGTCAACCACTACTACATAAATACAGCATCTACTCTAGCTTTAAAGGAGCATGAATTTCAGGTAAGAGTAGCTGAGTTCTGTCTTCCAGAGTTTTCACTGTATTTATAGTTCTGGAAACAAAATGGATTTCTAATCAACTCCAGTTAATTTCTAATAATATTGCAAATCCTTTACAAAATTGTTACGTTCTGTTTTCTGTTCCCTTCTTAGTGGTGCCAGATACGCTTAGAAGATTGCTGTTGATTGTTAGCCACTTAGAATGAGGCATTGGGAATTCCTCAGAAATGGGTTGTTCAGCACCCCACCTACCTAGTGTGTGCTTGTCTCTTTGTTTTAGGATTGTGTCTGAGACAAAAGCTGTCACATTTACACGTCCCCGGAAGTATATTTCTTCATCAGGCACGAAGCCGCCAGAGCTGGGTTATGTTGACATTCGCACGTTAGCTGACAGCGTGTGCCGCTATGACCTCAGTGATGTGGATGTGGCATGGCTGCAACTTGCCAATGAAGAATTCAAGGAAATGGGTGAGCAGTGAGCACCTGTGCGGGTTGTATTTTTTGTTTTCATTTTTGTTTTGTCTCAAAGCTGGCAAGCTTGAGAAGAATTTTAAGGGGGGTTGGTGGTGGAAAGAGGTGATAAGAAGTCTGAGAAGCAGCTAATCACCACCTTGGGGTAGCTGCAGTCCTGATGTAATTAAGCCTTATATGTATGTCTTCATAACCACTGAGTTGTATCTGCTTAGACCAGATCAGAATCTGGCCACATGGTCTTCTATGGTACTTACTGTTTCACAAGGGAATTTTCACGTAATTTATGTTTTGCCATCAAGGCTAGCAATCCATGCAGCATTAATCATGTATTTTTCTCTGCAATATCCCTGGCCTCATTTTCAGCTAGTGATGTTCAGTGCAAAGAAAGTAGACAAGGAGTCTTAGGAGGTACAGCAAACTTAGGTCAGTTGATCACACAGGAAATTAAGCAATAAGGAGTTCTTGCAGTGGTTTATTTGAGGTTCTTCCCAAACCTTGCTTTGTGTGCTCCAGTTTTGAATCATGAAGAGCAGCTGTCATGGGGGGAGCATAAGTTGCCTTTCTAGGGGATAGGTTGTGTGGAGGAAGGCGCAGGGAAGGAACAAGGTTACTTATTTGTGCTGCACTGTAACGTGTAACAGAAAAATGAAAATGGGACAGAAGTTTTGCACAGACTTTGATCATTTGCATGATCAATGAAAGATGTCAGGACAGAAGTATTACATCTGTCTCTCATGGCAAGTGAGAAATGCAAGACAGAGGAGAAGCACTGACTGGACCAGAACTCTTTTTTTTTTTTTTTTTTTTTTTTTTTTTTTTTTTTTTTTTTTTTTTTGAGCCAACCATTATTAGAAACTTTAAGCTTGCTACAAGTATTGTACCAGATTTTGTCATTGTTTTTTGTTCCTTTATTAAGTCTTGGTTCAAAACACTCTCAAGTCTCTGATGTATCCGATATTCAACATTTATGTCGCAAAAAGGCAGCAAAAGCCATAGATAGATAGATATAACCGTAGAGGCTTTTTTCAAGAAGTAAAAAAACAAAACAAGTCTCGGAAGCCAGAATTTGAGTGATATTTAAAAAATGATTTGAATACGATGCTTCTGTTAATTTAATATCGTTACATGACTTCCTGACTGCTTTTTTTTTTTTCTGTTGGGAAACTGTTTATGCTGCAATGGGCATGATTGTCTAGAGATGAAATGAAATGTGTGTGTTTGGGGTGGGGGGAGGCTGGACTATATCTGCTCAGCTGTTGCTCCAAAGCTGGAGTTGTGCGTGGTCATGCATTGTGGTTTGTTTTTAAATAACAAATTCTGCTTCCCAGGGATGCCTGAGCTGGATGAGTACACAATGGAAAGGGTCATAGAAGAGTTTGAACAACGATGCTATGATAACATGAATCATGCTATTGAAACAGAAGAAGGACTCGGGATTGAATATGATGAAGATGTTGTCTGTGATGTCTGTCAGTCTCCAGATGGAGAAGATGGCAACGAAATGGTGTTTTGTGACAAATGCAATATTTGTGTGCACCAGGTATGGCAGCTAGGGAACTGAAAGGAAGTGTAGGGGTGGTAACAGAAACAGGTAGCCCAACTGCTAAAGATGATAGATTGGATTTTTCCAGTGACAGATGCTGATCTTCTAAGCTGGTGCAGACTCTCTGTTGAGCAATGGGATGAAATCAGAAATGACAGAATTGAGAAATTGTGGCAGGTTAGAAGCCTTTTTAGCATGGAACAGCAGATACAATTCTGGCATACCTGTTTTCTTGGCTGCTTCTTAATATGGAAGATGCCTTTTTTTCAGCTTGTCCTTCCTTCAGACTCAAAGGGATTTACTTTGTCACTCAGCATTTGGAAGCTGTGTTGTTCATAGGCAAGAGTGGCATTTACTTGCACATGTTTCTTAGATGTATTTGTACAAACAGTAAATAAATACTTCTAAGAAAACAGCAAGGTATGAATCTTACCTACAAGCTGTAAGGTATTTTACAAAGTACTCTTGAGAGTAATCTTGATGTTTTTAGACCTGTAACAGTTTCATTTTAGTCTCTGATCACATAAAATCCCACAATTGAAGGTTAAATTGAGACTACCAATGGAGGTCTCCATAACTACAGTTTTTGGGGTGGTTGGGGGGAGTGATTTTAGTTGCTTATTTTGCACTTTTCCTTCTGAATAAGAGGGAAGAAAAAGTGCTTTGGAATAACATTGGATATCACGCAGCAGTGCTCTTGAATTGGTAGTTGTTGTCTTGTGAAATAGATACAGCCCATTTCCTGGTACGTGTAGTCTTTGTGACATTGAACTTCATCCTCTCTCACTGCTTGCAGAGCTGTCTGTTGGCATTTGCCTCACTCTTCAGTGAGGTGAACAAATTCCTGGTTGAAGAGTGGGCACTGTTCTTTTGTGTAACAACTGGTCATTACTTCTGTCAGTGAAAGGTCTGTGAGAGGAGTGAATGGGTCATGTGTTTGGCTAAGTGCGTGAAGGTGTCCTGAGATTCTTTACAAACTGATGTTTCCATAATGTTATCAATTCCATGGGAGTATCTTAAGAGTTTTGAAAGACAACGTGTAAACAGCTAAGAAGTAGCATAAATGTGTGCTGTATCCTCTGTCTTCTTTCTCTTTCCTACAACTGAGTACAGGCCTGTTATGGTATCCTGAAGGTGCCAGAAGGCAGCTGGCTGTGCAGGACCTGTGCTCTTGGTGTTCAGCCCAAGTGCTTGCTGTGTCCCAAGAAGGGTGGTGCCATGAAGCCGACCCGCAGCGGCACCAAGTGGGTTCACGTCAGCTGCGCTCTATGGATTCCAGAGGTAGGCACTGACCTGCTAGAGTGCCCATATGCAGAGAAGCAGATTTTGGGAGAGAAGAATCCGTCTGAAACATTGTCCAGTCTGCTGTGTGTTGCTGCAGGGATGAGCATAGGTATATATGGTACTTCTTAACAAGGTGGTATCAAAGATTTTCATTTAGATGTAAAATCTAGCAGGATGATCTGAAAAGTAAGTAATTACGTTAATCTTTGTCAATCAGAATTGGCTGTCAGAAGGGATAACTGCTGGCAAGGCTCGTTTAACAAATGCACAAATACCATTTTAGTTTGTAAACCGAAATTGGGGGGAAGTTGAAATATGACAGTGAGAATTCCTATGGGTTCTCATAATTGAAATACTCATCCTCTGCAGTAACTTTCAATTGATGGTGTTCCTTGTGAAACTCTTTTCATGCAGTGAGGAACTAATTTTTTAGAAAGCTGTACTTCAGTTCCTTACAAACTGACTAGCTTTGAACTTGCTCATTTTAAGATTTCTTTGAGATTGCTTCCTTTTTCAGTTATAGGTGTAATAATCACTCTGTTTTTTAATATTTTTTTTCTCTTAGGTGAGCATTGGAAGCCCAGAGAAGATGGAGCCCATTACCAAGGTTTCTCATATTCCCAGCAGTAGATGGGCATTGATATGCAGCCTTTGTAATGAAAAAGTTGGTGCTTCCATACAGGTAATTTAATAACACGAGTGACTGTGTTTTGTAGTTTTTTAGGAGATAAGCCTGATGGTGTATCCACAGTCAAACTTCTTTGATTTCGTGTTTGCTTCTATGAACTTAATTGCGCTCAAAGTGCTTTTGAAAGTTAGTGTGCTAGTAAAAGTTGTCATAAAAATAACCAAGTTAACCCAGGGACTTCTAATTTCTAGGTTGGCTGGTAGGTTTATTAGTACACGAAAATTAAAATTTGTTGAGTAGAGGAAGAAAATATATTTCTGTGATGTATCATGTACAAAAATGAAGTTTGAATCCTGAATGCTTCTGTTTTGAAACCCGTGTGAATGTCTATTTGGTGATTTATAAGGCAAGTTGGATACTTCAGTGAGAGTTTTACATTGCCTGTAACAAGTAAAATCTGGGCATGCTCAGCACCTTTAGAATTTAAGTCAGTGGAAGTGAAAACCTTTATTTTGATGATTGATCTAGTTGTGTTGTAGATACTAAACATTGGAGTGATTGGGTTTTCAGGATAGTTGGGATTGGAGTGATTTCAATCTTGGCTTTTATTGCAAAGGAGGCAGTGAAACTACGGGCCTTTCTTTTTTTTCTGGACTTTATTGTTGGTCCAGCTTTTATTTTACTGAGGACAGTATCTGATCACATAATACCAGGCCTTTGAACACTAAGAAAGAAAGATTGCTCTACTGATCTGCCCCAAGATTCAAGTAAGCCACATGCTGAGGAAATGGGCTTCATTTCCTCCATAGGTTGTGGGTAGATTCCGGAGCTTTTGGTGTTTCCAAGGGGGGGAAAAAAAACCAAAACAACTTAACAACAAAACACAGCCTCCTGGCTGTAAATTTCCCAGCTCACATTGCTATAGAAGCAGTGCCACATTATCATTCTGGCTTCTAATACTCAACTGAGCTCAGCTTTGACATAAAAATGTTTAAAATCTTGAGTGTTTCCTTTTCTTCTGCGTTGAGTCATTTGGTGACACTGTCTGAAGAAGTTGTAAAACAGCAAAACTGCAGTAGTTTCAATGAAACCTGTCAGTCTGTTTCCATTCAAGGAATGTATAAAATAGTGGGTTTAAAGTAGAGAAAATAAATCTGTCCACAGTATATAAATTGTAAACAGACTACCTCCTTGCAGATCTGTCCCTTTTCTCTTGGCAGTTGTTACATAACCAAGAGAAACTGTTTTGTCCATTCTCCAGACCTGTTTTGAGGAGTAACGGTAGTAGTTTAAGCTGAACACTGATCAGCTGTGTGTGTATGAGGGAGAGGGGTGTCCTTGCATAGCACCTCTGGTAACACCTCTCCCTTCTGCTGACATGCATAATGATTGCCCCTTCAGACAGTTCAAAATTTGAAATTATAGAGGAGAAAAGAAAAATTCCAGTTTTTCCTGACATCTCAAAGGAATTGTGTAAAAATCTTGGTATCATTAAAGCTAGGAATGAGAAATACTTAGATTTGTGTTGTGAAATCTTAAACAGCAGACAAAAATGTTTTACCAAAAAAGAAGTTACTATGCTATACTATGCTATGAAGGAATAGCATTACCTGGCTGAACTGGGGGGGGGAGGAGAGATCCTCTGGAGTGCAATGTTAGGACATGTTCATGGTAACTAGAAAAGCAGGCAGCTGACGGTATGTATCAGGCTGGGCAAAAATAAAGCTGTGTGTTCTCCTACGTCCTGCAGATTTTTTTCCAGTGATGCAGAATTGTCCCTTTCCTCCCTGTAAAGCATCAGCCACACTAAGAGTTAAGTACTCTAAATGATAGCAGCTTAGAAACTGGCTGAAGTATTCTTTTGTACAGTTTGATTCTGCTTTTGCTTTGTTTGTTATTAACAGAGGAAAAGCCAAAAGATGTTTTTTTGTTGGGGTTTTTTTTTTTTTCCAATTCCTTTTTTATATTTATTATTGAATGTTCATTGGAAACTTTTTCAGTAAACTTTTTTAGTATACTCTTCATATGCCATCTGGCTGCTGAGTCAACCTGAGCAGGTAAACCCAGGAAAAGATATTTGGCTTCTTTACAAAGTGCTGTACAAACATCCTAGCACAATGCATTTTTCTTTAAGGTTAGATGGCTTGAGTTAAGCACACTTAACATCTGTAACATTGATTTCAACCTCAAATTCTTTTCACTTGTGGGAGAGGTGTGAGTTGATGCGTGTGTGTGTGTGTGTGTATTTAAATCTTTCAGTTTATGACTGGTAATAGCTATGACAGCATTTTGCAAGAAAAAGTTACTTAAAACTGAAATGAAGTGCTGAATCATCTGAACAAGTGCCCATCACTCCAGGGAACAGATGGTTTGCTGGGAAGGAAGAAAAAAATCAGAAAAAAGAATTCTCATTCTCTTCTGCTCCATGTGAAATGAAGGCTGTAGCAATTGAAAGAGTGATTGACCGTGGTGTAATATTTCACATTATAAACTTTTGGCAATGGGAAAATATGTAACCCATTCAGTTGAGACCTTTTGGGTAGCATGGGTCCAACTGCTGGGAAGACTTGAATTAAGCGCATCAAACTGGCCTGGAGCCGGCAAGTTGTTTTTTCCCTCTCTCATGCTGACACAGTGGAAGGGGGAATGTTTTGCTTTGTGTAACACTGTTCTCAGCAAGTGGCTGCAGTCAAGGTAAGAACACTCCTCTTGTGGATTTGCTGATTATCGAATGGGGGGATTGAGCCAGGGAGGGATTAACCACTCCTGTCCCACTGGGCCACTTGGTTGTTGCCTGGCCTGAAAGCACTAAATTGCAAGTCTAATTAAAAGAGAGCCAAAAGTACAGGCTGCTTGGAAGCAGAGGCTGTTAACAGGGTCGATTCTTTCAAAGCAGTTCTAGCTGCTTAAATAGTTTTAGGCAGTGTGGCTTCCTAAGTTTATGTTTGATGAGTTTTAATCTAATTTCTGCAGTGTTCAGTGAAGAACTGCAGAACAGCCTTTCACGTCACTTGTGCATTTGACCGTGGCTTGGAGATGAAGACCATACTGGCAGAGAACGATGAGGTGAAATTTAAGTCCTACTGTCCCAAGCACAGCTCCACCAAGAGAACAGATGATGAGACCTTCAATGACCACCTGTGTCAAGAGAATGGGAATGGGATTCAGGACAGCTCTCTTCCTGCCCACATGGACCCTTTCCACGGCATGGATCAAAACCAGGAGGAAGCCCACAGAGTCAGCCTCCGCAAGCAGAAGCTCCAGCAGCTGGAGGATGAGTTCTATACTTTCGTGGAGTCTCTGGAAGTGGCTAAAGCACTGCGGCTGCCTGAGGAGCTGGTGGGATTCCTTTACCAGTACTGGAAGCTGAAAAGAAAAGCCAACTTCAATAAGCCATTGATTACCCCAAAGAAGGATGAGGAGGATAATCTGGCCAAACGAGAGCAGGATGTTCTATTCAGAAGACTACAGCTCTTCACACATCTACGGCAAGATCTGGAGCGGGTAAGCTCTGCACTGCCTGTGGTTGCATAACGTGCACTGGGCTTCACAGCTGAGTTTATAAACTATGTGCCCAGTTATTGCCATTGTGTGCAGGCACTACGTGCTGTGTCCTAAATCAAAGTTGTATTGTCAGCCTGGTAAAAGACAGTTAACACTAAATTTTGGGGTATGCCAAGTACCATTTCCAAACAGAGGCTTAATTGACAGGGCTCTTAGTTTGCAGTATGCAGTATCCTTGTAACTGGATTGTGCACTTAGGCTTTTTTTTTTTTTTTTTTTTTTTTTTAAACTGATTAAGGCCAATGGCTGTGGAATGTACCACAACCCCCACAGGGAGCCTTTTCAGTCAGTAAGGGCTTTCTCTGCTCCTTTTCGCCCAAGGAGGAAAGTATATGAAACTTACCTTGACTTGGGGCCAGTCTGTTTTTTGTTTACACAACATTGAGAGATGCTTCTGTTCAGTGTGTTCAAGATCTATCTTCCCTTCAGTCTGTTAAATAAATTAAGTTTATCATTAGGTTCTCTGGATCTTAAATTATTATGTGAGTATGCTTTTGGTTTTTAAAGTGTGGTGTCGAAACAGGATATGTTATTCTAGCATTGATTTTACATTTTATTACTCTGTTGTTCTCACTGATAGATACATCTGTCACTTCCCACCCATGAATGGAAGGGTGATCAGGTTGGCAAATCCCTCCAGTTAGATTAAGGTCCATACTAAAGTTGATTGTTTTTCCTCATGTAAGAGATTCTTATAAAACAGTTATCCTATATGTGTTGGCCCTCCTACAGTTCTGTCTACCTAAAAAGCAGTTCTGTAGGAAATTCAAGTAAGCCTTGCACTGCTTAACACCTCTGGGGGAAAGAGCAAGAAGTATTAAAAGAGAGAGAGAGATCATCCATCGTGGGTCCAGCACCAGGCCTGGCTATGAAGGTGTTCTGTGTGACAAAGAAAACAAGCAGCAGCAGTTGCCCTGAGCAACCCCTATTTATAGTATCAAAGAAAAAAGGGAAGGGACTTTTTTCCCCCACACCACAGCCCCATTTTGGAATTGTAGTTGAATCCAGCACCAGGGTTGGTTGGAAGACAAGACCTGAGTCACATCTTGACCGAGACAAATGGACGCCAGCCAAACCAAAGGAAGTGGCACTAGACATCTTTCTGTGACTTGATTGTTTCTCAGACATTGTTCTGGACCTTTCCAGGAGTGTTGAGACATCAGTCAAAAGAAGGGAAGAAGCACCTAGCCTCCTCCTTGTGGCTTTACTGCCTCTTGAGTGTGGACTCATATTAAGAGTCACCTGGGGCTCATCCTTTATAACATCCAAGTGAAGTTGGTTGCTAAAAAAAATAAATTGGTTTTTGATCCTCTTCAGGAAAATGCCTGTTAGGTTTTACTATGAATGACATCAGTGACAGTGTCATCCATCCAGAAACATTTTTAAGTGGTGTCATCTAGTTCGTCTAATAATTAGTAGTTTGGTGCACATGTCTGTTGTTCTGTGGCTGGATCACATAAGGCAAAGAACAAAGGACCATGGGCTGTATCAGGCAGGGTCTTGGCAGAGGAATCCCTTCTAATTCAAAGCTGCAGCATAATAACAGTGATGTAATATTTGTAATACTGGCTGTGGAAGATCTGGAAGTCTAATACAGCAGAACTTCAGCAAAAAAACTCACGCGTTAAAATAGACCTGCTCCTTAATCATAGAATAGCTTGGGTTGAAAGGGACTCAAAGATAATCCAGATGTTGCAGCAGAACGTCCTTGCTGTGGGCAGAGTTGCCATCCACTAGCTGAGGCTGCCTGGTCTTGGTGTCCAACTGAGGTAATCAAGAACACTACCTGTACTTCTGATACCTTCAACATCCTTCCAAAGGACATAAAGTCTCTTAATATCTTGTAATTTCCCAGTTGCAACCTCCTGTGACCCAGCTTGAGAGAGCAGGCGCAGATAGTAGTCCTCTGGCTCTAAGAACCCTGGTCTGATCCTTGTAGTCAGTGGTTGGACTAACACGGTTGTCCCTTTCAAGGTTTGAACTGTTACTTGCACCCCATCCTCTTTACATCCCTTTGTATCTGTTGCTTAGGAGCGCTTCGAGAGCAAGGGAGTGGCTCCTCCTGTTCCAAGAAGAGACATGCATCCAATTTCCCTCATGCTGCATGGCTTTTTGCTGTCTGGCTGCTGAGGGCTGGAAGTCTGCTTAGCTTCTTCCCCTTGCAGGGACTTAAGGCAGGGCTATTGGTCTGCTTGTGTGACTGCACAGTACCACATATCAATCTCTCTCTCTGATTGCTGAATATTTCTCAGCATGGTGATTTTCTGTGGCAACCTGACTCCCTGTTCATAGAGTTCATCTAGCTGGGTACACCCAGGACACCCCCTTCTGCCCTCTGGCCCTTGAGGAACCCCCAGATTCTGGAATCCCCACAACCAAAAGTCTGGGCAGCTTTGCTCTGTCGCTCCTTGGAAGGTCCATCTGCATGCACGTGTCATTCCAGGGCTGTTGTTGCCCTCCAGTCTGGGTTTCGCTTCAGCTCAGCTACTGCATCAGGTGGTCACCATGTTTGTTTCAATAGAGTATGGCTCTCTGCTATTCCCTGACAGGAAGGAACTTTATCCTTCATTGCCTGCGCTGTCTCCCTCCCTGTGCCAGTCTTCTGAAAAGCCAAGAGACGATCAAAACAGTCACCTTGTTACTATTTCCAGTCCCTGCTGCCTCCCTTGTGCTGTGCTGAATAGAAAGGTCTACCTTCACTTTGATCACTCCGTGGGCAGTGGTAGGGTTATCAGAAAGAATGATTCTGCTGAATAGCTCTTCACTTTTTATACTACTACTAAAGCATAATTTCCTCTTGGCTCAAGCAATAAGGAACAAATGATGCTGAGCTATTTGAGAACACTTAAGCATTTTCAGCATTCCTCTAAATTTGCTCTAAATAAATATAATTCAAGTATCGTCTGAAAAGTAGATCTGTCACCTGATGTGCAAATGTCAGTAGTCACATGCTCAGGAGCGCGTGTAGTCAATTTGCAGTATTCCACAGGTGTAAAACCTGGCTTCACCTGCCCACAAAGGGGTCTTTGGATCTTAGGATTGCTTTTGACACAAATTTCACATCATTGTGTAACACTCCTAGTGATCAGCATCATAGCGATTCCTACAGCGTATCTTTTCACTGCTTCAAGTAAAGCTTCAGTTCCCATATTTGTCATCTTACGAGTTCACTCCATTAATTCTTTCATCATTTGCAGAGTTACAACACATTGTCCAACTGTAGTTACCTATCATCCCTGTCCAACTGTAGTTAGCTGTCATCCTTCAGCATTCTTCATGCGTTTCAGTAGCTTAGCCAACTTGTTTTTTTCCTTATATTTAGGGTTATCAATATTTTAAGTTCTTACTGTGACTAAGGCTCCTACAGTTGTTGATAGAGCAGTTCTTTTTGTGGCTTCATGTGCTTTTCCATTTCCTCTAACTCTATTGGTTTGTCCAGATTGATGTGCTTTGCAGTGTGTCACTGCTATTTCTTTTGGTTTATTAACTGCTTGAAGTAATTTCATAATCTCTGTACTACAACGTGTAGGATTTCCTTGTGAAGATAGCAGTCCTCTTTCTTTCTAAATTGCACTATCAGCTTGTATTATTCCAAAAGCGCATTTTGAGTCAGTGTAGACATGAGCCTGCTTTCCTCCTGATAGTTCCAGGGCTCAAGTTAAAGCAATTAATTAAGCTTTCTGAGCAGATGTGTTCACTGGTAGCAGTTTTGCCTCTATTACCTCTTGCAGACTAACAGTGGTGTACCCAGCCTTCTGTTCTCCTCTCACAGAAGAGTTGCATCCATCAGTAAACAGCTCCCAGCTGGGATTCTGTTAAGGAGTAACCTTCAGGTCTGAATAGCTGGAGTATACCTGTTTAGAAACTATTAAACAGTCATGTGCCAGTTAACTTTCACGTGAAGATGATAATGATGCTGGATTTGGGGCACTGCACGCTTTGATAGCGATATCCTCTTGTTTGAGGAAGTACTGCTTGGTATTGTGCCATCCTGCTTAGGAATAACCAATTGTGTCCTTTATGCTCCAGCACCATTGCAACAGCATGTGGTACGCTAACAATATTTTTCAGTCCCGAGGTCAATTTGCCTCTTATATTAACAGCACAGCAGTCTGACCCTTGTATGTAGCCTCCCATTGTTCTCCAGAGCCTTTTCCAGCACAATTATTTTCCTCTGGCAAAAACAAAGTGTTCAACAGCACTTTTATATCTCTTATCTGGAGTGTGATTTTCAACTATCATTTTAAAAGATCAGTATATTTTTTTCCGGGTTTTCACAGTAGGATCCAGCAGATTCTTTTCAATTCATCAAATCTGAAGTAGAAAAAGGAGCCTCGACGTGCCATTCTGGTTCTATTGCCTGTCACAGTGGTGCCAGTACTACAGGGTTCTGTTGTGCTCGATTTGTACATGCAGTGGGACTAACTTCTCTACTCCATTCACTGCTGTTGCCTCTCTTAGTCATCAGTGACGCATCTTCTTCATCCCTTTTGTTTTTTTTTTTTTTTAAATATTGCAAGCAGAACAACATCGAGGTAATTTCTTATTGTCATCCATTACCATTAAGATATTGAAGTTAGATAACAACAGTTGACATTTTTTCCTTGTTTTGTGATCATTTTTCAAAGAAAAATCTGCATATGGGATGTCACCCTGATTATCCTGCCTTCTACAAACTTAATAATTTCCAAGATTGTATTATGATTCAAATTCGGCATTTCTGGCCATTCTCCTCATCCTCCGATTTATATTACAGCCACTGTTGAGTACAATATTCTCTTAATTTTTTCTGTTAGAGGATCCCTGCCACACTTATTCCTGTGTTTCAGGATGTATCCTCGTAGAGAGCAAGAGAGCACCCCATAGACTGTCCTGTTCCCATACTGTTACTCACAAAGAATGTTTTTACCAACCGTGCTTTCGTGCACTCCAGTCATCACTGTCCAAACATGCACAACGCTTACAAAATAACTTTACCTATCATTACCATGCTCCATGCAATGTTTCTTTATCGTGCACTGCACCTTAGAGTCGCTTATCACTCCAGACAGGGAGATTACTCAGAGTCCTTTGAACAGTGGATTGGTGCATGCTTGGAGTTCAGAGAACATTTTTTCTCCTGCAGCAGCCAGCAAGTCTATCCAGGCAAAGCTTCACAGCTGTCCCATCGGGGTCTCCAGAAAACTGCTGTCTGAAAAGTAGACTCAGTGCCTTGTGTTCAGTATTTCAATGGAAGCAACATGTCTCAGGAGAGACGTTGCTTTTTGGTCTATGGATGTGATCTTTGCTATTATAACGAAGGTGGTTCAGCTAAGGATACATGGACCTTGAGTTTTCTTGCCAAGTTGGCAACATCCTCAAAGCATCCTGATTTATGTTCTCCTCAAGGCCTACTGGCTCTGGGATGTCTCTGCTTAAAGGATGCCAAGATGCCAACTGTTTATTCTTCTGATACCCACTACAATGTTAGCTCAGTTTTTAGAGTAAGCTTTCATTGCAAGTGTTCATAGAAGTTGCTTCTGCAGTGTGAGCCTCCCAAATCTGATAAACCACCAGGTAAATGGTATTTTAGACTGTTTCTAAGAAGTATTGTGGAGACTCATCCACTTTTGATGCCTTCTAGGTGCGTAATCTCACTTACATGGTGACTCGACGGGAAAAAATCAAGAGATCAGTTTGCAAAGTTCAAGAACAGATATTTAACATCTACGCAAAACAGTTGGAACAAGAAAGAGTTTCAGGTATGCTTCAGCATTGTCTTTTTCGCATGACAACACAGGCATAGGCACTGAAGTGCTTGGTTAGAGTCTAATGACTGATTTTGAAGGACAAGCAAGGCCTCATTTATTCTCATATATATATATGAATATGATATATGAATATTCTCATACGTATGATTCTATCATATGTAGTCTACCATGCATCAGCAGATTGAAAAAAGAAGATAAAAATGTGCATAGCTCTAATGGAGGGCACATTGCTATAGAAACTGGCAAGCCTGTGTTATCCTTGGAGTACTGAATGGCTTGCTGCTTCAGGTCCTGTCAGTTGTGATTCTTCAATGAGTCCTTTTGACTGAGAGACCATGACTTACACTCAGGCGCCATATGGTATCTCCTGGGTTTATGTTTTATTAGTGCCCCTGCATTCATATGTAGTGTGTGTTTCTTTGCATCGTAGGGTAGTTTGAAACATACTTTTTTTGCCTAATCTCACTGAAAGTAGTCTTTCCTCCTAAAGGAGAAACTTCAGTAACTGTATTAACTTGGATTATCCTCAAAGTATTCAGTAACAAATTAATTTTAGATAGAATCAATCACATGGACTTGCTGATTGCTTATTTTACCCCAGCTGTGGAGTTTCTATGTCTTAATGCATGTAACAGCACTAGGAATTGTATTTGCTGCAGGTAGAATTGGTGTAGGATGGCTATGGGGAAGACAGCAACATGAACAGTGTGTTGTGAAACCAGGACGTAGCCACATAGTCATGATGTAAAGGTGCTGGATAACCAACCAAAAGCCCATTTACACTGAAGAAACTTGACTGGCAGAAGTAGTGCTAAAATATGTACTACTTAAAAGCGGTATTTGCCTAGACATGGATTGCTTGACTTCAATCTAATTTGTTTTTACCTTTAGGTGTGCCTTCATTCTCCGCAGTGGAAAATGCAGTGTTGTTCAATAGTCCATCTTTGGGTCCCAATGCCCCTAAGATAGAGGATTTGAAATGGCATTCAGCATTCTTCAGGAAACAAATGGGCACATCTCTGACACACTCTTTGAAAAAATCACATAAAAGAGATAGAGTAAGTAATAGCTCTGGGAACAGTAGCAAGTCCACGCTGAGGCAGCCCAGCCAAAGGGGAGATGGTGCAGCTCCAGGAAGCTTTTTAAATTTTGACAAGAGCTTTGCAGAAACACGGATTGTATCAGCACAGCAGAAAAATGGCATAGTTATGCCAGACCACAGAAAAAGAAGAGACAATCTTCCACAGTGTGAAGTAATCAAGACAGAACTAAAGGAAAAAACTAAACAAAACCACAAACCACTGAGACCCACAGAACTATCTCAGAGGCAATCAGAAAACAAAAGGGCTGTGAACCACTCCAGTGGTAGGTCAGCACCTGGCACACGGAGGGACATAGTGCCTAAATGCAATGGGGGTCTTGTCAAAATAAACTCCAATCAGACAGTAGTTAAAGTGCCTACGACACCCACGAGCCCAGTGAAAAACTGGGGCGGATTCCGAATTCCAAAGAAGGGGGAGAGGCAACAGCAAGGTGAGAGTCCAGAGGAGACCTGCCGCCAGAACTCCAGTTACCCCTACCTGGGCATGGGCAGAGTTTCACCGAAGGATAGGGCAAAAAGCAAGCCGAAACCTGACAGTGAGAATGATGGGTACGTCCCTGATGCTGAAATGAGCGACTCCGAAAGCGAAGTAGCTGAAAAAAAGTGCAGACAGCAGAGGCTCAGCCCAAACAGCACTATCAGCAGAAGGACGGACATTATTAGGAGAAGCATCCTGGCATCCTGACCGGCAATGGGGCACCGTGGTCAGTGGTCACTGCCTACAAACCAACTTCACTTTATTTATTGGTGTGAGAGGGGAGAGTTCTTAGACGTGGCTACAGACCGACAAACAGATAACCCATTATTCCTGAGCTGTGTAAACATGTTTACATACACTTAAAGCTGGATTGTTTTGTTCCCCCAACCCATTCTGTGACCAGTTTGAATCTCCTTTATTTGAAACTTCCCTGAGTAAGCAGAGAATTGGCATCACTACTAAAACAGGATTTGTGATAAACACTAAAGTAAGCCACAAAATCATCTAGGGGGATAGGGTGGGTGGTGGAGAATTAGGCAGCATCATCCCTTTTCTCTAAACTGCACTGTTAAAATTCTCTTTCCTTCCCCTGTTTTCTGAAAAAGCACAAGCTCTTAATTTAACTAAGTGTGTATTGAATCAAAGATGGTTATTTATTTAACCATATTGCACTGCTATTCCCTGCTACAAAAGGTCAGTTGCCTTGGATGGTGGTAGGTCTTTGTCCTCCCTTTGCAGAATGTTTGTTGTTGCATTCGGTTTGAGCACAAGTGGCAGCTTAAAACCCTCTGTAAGCTACAGAGTTGATGTGTAAGTACAAGACCGAGATGTTAAACTGGAAAAAAAAGAAAGGAACAGGTCAGGGTTGCAGCTGCCTTACACTGCAACAGCTTAAAAGTTCTCAGACTGAGAGTGTGTGGCTTATTTCTGAGAGAGGGGCCGGGCTCACAGGTTACTGTGAATAACCTGTAGAATAACCCGTCAGCATTTCGTTACCTGCCTCCTGAACACCTTGACAATTCAAGCAACAAAATGCTAAGGCACCAGTCAGTAGGATTTCCCAAAACCCAGCACATATGCACTAATGGTAACGTATTGGGAAAGCCCAGCTTATGACACTAACGGGTTACCTTAAAATGGACATAAATATATATTTTTAAATGAAATGGAGAGGCAATAAATTGTGATTAGCCCTTTACAGTCAAATGAAGAAAAGTTATTCTATTCTGGACTAGATTTGATGGAAGAGGGAACTCGTATGCATACTTTTTTAATAATTGCAAATGGCAATAACAAGAAAGCTATGAGCAATAATATTAACAGTTCATTATGATACTTTTTTTGTAGAGTGCACATGTAACAGTGGATTCTTAGGAGCCTGTAAATTTTGGAATTCTGCGTAGATTTAACTTAGGTATGCACTGGTGAAACGAAGGTTTCAGCTGCAATGAGTTAGAGAAACACAGGCATAAAGAACAAGAGCCCAGCCTGCTGTTAACCACGCTCGTTTGCATTTTATTGTTAGACCCTTGCCTCTCGAGCAGGGAAGATTTTAAAGTACAGTAGAACTCTGCCGTAACTGAGTCTTCCAGAGGATTCAATCAGAAAAAGGCTTATTAACACCCCGTCTTGCTATGCAAGTTGTAACTACTTAAATATTGCAACAGAATGTATCCCTGTCGTTTATGTTTCAAAACTCTGAAGTCTCAACCTTTTGATATCTTCTGGGGTGATGCTGAGGAAAGGAAGTTTGGTTTAACACGGTGTTTTTTTAAAAGACCATTGCTGGACCCAGGAATTTGGATTGACCTCATGACTTGCACAGATTGAAGCCCAACAGGGCACTGGTGAATGTGACATTACGTAGTTGCTTTTGGGATCTGTTAAAATAGAAGTACTGGTGTGATCAAAAAGCAGCAGACAGACGGAAGGTAACTGCAGGTAGCTCTACCTGACGTACAGTTACACGTTTAAGGCAGGCATTGTTTCGGTAAGAAGCTCACGACCACGTGGGGAATTCTTCAAGCCATAGATGGAATAATCTAAATTCTGATTCTAGCGTGTAACCTCGCTCTGGTGTGAAAGAGGTACCTTGTGAATTTGCACTATTCCGATTGCTAATGTTGTGCAGAATGAATGCCTTACCTGTTTTGCTCCCCGTTGTTTAGGTTTATAAGCTTTCTAATGTTTCGAGTTACGCTGAGCCAAAACCAAAAAGCGCTTCCCCCATCCCCATTCCAAGGGCAGTCGGATGGCTGCAGGATGGCCAGCTCGGTAGGATAGCTGTGTCCCCAGCGCTCAGCAGGAGGTGGCAGAGGTACAGCAGTGACCATACAGCACCCCCGTACTTTGTTGGGATGGAACCGTTTGCTGAATGTGTGTTCCTAGGCGTTACCTTTACTTGTGCAGACTGACCGAGAGACCTTTGATGCGGATTGACAAAGTACGTCAGCCCTTGGGCTGGTTGTACTTGTGTCAGTTGCCTGGGACGGCAGTCGTTAGGTTATGAACTCACGCAAATCTCAGTGAGGGGTTGTTACCATACGTGTTGTGCATCAGTCTGAATTGCGGATGTTGGAACAAATGGTCGTTAATTTGTAAAACCGTGTACAGAAGATTTTTCACTACGTGCCTGGCTTTGGTGTCCATTCGGCTGAAATTAATCGAGAAGGTGCATGAAGAGGAGCAGGTAGAAACAAAAAGTATATGTAGAGATGACTATTTTATATTACATGGCCCAATCCTGTATTTATTTCTCCCCTTTTTTGAAGTATTTATAAAGACCTAGTCGAAGACAGCTGTATTTTTTGTTAAGATATTCGGTAGAATTGTGCCTTTTTGTCCGTATGTGAATAAATGCTGTACATTTTTGCAGTACGCTCACAGCGGTGTTTTAGAACGCGCAGTAATCACTGAGGTGCCATTCTGCACGACCCGGTCCCGGCGCCTCCTTCAGCCTCTGCCCGCCAGCGCTGCGGGCGCGGCGCTCTGCACGCCTTCCGTTGGAGGCGGGGCCGCGCCCCCCCCCCGGGGCGGGGGGGGGGGGGGGGGGCCGCAACGGCGGGGCGCGCCGGACGCCGTGGCCATGGCGGCTGTCGCGGAGGAGCGGCGGGAGCCGGAGCGGGACGGGGGTTGCGAGCACTACCGGCGGGGCTGTCTGCTGCGGGTGAGGTGGCGGCGGCGGCGGGAGAGGGGAGGGCCGCGGGGCTGTGCGGGCGTTGAGCCGCGCGGTGCCGTTGCAGGCGCCGTGCTGCGGGAAGCTGTACCCCTGCCGGCTGTGCCACGACGGCGCCGAGGAGCACCGCCTGGATCGCTTCCGCGTGGCCGAGGTGCAGTGCGCGCGCTGCCGCCTCCTGCAGAAGGTGCGCGGGGGCGGGGGGGCGCTGCCGCGAGGGGGCGCCGCCGCCATTTTGGGCGGGGGCGGGCGGCGCTCCGCTAACGGCGGCGTAACCCCTCCGCCGGCAGCCCCAGCAGCGCTGCGAGGGCTGCGGCAGCCTTTTCGGGGAGTACTACTGCGACGTGTGCCACCTCTTCGACCGCGACAAGAAGCAGTACCACTGCGGCGAGTGCGGCATCTGCAGGTGCGGCCCGGCGCCGGGGGTTGGTCGCGGCGGGGGAGTGGCGGCTGCTGAGCCGTTATCGTTCCCTAGGATCGGCCCCGAGGAGGACTTCTTCCACTGCTCCAAATGCAACTTGTGCCTGAGCCTGAGCCTGCGGGGAAAGCACAAGGTGAGGGCGCGCCGGTTCGGGCCTTGAGAAAGAGAACGGCTGTGCGTTCTTCGGGCGCCGCGGGCAGCCCGCGGCTGGGGCTCAGCTGGCACCTCGGCACCTGCCGGCCCTGAGCGCTGCTGCACAGGGCGGGTGTGGCAGTGTGCGGTGCTGTTCTGCTGCCTCGTTGTTATTGTTCACGTAGCCGTCTGCGGAGCCTTAAAGTCAAACCTGTGTGAAAGCAGTCATGTTTCACGCGTCTTCTCTTATCATCCTAAAGGAATTCTTGCATTCAAAAAAAAAAAAAGCTGGTATCCGTACAGCAGTGTAACTTTGTCTTTGTCTTTGCTAAGTGCATCGAAAATGTCTCCAGGCAGGATTGTCCCATATGCTTGGAGGTGAGCTACTTTGCTTTTGGCTCTGGGAACTGTGAGCTGTGAGCTTTGTTGGAACTTACTGTTTTCTTTCTTTTGTCTGATACTTGTCTCAAAACAGGACATTCACACGTCCCGTGTGGAAGCTCGCGTTCTGCCGTGCGGTCACCTTCTTCACAAGTAAAGCTTTGCAGATATTTGGGAATTGGGAATACCTGCTGCCCTGTGTACACGTGCTGGGTGTGCCTGGTTCCTGAGGGATCATGCAATAGAGAATGGGCTCTGCTTCTTCAGGAAGTATTGCAAGAAGGGTGTTTTCCTTCTTCACTAGCAAATTGTGTTGGCAGAGGAAGATTTGCTCTGAATTTTTTCTATGCTCAGTTTCCTTCTGTTGCAGCTCAGTGGCAGGAATCCCATAGCGATTCCCCCCTTTGGTGCAGAAAGTGCATAGTGCTTTTATGAGGCTGGTGCTAGTTTATGCATTAAGTTTTAAATTGTTTCCCTAGGCACTCTCAGTGCTGTAGAATACTGTGTTGCTCTGCAAAATCTGCATGCTCCATTGAGCTCCAGTGATGCGTAGCCCAGTGTGCCTTGGGAAGAATGGATAGAGCAGGACTACCTGCTTTCCTTCCTCCTGATCCACCTGTAATCTCAAGATGTCATTTTCTCTTCTTACTGTTTGTGTTACTCTGTTTGTCTCTCTTGTTTTTTTCCTGTGTGCTGAGTTAATGCCCTTCAGAATGAGTTTTCCCTTTGCTGCTGCCCATTCTAAAGTTACTTTGTGATGCATCTTTTTTCACCAAACTCGCACTGCCATATTCTTGTCATATTGTTTACTTTTTCATGTTACTTAGAATGAAATCGGGTACGCTTTGTCGCTGTGTGTTTGTCTGCATACCAGATTATTTTGAGAGGAAGCTTTCTTTTCACTTGAACTCAGGATATTTTTTTAACTTATGATCTGGGGATAGCTATGAACCTTTCCCCTTTGTTCAATCCAAATATGTTGCCGATCAGTAACAGTTCTTGTTCTTCTGAACTTATTGTGTTTTCTTTCCAGAACATGTTATGAAGAGATGTTGAAAGAGTAAGTAATTCTGAACCTCTCTTGTGTGGTTGTAATCTGAGTAGATTACTTGAGGCAGTGATCACAATGTCATTCCAGTACCCAGTATCTTTAAGACAGCTCCTAAAGGGAAAGAAGGCTTTTAATTCACAGCTCTGATTGAAGGAATGTTTCTGCTTGCTGTGTTTTTCTCTGATTTGTATGATGAGAAACTTGTCCTTTTGAGTGGACTTGTTCTGTGTTCCTACTCCGTTTTCTGAATATGGCTTTTTCCCCTTTTTGCCAGAGGCTACAGGTGTCCTTTGTGCATGCACTCTGCTTTAGATATGAGAAGGTACTGGCGTCAGCTGGATGATGAAGTAGCACAAACTCCTATGCCCACTGAGTATCAGAACATGATGGTGGAGGTAAGAGATGAGGCGTGCGCTGGTGCCTCTGCTCTTGGCAGCTCTGCAGCACACCCTTGCTGGCAGTAGAGAGCGCTAGGAACTCATCCTGCATTAGGAGCCAATCTGACTGCTAGGGATAGTTGAAGAAATGTCATGTATCGACCTGAGATGGCATCAATTGGATTTTAAAACATCAGCACCCCCTGCCCCACTAGAGGAAAAAAAACAAAACAAAAAAAAAAACAAACATGAAACAAAACAGCTAACAACAAAATAAAAGCAGAAAGTACCATAATATCACGCAGTGGAGAAATGGTTTGGTGTTTGGAAGTATCATGCCTCCTTCTATGTTTGGTGCTGCCATAGTGAAAAACAGAAATATTTGAGAGCCTCACAGTCCAGAGTAACTGTGCTATTTTTTTCTGCAAAATATTTAGCTATTGATTTGTGCAAAGCTTGCAAATGGTGATAATTTCTGGTTCCATTTCTTTGTGTGAACTGGGTGCTGTTAGTTACTAAGACTGAATGAAACTGTTCTGGTTGATTTAGTTGTATCTGTTCCAGTTTAGACAGCACATCTCACTGGTTCCTGGAGTCAGGATACAGGGAAAGACCACATTGCTGCCTGTTCTTAGAAGGGTGTTTCCTTGACTGTCCCACACAGCAGCCTAGCTGATGATGGCGGTTCAGTGGTTACTAAAAGCACAGCTGTACAATGTTCTTGTTGAGTGTCCTGTTGATGCAACAGCCTCTTTCTCTCTCTCTCCTTTTCTGTGTACATAGATTCTTTGTAATGATTGCAATTCCCGGTCTACAGTGCAGTTCCATCTCCTAGGCATGAAGTGTACAAACTGTGAATCGTACAATACTGCCCAAGATGGAAAATCCAAGCAGCCTGTGGAGTAGCAGTGCCCAAGCAACGTGCTGCATACGGCTGGACAAGGAAGACTATACTGTGGAAGAGGCTATCTGTTAAAATAAATTGTCAGTAAACATTCAGAGGTGTCACAGCAACAGTGAAGATGTTCTAGTGGTGGTGCAAAGTAGTTCTGCAAGGACTGTCGCCCCCCCCGCCTTGTGCCTGGTGCACTGTGTTGTTGGGAAGCTCCCTGCCAAGCGGAGCAGTGCCTGCTGAGGGCTGGTCCCTGGAGAGCAGCGCCCTGTAATGCCAGAGGAGGCAGCCTGGGAAAATAACCAGTGAGATGCAAAATGGGAAAGTGCTGTGAGCCGCTGCTGTCAGAGCAGAGTGCATTGTGGGGACAGAAGTAGGGAGCTTAACACAGGGTGGAGGTGTAGCTGTTCTGCTGTTAGGGGAAAAAGTAGCTTTGAGGGCGGCCTTTTGCATAAAGCTGACATCTGCAAAGTTTTGCACGAGTACATTTTGTTCCTTTGAAGTAATGTATTTGTTCTAGGGCCTTGGAGGCAGCAATGCGAGCAGGCAGAAAGGGTTGAGCTTGCAGAAATCACATACCTTAGTTTGATTTGTCGACATGCATGCAAATGATGGATGCAGAATTCATTTCAAAAGCAGTGCCTGTCTGGGCAGCCCTTGTGCTGAACGGCCTACAAACCACGCTACAGGACTGCCCTCCTCAGGTACCACCGCTCCGTGTGTCTCTTCGCTCTGATTCCTTTGCCAGCCATGGTTGCATTTATGATGCTTTGATGGTTTTTTTTCTTCTCTATTGCATTGTTGTCTTACAAAGGCCTGGACGTTCTAGCATAGCTTGATGATTTGATAGTTAAGTACAGGCAGCGAAGCACACAGCATTGTGTCAGGCCGGCTGTCCCATCCAAGTCTGGGACATGTGCTGAAAGAGCTGCAGTTGATAGAGGTGCTCATGTAGCACAGGGACCAGGTTTCTGCGGCCTCATTTTTTTTGCTTTTTTTAGTGGTCTCCGGTTTCAGTGTGAGCAGGGAAGCTAGGACCTAGAAGTGTTATTTATCCTTTCTTGTGTGTGATATGCTGCCTGGTGTTCTGCAGATTGAACCCCAGTTCTTAGAGTATGTCAGAATGCATTGTCCAATCCGCATGAAGTGCACTAAGAAGTGACTCCTTGTCTGTGCTTCACCCTGTTGTAGAGCACCGCTTTCTCCCACTCTGAGCCCTTGCAGTCAGAAGCACCACGAGGCAGATGGTGGCAGCACTGCAGCTCACTTTCACCGCCCTATCTTCTGCAGTACTTTTCTCACTGTTACAAATAAATGTCAAACAATGTCTTTATTAAAACAACTTATGCAGCGTGGTGCCGTCACTTCCTGTGTGCATACCTCCTAGAAATACTCAGGTGAGCTCAAAGCAGGGTTCAGTGCTGTTCCCACTTGCCAGGCTGGTGCTGTGCAGGGGCTCTCCTGCGTGGAGGGACCTCTGGAGAGCAGCAGGCTCTGTGTGCGTGCTCCAGCTCTGCAGAGCTGCGGGATGGCACTTGCAGAAAGCGAGCGTGAGTTTTGTCTCAGGAACAGCGCTGCCTGCAGCCTGCAGGGGAAATGAGTGCAGTCAGCCAGCAGCAGCGCAGGAGGCTGCACTGAGCCAGGGTGCGCAGAGTGCGCGTCACCCTCCTGAGTCATGGTGACTCCATCAAAACAAGCAGCAGCTGCTCCAAGCAAGCAGCAAATTAACTGTGGCCTGCCATGGGTAGATCTGATTAAAATGGATACCAGAGCCTCTCGTGCCACTGAGTGAGCTGTGCTGAGATGACAGTGGCAACTGAGGCTGGCTGTATCTGGGGCTGAGCACGCTGTCTGCCCTTCTGCCCCAATCCTGCCTGTTCGCTCCCTGTCCAAGCAAGGGTGCCAGCAACACACTGGGTGCTAAGATGTCAGAAGGCCGCTGATGGATTCTGACCCAGCAATTGCCATCCCCACCGAGACTTCTGCTAGCAGGAGGTGCATTTGGGTGGAAAAGTGGAGGCAGCATAGAGACGTGCTCAAGTGCTCAGGCATGCAGCGTGGCTAGGAGAGGGAATAAAGAACAAATTCCTTATTCTAGTAAACATATGGGGACAAAAGGCAGAACAGAAAAAGCCTGCAAGCCAGGGAGAACCAGATGCAGCCACTTCTTCATTATCTCCATGCAGTGTGCATTTAAAGAGCTGCAATGCTCCAGGGCAGCTACAGGGCATGAACAGTTGAGGCTCTGCTGGCAGGGGCTGAGCAGTGCATGTGTGCACTGCTGGTGGGGAGTGCACTGCATGCACTGCTGGTGGCTTACAGAGGTCGAGGCTGGATTGATGCATGTGTCCCAGCTCTCATTTCCATAATGTTTTGCTCATCACAGCAAAGTATTTCCTGTTTTTTTTTCTCTGCAAAAACTATTAAGTAAATGAAGTAAATGAATCTCTTGCTTTCGTATTTTCTGCTGCTCTAGCAAGGGGGTTTCTTTCCTTTTGTTTCAGTCTGGGGTGGGTGTGCTGCTCTCAGCCACTCTGGTCTGAAGGTAACTGGGGTCTTAAACCATGAACATTAGGAATACAGTGTCAGGAGCTGGACCCTGCATTGTACACTGAGCATGGCACAGAGCCCTGACTTCTGCCAGGGACACGTTGCGCAGCTGAAAGCACATGGTTCTGAGGTGGAGATAAATGTGGTGGATTAAGGTGGGCGAGGAGCTTGTTTGGGAAAGAGGAAGCTGCAGAAAGAGCTGACCTCTGACACGGACCTGCTAGCTGAGGGATCGTTTTGTAGGATGATGACCGCCAAATCCTACCTGCTGTCACAGCCCTGAGGTTGGTCCTCTCCTGCTGGAAGGCAGGGATGAACAGGTGGGCAACTGCTTTGTGTTGAAGCCACCTCGAGACCAAGTGCTTTCCCTGCTGCACAGTGAAACAAGGACCAGATGGGGTGGTTGTTGCTGGTGGGAAAAACTCCGCATTCCAGCAGGCTGGGGATGCAAACAAGGTCAGAAAGCTATTAATAAAGCTAAGGCCTGCTGAGGAATGTGAAACACTGGGCGGGGATATAAGAGCAGAGCATTGTGGGTCCGTGGGCTCTTCCCAGAGCTGGATGAGGGCAGCAGCATCTCTGAGGCTGTGGTGCTGCCCCTGCCCCCCTGCACAGATGACCTCTATCCTTCCTCTGCAACTGGACTGAATGCAATTAGCAAAGCTCTCCAAGTGTCCTTGGCTGGGCTTTATTTATGATTGAGCCCTGCAACAGCGTCAGTCTGTTGGTCTGTCTTGCAGCAGGATGCCTGCATACCGCCCTGGTGGTGCTGGAAATGGGATAATTTCCCTGTTTTTTCTCCTTGATGGTCTCACCGTGGTATTGGGGTGGGAGGGAGCTGCATGTAGGACTTGTGGCTATTTTCCTGGTCGTGCTGGCAAGTGGCTTTGTTTTTCTGAGTAGAACAAGAAGCTGAGCCCTTGGAGCTGTTTAGAGCTGCTCATGAGGGATAGGGGCTTTTGATGGAGGTGAGGGCATCTGGGGTGGACATCAGGAGGCCGCTTGCTGGTGGTGGAGTCCAAGTGAAGCTCAGACTTTCACCTACTCTGAGCACGAGGTGATGCAGGATCAGGGTAGGGGCCAGGACGGGAGTGGTTCTGCAGTCCTGAACACGTGCAGATTTCTGCTGAACCAAGCTGGAGATGAACAAACAAAAAAAGGCTAAAAATATCAATGCATGAATGTTTTTGCAGCATCCAGGAGCACAGTTGGGCTGGAGGCCAGGTTTTTGTTGAAAATTGTTGCGAGCCTTGAGAGCTGAAGGAGAGAGGGCTTCCCTGTGCCTTCGTGTGGGGACAGCTTGAGAAATGACCTTTCAGTGACAGCTGAGGATGACAGCAACGCAGTGGCATGAGCCATGGGAATAAATTTCATGACCCTTAGCTCTCATGTTGTGATTTTGGTAGTGTTTTTTGGTTCAAAGTAACAGTTTGATGCTGGAGCTGTAGGAACATGTTGTGAGCTGTAGAAACCATTCTGATGGTTGGATTTGATGGTCATGGAGATGCTATCCAACCTAAGTGCTTCTATGATTCTGCACAGGGCAACCTCAGGCTGAGGCTGTCAGCTCTTTCCAAGTCGCTGCGTGCTTACTGTGGCATTTGTGCCATTGGTGGAGATGGCCTGGATTGTAAGAAAGCTGCTCTCACCTGTGTGTTAATTACCTCATCTAACAAATGATTGTAGCCAGCACCTGTCTCAACTAGTGTCTGACGTACACCTCACTAAGAGTCTGACATGGTGGTGTTCACTGGACAGCCACGAGTGCCATAGTTTCAAAGGGAGGGGAACTAAAGCTGAATGGGGTGGGATGGAGCAGCAGCAGCAACGCTGGCACGATGGCCTCCTCAGTGCCTCTCTTGGTAGGGCGAGCAGGGGACCTGCAGTGGGATGTGTCCTCAGTGCTGCTGTGGGTACGCGCTGTGCTGGGCGCAGCTATGCTGGCTATTTATTTTTGAATAAATAAAGTATCTCAGAGATGGGGAATCTGGCCAAAAAGGGGGAGGGGGAAGCTTTTAGAAAAATCAAGAGGCTGCTGCTGTTTTTGTAAATACATATATGTATTTCTAAAGCGGGATATCTATGCCAAAGCTTGTTGTTAAAGAAGCAAAGTTTCTAAGGCAGGTCCTGGCTGTTTTTTTTTTCCCTTTGCGTTGCCATTGTGCCTTGGGAGGCTGTGGGATATGGCCACAGGCAGTGCTGGAGGCCCTTGCCTCTACAGCAGTCCCTCTCAGAGGCTGCTCTCATGAGGAGCCGCCATCATCAAACAGTTCAGCTGGCTTGGAGTGCGCCCTGACTGGGACATGGCACAGAGAGACATGGTCCTGCTGCCTCCCCCAGGGAACCTGGCAGAGTTTGTATGTGCAGAGCTGCTCCAGTGAATCTGGAGGAAATGAAATAATGTGAAGACAATTACCTTCTCTGTACTTCATCACAAAATCAAATCAAAGCCGTAGTTGCTGAGTCATTTCTTTTACAGGGTGTTTTTTTTTAAGGCACGTAAAATGTATACAGACATTGGAGTTAACAGGAGTCCTTGGTGTGCCCAGGGCTAACTTCTGGAGATTTCAGCCCCCTAAGTTGGAAGCCAATAACAAGAGTTATGAGGAGTGGCTGAGGGAACTGGGGCTGTTTAGTCTGGAGAAGGAGGGGGGCTGAAGGGGGTCTCCCTGCTTACTACCACTGCCTCCAAAATGTTGCAGTCTGTTTTCTTAGGCAAAAAGCAATAGGACTTGAGGAAGCAGCCTCAAGTTGTGCCGGGTCAGTGGGGGTGGGTTAGATTGAACGTCAGGAAGAATTTCCTAATGATGAGGACCAAGCACTAGAAGAGGTGGTTGTGGAGTTCCCTTCCCTGGAGGTCTTTAAAAGATACGTGGATATGGCATTCAGAGACATGCTTTGGTGATAGGACTCGGTAGGTCAGATTGATGCTCTTGAGAGTCTTTTCCAACTCAGAAGATCCAATGATTCTAGTAATTTACTTTTGGGCTTGGACACTTCTGATCATGAGGCCAAGTAAGTCCATATATCCCAGCTACAGCACATCACACTTTTAATAATAATCTGAGCAAAATGTAGGCATGATGGCCATTCTCAGAGCACTGAAGTCCTGATTTGGGGACAGACAAGCATCAATGGGGCTGCATCTGTTGGAACTGAAGCAGAAGGCAGCCACTGTGGGAGAATTGCTCCTCCCCCGTATTGCTAGAGCTGGCAGTTCCCACCTCTGCATTCTCTCCCCTTCTTTCCCCAGCCTCACTGAAGCAGACAGCTGAGAATCAGGGCCATCTGGGGAAAAAGAAGTGGACTCTGTTATTAAGTAGTGGGGAGCCTCAGCATCCCAGGTGCAGGCAGGGTGACATTTTGGATTTGCACAGGTTCTGCCCTGTATTGCTCATGGAGAAGAACACTCCCTCCTGGGGTGCACCTGCTAGGAAGTATTTGAGCCCCTAAATATAAGCCCAGAACAGAGGGTGTCCTGGGACCTACTGAAACAAATATTGAAGCAAACATAAAATACTAGAAAATAAAAAAAAATACAAGAAAGGAGAAACCCTATCATAAAACTTGCCCTATGTATGCCAAAAGTTTGGCTTTCCTCAGCTGGATGGATTTGAAGGTGTAGTTATCAGCAAGTTTTTCTCTTGTAAACTCATCTGCTTTCTCCCAGAGCCAACATGCTTCACCAAGGGACTGTGACCTTGTTGTGGACCCATTTTCTAGCTGATGTTAGAAAAGGAAGTGAATGAACACTGCCCTCTCTGCACAGGTTGTGTTCTTAATTATGGCCATTTTCCCTTGATCATTCCCAGTGCCTTGGCAAGTTTTCTTGCCTGCTGTCATACCTGCTCCAAATCTGCTGTGCCCTTCAGCACAGGTGAAGAGGACTCCAAGTGCATGAGATATCTCAGATAAAGACAAACCTCAGGGCTCTGCAGCACTTTAGTGATGTTCTCTGCTTTATTTGCTGTTTCTAACCCATCCGCCTTAAAAAAGAATGAGGAGCTGCTTGGTACCCACAGCTCATCTTCAGTGGAGGGCAGCATCTCTGCCACCAAGCCCAGGTGAGAGGCCTCCACGTTGAGGTGCCTGATGAAGGCTCCTGAAAGCTGATGAAGTTTTCTCCATGAGCTCACCAGTGTGGGGATGCGAAGGTGCTGTGGAGACTCTGTTGTGGGGGGTGACAACCCTCTTCCCAAAATAAGCCCCTGTTCCAGTGTTCAGCCAGGTGCTCAAGCATCATGCCCAGAGGAAGGCTGGAGCTGCAGACCTGTGCACATACATGGGGCTTGTTCTGCCAAGGAGCCAGAAGAGAAATCTGGTCTTGCCCATCTCAGCTGTCCCCTGAATGGACAGCTTTGTGTTGCTGGTCCCCAAAAAGTGAGGGGTTTGAACACAGTGCTGCCAGCCCACCTGCTCTTGTAGAAGCCTGTAGTATACACTGCAGCATTTAAAGATGAAACCAACCATAAACAACCCAGCCCCCTTTTTTTCCTTTTTGGTGTGTGCATGTGTGCAATTAACTGTCTGCATAAACTGGGGATAAAAATGGCTTCAGTGTATTTTAGAGGACAACTGTTTGAAGGATGAAAAATAGTGCTGCAGAGCAAACTATGGGTGCAGCAGTGGGGTGTTCCTTATCCCAGAAGTGCAGGTGGGAAAGGCGCCTTTCCTGCAGGCTCCCACGCTGCGTTGGAGGAAAAAAGAAAGGAGGAAAAGTGAAATGACATGCTTCTCTGCATAAACACGCAAAAGGAAACAGCAGGAGAGTAAGCAGTTGTGTAATTGCCCATGGCGAGCTACCACAGGCGAGGGAAGGCATAGGCTTTTGCAGTGGGACAGTGCAGGGAGGTGATCTTGGAGGGAGGGACACGTAAAGCAATGGGACGCTCTGTGTTCTTTCCGGGGATAACGCAGGGCTGCTGTCTTCTGCCTTTGCCTCCCGCAGCCCTCCCAAAGGGAATTTGGGTTTATTGGGCTAGCAGCAAAGGGGCAGACCTGCCCCAGGTCCCCCTCCACTTCCGAAGCAGCACCCACCCCATGTTATCAGAGAGCTTCCCACACAAAGCGCCAGCACTCCGGTTTATTGTGGGCGCTGTGCACCTGCCCTGCAGCCAGCCGCCTCCTGCGGGGCCTGCTGCGGTGTGCTGCTCATGGCGGCAGCTTGGCCTCCAGGCTGCAGCCCAGCATGCGTGGCGAGGACAAGCAGCAGGTGCGTGCTGGGGGAGCGCTGATAAATAAGGATCTTCTCCTGCTAGGAGTCGTCGTAGAGGGGGTTGTTGTAGTTCCCCCAGGAGCCATAGTCGTGGTCGTCCAGCAGCCTTCCATAGGAGGAGTGCCTGTGGGGAACATGGCGCCATGTTAGCCTGCAGAAGGCAAAATGAGTCAGGGGTGCTCACCTAGAGGGCCAGAAAGATATCATCAAAATTCTCAAAGCCCATATGAGTCCTTCAGAGGGACAGGAAGAACGCCCTGTGCTTTGCCACTAGGCGTATGAGGAGGACAGCATGGAGCTTGTGGCACTTGCATTGTGGGCAGCAAGGAGCTGGCCAATGCACAGCTACAGGAGCCCTCTTTATTGTTTTTTTTTTTTAACATGCTGGCTGCTTTGGTGGTTTATTAATTCTTTTACTGTAGGGTAAAATGAAAAAAAAAATGCACCTGGGCCTTCACGACGTCGTTTTTGAGATATTTCTGTAGAAGGCAGTTTGCCACCAGCAAACCCCACCTTGACCAGCCGCTTACAGAACACACCAAAATGGCGCTGGGAAAGGATCATCGCCTCCCCATGACCCCCTGGGAGGAAGAATGAGCCCATGCCATGTTTTGGGGCACACCTAACAGTAAACAGGAAGGTTGGAATTAGGATGGGCTTGAGCCGTTCTGTGATTTGATGATTAACATGAGACTTGCTCATCTAGATCTTGTTGGGCCACGCTGCTGCTTATCACTGCAGGCACAGCGAGGTGCAAGGCAACAGCTCGCCCTGGGGATAACTGCTGGTTATGGCTGTGTGCTGAGCAGCATCTCTGGCGTTTGAGTGAGACTTCTGTAAAGCAACAGAGAAAGCTCTGGCTTTCAATAGAGACATGATTCCAAAGACTGGGACTCAAGGCCCTGCAGAGGGCCAGCCTTACCTGATCTTGAGGTACGCCGCCGCCCCAAAGACCAGCACGACCACCACGATGACCGTCACGGTTATGGCCACGATGCTGCCTGCAGGGAGCACCAGAAAGGGCAGTGCTCAGCTCCTGGTGCCAGTGCCAGATCCATCTCCTGCACAGGCATCCCTGTGACGCTCCCCAAAAAATCCCTTCTGGAGGCTGCTGGGCCCCACTATCCTTATGTGTTGCTCCGTTCCCATAACACAGGGCAGATGGGTTTGGGATAAAACAATGGTTGTTTTTCGACTACTGCAGACCTAGAAGCCCCAGAGCTACTATCTATTTCTTAATTAGGAGCTTTAAATTCATCTCAGTCTGTGCTCTGGTAAAAAGGTTTTGGGGGGTCTAGCAGCCCCCAGCAGAGATATAACTGAGCTTTCCTTGCAAAATCCAGCCCTTGTGGTTGGACCTTTAAAAGTACATTCCAACCTAAACCATTCTACGAAATCTGGGCTTTCTCCTCAGTGTTCCTGCCAGCATCAGGCAGCACCAGGTGCCAAGTCAGGGCTGGAAGCCATGCAAGGAAGCGGCTCTAGCCACCTCCATTTTCGGGTCCTTTAACCCATCTGGGCTTGCAGAAGACAGGACAAAGCTGGCTTCATGCTGTCTCCAGAAAGGAGAGAAGAAACATACATCTTCCCAACTCCTAACTCATGATTGAGGCTTCCTTCCTTTCCTCCTTCAACATTTTAAGTCATCTTTGCAGCTCAGGGTTTTATTCACATCTGAGTGAGTGTGGGTATCCACAACCCCTTGCCTCTACAGATGACACACGCTCCTCCAGGGAGCACATCTTTGCTCTCAAAATACAGTGAAAATGAAATTAAGTGAAAAAATAACTGGAAAAGTAAATTGTAACTGATAAGAGCAGGAAAAAAAAGTTGCATATATATTGTGTGTGCACAGAGAGGGGTGCTGCTCACCTGCACTCAAGGCATGTGGAACCTCTTCTATGGTGACACCAGTGGAGGGAGTACTTTTGCCTTCTTCAGCCATGCCCTTGGTGGGGCTGGCCACAGTCACTGAGGGGGATGTTGGCTCCATGGCCAGGCTTGATGCCATAGCCAGCATCCCTGGGGAAGGGACGTCCTTCATCAGTGCCGGTGGCTGGGTGGGGATGGGTGGTGAGAGCAGTGCTGTCCCAGGGGATGAGTGCAGGGTGCTGCTGTGAGGGGAGGAAGAAGAGAAGGATGCAGGCGTGCCCACAGGGCTTGGATTTGTCCCCGAATCTGTCGTGCCTCTCGCCATGCTGGAATGTGCTGTCCAAGGACTCAGAACTGTCTCCAAGGTTGGTGGCACTGAACTGGGGGCCACTGATGGGCTGTCTGCTGCAGTGACAGTGTTTGTGGGGGTGGAGGCAGGGGACAGCATGGCCGTGGTGCTCCCATTGCGGCCACCCACCTCGGGGGACACTCCGTTACTGGTGGGTCCCGCAGCTGTCAGAGGTGTAGACTGGTGGGGAGCTGCTGTGGGGACAGATGTGCCCCCTGAGCCTGGCCCTGCTGATGTCCCCACCACTGGAAAGGGGGTGAGGGATGCTATGGGGTCATCACCGAGTCCTGGCAGGGAGAAAAACAAGCATTAGTAACTAGGAAATCTTTATGAGGTCTCTGTAGCCATCGCAACAATGGTAATGGGGACTTCCTTCTCCACAGCTCCTAGAAACCCAAAGCCAGCCAAAATCGACATCCAGAAGAAAATGGTGGAAAGGAGGGGATTCTTCCTGCTCACATTTCCAGGGAGTGGGTTAGAGAAGCTCAGCACTTGGAACCCCCATCCCACGTATCCCAGCCTATTTCTCTTCAGGGCTCAGCTCCTATCCCAGGCTGGCACCCCTGTCCCCAACTCCCTCAGAGCAGGAAGCAGCAAGCACCACACAGCTGGGAACTGTGACACAGGATGCCTCTTTCTTCCCTCACTGTTTCCTTGTACATTCATTCATTCATCTCCATTTCTTAACATAAAGATGAGTCATTCTTTCCCCATTCTTTCCACTGGTCCCCACCAGTGGCTGCTATTTTTTTCTTCTTTTTTCTGTTCTCGACAGGGCCAAACTCAGCTCTAAGCCACCACTAGCAGCTCCATGGGCACAGCTAGGCTGGAGAAAGAGTGTGCCAGCAGCAACTGACATCAGGGGGAATTTTTATTCCCATGTTCTCGCTAATGTATAACCCCACAGCATCCTAGCATGGAGCTACATGAGATCAGAGAACAAAAATTTCAGGACAATACTGATTTTTTCCTTACCATCCGGAAGGCCAGTTTCCCCAAAGCCCCTCGTTGGTGGCACCAGGAGAGCTGGCTCCACACCCCAGGTGCCCCCAACCATAACCTGGGAGAAGGTAGCCACCCATTCCCATGGCCCACAGTTGGTGGCACCCAAAGGCCCCAGCTGGATTCATCAGGAGTGCTGAGCAACTCCTTTCCCAAGCAACAAGAGCTGCCAAGGCAGCTGGGAGGATTCAGCACAGCAAGCCGCATTACCACAAGCCAGCATCCCTGTCAGCAGGCATTGTTAATTCCAAAACAGAATCGCAGCAGCAGGCAAATACGCCTCTGCAAAGGAAGGTGTAGAACATGCATCCACCATTTTAAGAGCTCTGCACCGGTGGTGGCCAAACTAGGGCAGAAAGCAGTTGCTAGGTGGTGTCTGAGGATGTGGATGTGCTGACAACCTGAAGCAAGCATCCCTTCAGCCCTGGGATTCTTGAGATCAGGGCTGGAGCTGCACTTAATTGCTTTGAAGTAATGCTTCCCACATATTTACTGGGGCATGTCAGCCGGGTGCAACTGGACCAGCAGGTTAAAGGCTGCCACCCCAGCTTCTTGCAAGATGCGTTGCTGTTCCAACAAGACCCTCAGTGGGCTGGTAGTACCCAGAGCACTCTGTTAGCTCTCTGTGAAGAGAGCTGGGCCTTTCATGGAGAGGAGCAGCTCACTGCCTCCCTGGATCCCCTTGCTGCTTGCCTGAAGCCTCACTCTGAACACCAGCCAGATTTGTATTAAAAAAGCACTGCTGTGAGGTAGTGTTTGCAGAGTTACCCCTTGCACTTGAAGAAAGCCATCCCATGCTGAATGTCAGGGATGGATGGGCTCTCTCTTGCAGGAGAAGCACACCTGCCCCTGTTAATCACCAAGGAGACCTGCTGTGGGACAGCTTCCCTCTCAGTCCCTGTGGATCCCGAAATTCAAAACACATCCTCACCCCTGCTTGGTTTTGGGGTTTACCCAGTGTCTGTGTGTCCTTTGGGCCAGCAGCACCACCATGGTCTGCCTGAACATCTGGGGCAAACTGGTAGGAATCCTGCAGAGCTGGCAGTGCTGCTGGCTGGGATGAGTCAGAAAGTTTCCGATAATACCTACATGGTACAAGTGCAGCTGGCCTCACAGCCAGGTCTGGGTATGTGCCTCAACTGGGCACTCATCCCCAGCAGATCACAAGTCACAGGCATTGCCCAGGAGAGCTGAAGGGATCCCACCGGCAATCTCGGGTCCTTCCCAATAAGCCACCGCATCCCACAAAAGACAGCCCACCCTCCTGGTGCTGGGTGGCACGCAGCAAGCCAGCTCCTCTCTAAACACATCTGAAAAGGTGAAGAAATGCTGAGGTGGTGGTTCCCTTGTTTGCTCAGCACCTGGGCTGCAACTGTGAGCAGTAGCCAGAAGAGCGCACTGGAATAAAGGATTAAAAAAACACCAGAAATCTTCCTTTCAGAGCATGTGACTTCAGAGGCAAGCAGGGGTTGTCAGAGCAACTGAAGGACATCAGTTATCAAAGGATACCATGCATAGCTCAACCCTGAGAAATTTGCCCATCTAATTCCCTTAAAGCAGCAACTGCCTTGCAGGAATCTGGATGGGAGCAGAACGGGATGGAGAGCACCAGATAACCATGCACAAGCAGCAGCTTGGCACAGCACCCTGCACCACCCATGTTCCAGCTCCACGTGAGCTCTAAGTGGCCACTGGCACGGGTAGTCTTCTTGGAGAGGATGGGAAATGGGTGAGAAAAGCCCAAATCCCTCTAATACAAATGCTTTCATTTTCAAGAGCATTAAGTGCAGTCACCTGGGAAACCCCAGGGAACACCACCGAATGTGTGGATTGATCCTGTTGGCATGCTGCTGGCCCAGTTCCTCCATGGCAAGCAGAGCTGATGTCTCACCCTCATACAAGCTAAGCTCTGCTTTAGCAGCACATACCTAGCCTGGGCTGGGAGCCTCATTAGCAGTGCATTGCTCATCAGCACTCAGAACAGGCTGTTACACCAGCTGAGAAGCAATGTGAAAACAAGAGAGCTCCAGCCCAAGAAAAATGAAATCAGACACAACAGCTGTGCTAAAGCAGCAGCACCCAGCAAGATGTGGAAATGGTGCTCTCAACCAGCTTCCATTTGACATGCTGCACCTGATACAGCCACCAGAAGGTCCACCTGAACTAACCCACATGGGGAATGCAGCCCTCTCCCCACATTAACCCAGACCCTTGGGGGATGCTCCCCAGCCATCACATTTTGCTGTGTGCCTGCATCAGGAGGTGAGTGGTACTGCTTTGGGGAATAGCATGGCTATTTCTTTCTCTTCCTTCCCAGCCACTTATCTTGACTACAACAGCTTCCAAACTTAACCTAAACACCCTTTTTCTGAAAGATGGGAGTGCAGCAAAGAGCAATGAATAAGTTCACCCAAGAGAGCTCTCTTGGCTGTCCAGAGCACACCTATTTCATGCAGCAAAGCTAGGTGCCACTTCCCATCCCAGCAGCTGCAAATAGAAACACATGGGTAAGACACAGCATCAGATTTTTTTTGCTCCTAGATCTGTAAGCAAAAATTAAGGGCAGCCTCAACATCTGCCCTCAGGATCCCCTCAGAGGCAGATGCTGCCGCAGCCCCATGCACCACAGAGTGCTGGGGGCTATGAGCAGAGTGAGGCCTATTACAAAAGCTGCTGGCTGCAGCTGCTGTTGCTGCTGAGAGTATATGGAGAGCTTTATGGGTGATAAATTATAAATGCTGGCAGTGCTTTGTGAAAATACATAGCTTGGGATGGTTTATTCATGCATTGTGTTTGGAGAAGCAGCTGACCCTTCTGAACCAAGAACGCTTGCTCTGGATGAGGAGTTCAGTGGCTCCTTACCCACAGATACATGCTATGCAAGCTCTCAGCAGGAAGTGGTAGAGTGACCCCTGACTCCCTTGCTCCTACAGCACGCAGTGCTTTATTGCTGTGTGAAACAGCAAAACACTATATACTTAAATATAGGGCAAGGGTTTCCTGCCTGTAACCTCGTTAGTTGAGCCTTCATATCTGTGACCAATGCTTTCCTGTGCCGTTCTGCTGCTGCTTCTCCTTTTCTGCTGTCCCTTCTCCTTGCTTGTGGTCAGGTTACGGTGCTTCTGCTTCCCAGCCTGACACTGCCAACCTGCAGCTGTGGTGCAGATCTCCCTCATGTGAGCACATGCAGGTAGCGCTGGGTTCTGCCTGGATTCCTGCTTTTTCTGAGAACACTAGGAGCTGGGCAGCCTCAGCTCCCACTATGCAGCTAGGTTGTGCTGACAGCCCCGCAACATCTGGGGAGGGCATTGAGGGGAGGAGAAAGACAGGGTCCAATGCAAATGCAATAACAAAGCTTTCAGTGAAAAAGAAAAAAAAAAAAATCCCTGGCACTCAGATCACATGTACCCTTGGTTGCTTTGACTTAATGGCTAGCTGGGCTGGCTTCCTGCATGGTCATTAAATGGGTTAAGCCTAATTGCTCCCAAGCCTGAAGCTTTCTGTAGTTCAAAGAAACAGACACGCAATGGAAACAAACATGCTGTCTGCGTTCCTCACCTGCTCTCCTGTGTCTGTCCCCTTGGGAGAGGCTGTCCCAGGCATCCCTCTGCCTGCCTGGGTACTGCCCAGGGAGAAACCCACAGGGGTCTTGGTTCAGAGCGCTCACTGTGGGGATATTTCCAACCCAGGGAGCAGCAGCTGCCTCTCTGTGGGCAGCCTAAGGGGCAATGAGGATGGAGGGATCCTCTGGTTCTGGTGGTCCCTGTCCCCCTGTGACAATGAGGGGATGCACCTTTTGTGATGGGTGCTGTCATGGGGGAGCAGCAGCTGTGGGACAGGTTCCCCCAGCAGGGTCAGAGTGACTGCAGAGCTTCGCTATGTGTCTTGCTGGTCCTGAGCTGTAACGAAGAAGAATAAAGGTGCTGAGATGGCTCTGACAGGGCTTTGGTCCAGTGTTCTGCCTTCTGAGTAAAGGAATGGCAAAAACTTCTCCCTCCTTTTCTCAAATGCAGTGTGAGAGATGCTGTTATCTCATTAGAGGGGCAGGAAAAAGCCTGATAATATTTGGTACTTGCCAAGCTGTGTTCTCTCCATCACTAACTCGTGAAGAACGAGCTCAGAGCATATTTAAATAATAATCTGTACTGTTGGTTGTGTTGGTTTTATTTTGTTTTAAAGGTGGAAGAGTTTTGGGTTTTGTTTGGTTTTGTTTTTCTTGTAAATACTATTTCAGTGGAGAAAATAATAATAATAATATATACATATGGGAAGCGTCCAAAAGATTCGTGCTCTTGTGCATCCCAAGAGGCACGGAGTAGGAATTTTCCCAGGGGTCTTCCACAGGGTCCCACCAATGCTGCTATGGGATGCCGCACTGGGAACAACGCGTCCCCAGCCTCAGCACTGCCAGCGACCGCAGGTGGGAGACGCTCGGCTGGAGACGTCCCAGGAACAGCTGACCCGCTCCAGACCGTTTGGTCCCCGAATGGCTGAGTGCTCCCGCACCTCACCAAGCCAGGCACGGCTCCGGTCCCGCTAAACGCTTCTTCGCCCAACGCGTTTGTCCCTGCGCGGGACTCGCAGCCCCGCCAGGCGCTTTACCGCTCCCCGAGCTGCCCCCAAAACCTCCCGAGGGCCAGGGACGCTCCGGAGCGCGCCACTGGGGGTACCCGCGGACCCGCGCGGCTCCGGGCTGAACGCATCCCGGCTGCCCCCAGGACCCGCGGCCAGGAGGGCCGCTTCCCACACAGCCTCGGAGCGCCCCTCGCTCCACGAGGGCGAGCAGCGCGGTGTCCCGCCGCGTTCCCCTCCCACGCGCGTCTCCACCGCTCACCTGCGGGCAGGAGGAGGAGGAGGGCGAGGAGAAGGCGGCAGCAGCAGCCCATGGTCCCGGCGGCGCGAGCGGCCGAGGACGGAGGGAGGGAGGCAGAGATGGAGGGAGGAGGCGGGGGGAGGCATCGCCCGCCCCGCTCCCCGCCCCGCTCGCAGCCCGCAGCGGCACCGGGAGCGCAGCGGCACCTGCTGGCACCGGCATCGCGCAGCCACTGCTCCCCCCACTTGCGGCATCGCCCTGGCTGCAAACCCCACGCGGAAACCGTGAGAAGCCTCGGAGACCTTTCTCAGGCACCGTCCTCTGGCTCCAGCTGCCGTCTGCATAGCCGCCTCCTCCTGGTCTCATTGGCATTGGCCGCTTCTGCGTGCTCACCTCACCTGGTGTCACCGGCACGGGTTTCCCCCGCCTAGTCTTGTTGGCACGGTCATTAGCAACAGATTCTTTGGCATGTTTGGTGTTTAAGAGGTTCCCTGACTTTTTTGTTTGGGGAATTCACCCGCCATCGGCTTCTCTTGACCTCCTGCACCCTCTCAGCTGGAAGTCTCTTCCATCTCTGGGGGCAGAAGGGAATGGCTGAGATGCGGGCAGCTGTCTTAGCAGTGCCGCTGGCAAGGAAGGGTTCTGAGATCTAAAGAGGTGAAATAAAAAATGCTGAGGAGAAAGAGGATGCTGAAGAGGAAAAGAACACAGAGAGCTTGCTAAGCAGGAGGGACTGCTGAGTTTGGGGAGTTCTAGAAGTAGTAGTGCACAAAAGACGAATGGCCGAAAGAGCCGAGAAGCTCAGACCTCGGGTGGCGTACACGAGGCTCGGTCAGATATCCGAGAGCCGATGCCTGGGAGACCGCAGGAACCACAGCATGCGGTAAATATAGGATATCCGAGCTGCGGTGCTGGAAATAGATAGGGTTCCCCTAACGGAAGAGGGTTCTCACACCCCTGCTGCCCGGGGGCCCACACGGCCCGTTCAGAGGGACCCAGGACGAGGCACACGCGGGCCGCCAGGACCGCCCACCAGCCGGGCGTGTGCGGGAGCGGAGCCCAGGCGGGCGGCCAAGCGGGGCGGCTGCCAGAGCCGCGTTCACAGCCGCCATCCCGCGGCGTGAGGTCACCGCTTTCTTTCCAGCCCGTCATTCCTCCCCTTGAGCTCATGCGGGCGCGGACGAGCCGGGAGGCCGCCCCGGGGATGTGCCACTCTCTTGGCACCCGCAGCCCTGCACGGCAACCCGAGGCTCTGCGTGAAGGTGTTCGGCGGGTGCGAACGAACCCCCTTTCTGTAGCGCTCGGGACACCCCGCACAGGGTGCAGGCGGGGAGATCCCCTCCGGGGGTCCCATCCGTGGGTTTCCGCGCCGCTGGGGGGAGCGGGAGAAGGAGGAGGCAGAGCCGCCCCCGCCCCGCCCCGTCCCGCCCCGCCGCGACCGCCGGGCACCGGGCACCGGGCGCCGGGCAGGCTGAGGCTGCGGCGCGCATGGAAGCGGCGGCGGTCCCGGTCCCGGGCGGCGGTCCCGGCCCCCTGCTGTTGTGCCTGGCTCTCGCCTCCGGTAAGCGGCGGCACCGCGGCCGCGCGGGGGAGTCCGTCCCGACTCGGGGCTCGCACGGTCCTGGAGTGCTCGCACCCCGTACTCCCAGTCCCGTCCCATCCCGTTCTTCCCGGTGCCTACCCGTTGCCATCCCCGTGCCCCGCATGCCGTGCCCCGTGATCCCTCCCCGGTCCCGTCGCGGTGCTCCCCGTGCTGAGTCCCTCGGGTTGACACCTCCCTGGAGTGGAGATGGGACGCTTCTGCCATCCGGCAGCGGGACCCTGCCCGCAGGCAGCCTCGGTGCTGGTGGACCATTGGGTGCGTGGATATGTGGACGCGTGGATGTATTTTGCCGTCCTAAGCAGCGCCAGCGATAAAGGATACTAGGCAGCAAGTGCCTGCCCCGCAGGTTCTTGCGTCGGAGCAAAGGTGCTCCTCCAGCACTAAATGAGGAGACGTCCTGCCCCAGAGCCAGCCTTACAAAGTCATTTGGTTTGGCTGCCTTCAGGAGCAGCACAGCCCCACTGCTGCCCATCACCCCACCTAATTTCAGGCAGCAGGCAGCCCCCTGGGTCCCAGACGTGCCTGCTGCCATGAGCAGCCCAGGGCTTGGCCCTTTGGCGGGGCTGCGTCGTGCTCTGCCCAGCCCACACCCACACAGGGGAATGGTGCCTGACCTGTTTTGGAGCCATGGTGCCCAGCACAGGAAGATGATGACTGTGGGATCCAGCCTTGGAAGGACATCTGTGCTGGGTGGGCTGAGAGCTGGCTGCCAGAGACCCCACAGGGCTGCTATTACCCACATCATCCCCATGCCACCGCCCTGCTGAGGGGAGGCTGCCTGTGGGAGGCTTGCAGGAGGGCAGCTGTGGCAGCTGTTTGCCGTAAGGGTGGGGAAGCTGCCCTGCCGGGGTCGTCCCATGCTGGGGTGAAGTCAGCCCGCAGCTGGTGCTGGGGGGGCAGCCGGGCCTCAGCTCTCATGCTGGAGACTGCACCCAAGCTTATTGGCGTTCAGTCACACAACGTGTGCAGTTACAGCAGCACTGCCTATATATAGCCTGGAGGGACACAGAGCCAGGAAAGGCTCTGCTACTGGCTGGGGGACTCGGGAGGTTGCCCAGTTAGTCCCTCTACGACTACCACAGGGCACTGGCAGGAAGGCCAGGTGTCCAAGTGGCACAGCACACCCGCCCACCCTTCCCCACATGATGAGGATGTGCCCCTCATGACATGCTGCCCTGGTGAGCACTGGCCCCACCAGCAGGACCTGTCCTGTGGGAAGTAGGGCTGTGCTGGGTCATCACTGCTTACTGCACCACCTTAAACTGCCTTAAGGCTGGGGCCAGGGCGACTGCCCCTTTCCCATCTGAGCACATGAAGTGACACAATTAGGGTGAGTGCCTGGGTTTGCCCCCTGATGGACATCCCCCTGCAGCAGCAGCAGGGATATCACAGCACCTGGTGCTGGTGTGGTGATACCTGAAGCCACAAGGGCTGGTTTGCAGCTCAGCTACCTCCTCCCACCACCAGCACAGTTTTTGAACACCCAGGCTCTTCCAAAGAGGCCACCTGGCTACCTGGGGCTCTGCCAGCCTTCCTCATGTCCCCCAAACCCTTCCTGTTGGCTCCTGTCCCTCTGGACCCCCCAGGTCGCACCACCACGGCACGGGCAGCGTGCAGGCTGCAATGGGCCATGGTTGGGTGCCTACAGGTGTGAAGCGGCATCCATCCCTCCCCGCCGGGAGAAAAGCTGATGCTGGTGAGGCAAAAGGTCCCCTCCTCATGGCTTTCAGCCTCCCTGTCCCTGCTCAGCCGCTCTCCTTCATTCCAGGCCTGGCACTTTTCAGCTGCGTGGGTGCTGATGCCAATGTGACCGAAGGGCTGCCCTGCGAGGGCTGTGCAGGTGAGGAGGTGTGAGAGCGGAGCGGGAAGCTGCCGTGTTTTGTCTGGCGCAGAGGCCAGCTGCTGCTTATCAGCACAGAGGCGCTGGGCCGGCGACGGCCAAGGTTGCGAGCCGGCAGCAGGCCATGCTTGGGGTCCCCGCTGCATCCCATCTTGGTCCCTGCAGGTAATGTGACGCAGATGCGGCGGCGGGGACACTTCTCCCGGTGTCCCGAGGAGTACCGGCACTACTGCGTCAAGGGACGCTGCCGCTTCCTCGTGGCCGAGGCAGCTCCGGCCTGCATGTAAGTTGCCAGTGGAGGGGACGTGGTGGCATGGGGGGACGGCACACTGCTGGGAATGGGCAGCAGGTGGTGTGACGGTTTTTGGAGCCCTGTTGTCCCATGTGCTGTGGGGCAGGTGCGAGCGAGGCTACACGGGGGCACGGTGTGAGCAGGTGGACATCTTCTACCTGCGAGGCGACCGGGGCCAGATTGTGGTCATCTCCCTCATCGCTGCCATCGTCACCCTCATCGTCTTTGTCGTCTGCGTCTGCCTCTGTGCTCAGTACGTGGGGCTGGGGCGGGAGCAGCGTGCGCTGCTCTTGGGCATGGCCAGGTGCTATTTGGGTGTGGGATGCGGGGTCTGACCTGCTGGGAGGGGCGCGGGGCATCAATGATGCCTCATTCCGCTCATTTGTTTCATTCCTGTCCCCTCAAAAGCCACTGTCGGAAGCAGCGCAGGAAGAGGAAGGAAGAGGAGATGGAGACGCTGAACAAGAACGTGCCCTCGAGGAGTGAAGATGTGCTGGAGACGGACGTTGCGTGAAGGTGCGGGGGTTTGGTGGTCAGTGGTGATCCCCTAAGCCCTGACAGCTGACAGCTGCCCGCCAGGAACCTGCGGGCAGGTCCCGGCGCCGGCCGGGTGGGCGAGGGGTCGCACTTGTCACGGTGCTAATAAAAGGGTGACCGAAAGCCCGCGCCTGTCTGCGTGTTGCTAAGCTGTCCTCCCCCTGCCGTGCCCGCTTCCCCGTATCTTGCCCGCAGCGGAGGGCAGGGCGGGATGCACCGCTCCTGGCACCGTCCCGCGCGACGGGGCGTTGTGTCGCGCAGCGCCCGCCAGGGGGCGCCGTAGCGCAGGGCGAAACCGCCGCCGTCCCTCGGAGGCTTCAGAGCCGGGGGCGCTGCGGGTCTCGGCGTAGCCGGAAGAGGGCGCTGCACCGCAGTGCTGTTCCTGGCAGAGCTGGCGCGTGGCGCCGCGAGGCGCGACCGGGGCGGCAGCCGTCGGGCGGTCCTGGAGCTGCCCCGGGCCCGTTCCTCCCAACTGTTCCCCCGTCCGTCCGCCGACGCATCCTTCGGCACGGATCCTCACAGCTCGGCCTCGGGCTGATGGCAAGAGGCAGCTCCTGGCTGGCGGTACAAAGTAAATTCCGATCGATGCCTGACGCGGCCCCGAAGCCGCGCTTCCACCCGGCTCCCGCCTCCCGATACCAGCGGGGCTCGGGGAAATCGAGCAGCTCCTCGCCTTCCCTGCCGGGGGCTCCAGCCCGTGGTGGGCGACGGGGCTCGCCTTGCTGGAAGCGCAGCTCCCGAGAGCTGGCACGTGCTCGCAGCCGTGTCCGCGTGCTCCAGTAGGGAGGGACCTGACTGTGCCCCCGGCTGCAGGATTTCGTTCTCCCATTGCAAACATCACCTCGGCTCCGTGCAGGGGACAGCCCAGCCCGCGCTTCCGTACTGCGCACCTCCCTGAGGCACCGCACCGGGCACGGACACCTCCAGCACCAAGTAACCGCAGTCTGGACTTCGTGCAATCTGTAAGTCGATTGCTGTCATAATCAGAATATTACAGTTCACAGTTATACACTGTACAGAAGCTAATTAGTTTGTATTCATTAATTAACCTTGGATTTCTCCACCTCATTTGCAGCTCCAGCTTATGGCTATGTTTAGTCCAGGAAGTCTCTTGTTTATGGTGTCCCCAGTTCATTTCATCTCCAGCTGGGTTTCAGCTCCGGCTCATTACAATTGCAGGCGAACTGTTGGGTCACAGCTTGAAATGGTGATTGAGCGCCTGGTGAAGGGGAGTGGCTGCCCCAGGGAGCACAGGCAAATTGTTTGCACCTGTGCTCCCCATGCGACCAGAAGGGTGGAGGTATCCTGGGCTCACAGAAGGGTCAGCTATGGAAGAGCCGACCCTTATATGAGCCCCTTATGTACTGAAAACTATCTCTTGGACTTGGGTTGCTCGCTGCAAAGGAGGGCTCTATAGCTGAAGAGTTCCTTCATCACTTCTATGAGTTCAGCTCTTTTTTTGGCACGTGACTATTGGTTTACCTCCAAATACTTCTCCTGGGATTGCCAAGAACCTGTTAGAAGCAATTTTGCTTCTTTCTGAATAGAACACAGCTAGTGCTTGTAAAAACAGCCTGGCTTTAGACAAGGTTATAAGTAATTACTGTCACAACTTTAGTATGGTGTGTCATAGTTGTATGTCATAAACTGTGGATTAGCTATTTTTATTTTAGATTTCTTGATTAATCAGGCCTGGAAACATCCAGCTCCCAGCATCTACGATTCATTGGATGCCTCCAACTCACTGTAGTTTGGGTTCATTTCTATGTCTAGGTAGTCATAGCTCATGCAATTAAAATTGTTAAAACAAACTAGACTTTAGACAAGGTTGTAAATCAATCACTATTGTAACTTGAACGTTAATATTGAATGTCTTAGTTGTGTTCTGTATAGATATTGACTAACTTAATTTGTATTTGCAGGCTAATTAACCCTGGATGTCTTCAACTTGCTGCATCTCTGGTTTGTTGGCAGCTCTGTGCTTCTCTCCAGTTTGTTTGCAGCTCCAGCTTGTGGACTGGAATTCTCCTAGACTTCTCCAGCTCTACTTTGGCTCCAGGTAACTACAGCTCATGCTTGTTAAAACAGTTTGGGCTTTATTACAAATCAATCACTGTCATAACTTGATTATTACTACTGAATGTCATAGCTGTACACTGTATAGATAGAAACTAGTTTTTGCTTTTGGTGATTTATTAGTTGTGGATGTCTCCAGCTCATCAGAGCTCATGCTTGCTACAACAATCTGGGCTTTAGACAAGGTCATAAATCAATCACTGTCATAACTGTAATGTTGCATGTCATAGTTATACATTGTAAACTACTTAGTAGTCAGTTCAATTGATTGATTAATTAGTCCTGGACACCTCTGGCTCCCCGCATCTACCATTAATTGCTGTCTCTGGTTCTAGCAGTCTCTAGCTTGCTGCGGCTCTGGCTCATTTGCTTCTAGCTCATGCTTGTTTCAACAGTCTGGGCTTTTGAAAAGGCCATAAATCAGTCATTGTCACAACGTGAATACTAATACAAGCTGCCATCGTTTTCTAACTGTTGTACTACACAGGCGCATTGGTAACTATTCTGGGCATTGTTTAAACATTTGAGTAAGCAATTGAGCTGAAAAGCCATGTTTTATCCAGAGAGTCTGTCATGTGGGTTCAGCCCAGTGCACACCAATGCCCTGCATTCTAGGGACAACACAACCAGTGCTGTGGTTGAGAGCACCTCTACCTGCTGCTGTCTGCACACAGCCAGTCCTGGGGCTTGGCTCAAGGCAGCACATCTGGGTTCAGTGTCTGAGCCCCCCAAACTGGTTCTGAGTTCCAAAAATAGGCCGCTCAGTCTCCGTTCTCAAGCTCCCACAGCATCCCAGTGCTCTTGTAACAGAGGCTGAAAACTGTGTAATGGACTGCAGACTGTGGTCCAACAGCGGCCAAATGAGCCTGTTTTCAAGCCTCAGAAATGCAGGATTCCATTTCTGCTTTCAAGAGGTGGGAAGGCACAGTTCAGTTACTCTCACTGGGTCCCCAAGCCAACCAAATCAGCCTGGGTTTGAGCCGCTGCAAGGCAAGAATTCGCCTCTGCTGCCGAGCCCCAAACTGCTCACCCAGCTGCATTCTCTGCTCCAGCAGCCATCACAGTGCGCACTGCTTTACTTTTCCGTTTGCCCAACGTCCGGCCCACGTGCGATGCCGAGGCGGAGAGCGCAGCCCCGGGCCCCCTGCCTTCATCCCCCGGCTCCGGCCGCTTTGCAGCCACACCAGCAGCGCAGCGCCGCCGGCGCCGTCCACGGCCGGAAGGGGAATGGAGGGCGGAGGGAAGATGGCGGCCGCACCGCGCAGGCGCCTTGGGGTCTTCTCAGCGCCAGCCCCAGGCCCCCGAGTCGCGTAATGGCGGCGGCTGGAAGGGCGAGTTAGGAGCCTCGTAGGTCAAACCCCCTGCAGCGCTTGGCCTTGGTGAACTTCAGGAAGCTCATTTTGCACACAGTTTGCAATCCTGGCCCCGTCCCTTCGCTACCCCGTGGTGACTCCCTGCCTTTGCCTCTTACGGCTGAGATGATGCCTCAGCACTCATTCCTACCCTGTATGGTACAGCACAGGACAGCAATTACAACACACAAGGCAAAGGTTTGCCAGCATCACTGCATTTATTTTCTACTCTGGGTCACATCATGCTGATTCTACCACTGCATTACTCTCCAAGTACTCAGCTGATGTTTAGATGCTTTTTAAGAAAGGAAAAATTTATTTCCTACAACCCAGGACAAATTTTCAGAGAAAGGGATGAAATTTGCTCATGTGATTAATTTGCACACAGGAAGTGCTGGCAAGAGGCAAGGAGTGGCTCCTTTGCTTCAGCAGTTAATCTCCACACTTCAGCGCATTGTCACCAGCTCCTCTGCAGAGGTGGGGTGGATAGCAACTGTGTTGTCAAAGTCAGCCTTGGTGGCTCCCATTTTGATGGCCACAGCAAAGCCCTGCAGCATTTCATCACAGCCCAGGCCTTGCATATGCAGCCCCACCACCTTTGAGGAAGAAGCAAGAAGCCAGTGAGACCAGACTCACAGCCAGGAGTCACGCTACCACCACTGGTGGGCCCCACCCGGACAGCCCATGGTGTTCCCTGCAGTGAGATCCTACAAGGGGACCTGCATCTTCCTAGGTGGGGATACCACTATCTCCTTCTACACACCTTCTCCTCCTTGCCAGCGCACACCAGTTTCATCACACACTTCACTTTCCTCTGGGTGACTGCATGGTACATGGGGGTGAATGACGTGGAGTAGATCTTCACGTTGTCCTTCCCGTACACAGAGATGGCTTCATCTGCAGCAGAAAACACTGCACATCAGTTTCCCTGGCCTGTTTCTCCACACAGGCACTGATTTAAGACCTGCATGCCTCTCTGCATGTTCTCCCACCCCTACCTTCAGTGAGGCCCACAGTTCCAATGGGTGGGTGGCTGAAGACGACAGTGGGGATGTTGCTGTAGTCAAGCCGGGCACATTGTTGGTTACCAAAGAGCCGAAGTGCCAGCTTTCTCCCAGCTGCAATGGCCACTAAGGAGAGGGACAGAGAATGTGAGGCATGGCTCTGCTGGGGGACAAGGGGATGGAGAGCACCGGTACGCACCTGGGGTCAGAAGGGCTTTGCCACAAACATCTCCAATGGCATAGATCCCCTTTCTGGTGGTGTTCTGGAATTCATCCACCACCACATGGTTCTGGGCGTCCACTTTCACACCCTGCCAGGGGAATACCAGCCATGTCAGCACTTAGAACCTTGTGGTCCTCACAGCAATGTGAAGGTCCCTGGATGGAGGAACTGAGCCTGGCAAGAACGTGCCAGACTTTTTATGGTCCCACACGGCACCAAGAAGCTCTGCAGCCCAAGGATGGCGATGCTTAAGGGTAAGGGGACACATTTCTGTCTCACCACATGCTCCAGGCACAGCTCCTCTGTGTTCGGCTCCCGCCCAACGGCCCACAGAAGGCAGTCCACATCATGGATCACCTTCACAGTTGGCTTGTGCCCAGGCTCAGAGGATGTCACCTTCACCTCCAGCAAGCCAGTGGGGGACTTGGTGATAGCCTGGACCTGCGGGGGCAACCAGGTGCCAGGATGGGATGGTGCTAGTAGGGTGGGTAAGCAACCACCCTTGCTTGGGGTGCTACCTCATCCATCTCAGAATCATAGAACTGCTCAGGTTGGAAAAGACCGTCAAGATCACCAAATCCAACCTCATCTTGTTCCCCGTGAGCGCCCATACCTGTGTGTACTTCCAGACATCAACTCCAATGTTCTCCAGCTCCTGCGTGCAGTTTGTGCTGATGAGCGAGTCAAACGTCCTCAGGACCTAGGCAGGGACCATGCAGCCCTCTGAGATGATAGGCCACACACTAGGATGCTTGATGGCCCTATCCACCTCCATCTCCCTACTGCCTGTTTTCTTGCCGCACTCTGTCACAAATAGGCGGGGACGCTTCTGCTTCATAGTAAAGCATTTCTTTGTTTTTTTAATCTTCCTTAGTTTGCTTTCTTCAAGCTATGATTCAACATGAAGCTGAAGGAAGCAGATCCCATGGCACGCACTGCTACAGAAAAGCTCTGCATGCTCTACAGCTGCAGGGATGGGCTCAGCAGCATGCCTCTGCTCTGCCTCCACCCACAGCTTCCCTGGCTAACCTGCCAGAGACGTGTGGGCAGCTGGGATGTGGCTGCAATGGGAGGCACCATGGGGATGGCCAGCAGCAGTACCTTGTCCCGACGGATAAGCAAGGAGGACTTGGAGCCCAGTGTGGAGAGGATCCCTGCGATTTCCACTGCAATGTACCCTGCACCAACGACCACGCTGTGCCTGCAGAGAAGCAAGAATGCCACGTGCACATATTTGGAGCCTGACAAGCATTAGAAACCTGGCAGCTTCTCCTGGGCCCAAACCAAGTAGTTCATCTTGGGTGCCACCACAGTGAGAGCCTTGCAGAACAGCCTATGCAACCTCCCAGGGCAGAGCTGAGAAGAGCAAGGTGATCAGCTGGAGCCACTGAGAAGCCACCAAGCTCTGGGATTCACCTCTCCACTGCATCACCGGGATGGGAGATATCCCACTGTACCTGGGAAGTTCTTCCAGGTCGAAGAACCCATCACTGGTTATACCGAGGCTGGCACCTGCAAAGCAGCAAGGTGATTTTACCATGGATAACTGCAGAAAGCTTCCTGCAGCCACATCGCTTGCTTCCTGCTTGTGCTATGTGGGTACTCACCAGGAACTTCAGAGTCAGGGGGGACCGATGGGCGCCCACCTGTCGCAATGAGGATGTGAGGAGCCGTGTACTTCTTCCCACTGACTTCGATGGTGGGCTCCGGATCAGAGGTGAACTTGCCATAGCCACGGATGATGTCAATGCGAGCCTGTGGAGCAATAGCAGGGAGCCCAGGTATCTCATTAGCAGAATAAATACAGAAAATAGACAGAAAAGACTGCTTCCACGCCAGGCTCGGGGAATAAAAGCATCCACACCTTGGTTAAATTATTTTCATAGATCTCATTCAGGCGTCTCACATAAGCATCGCGCTTCTCCTTAATGGTCCTGGAAAAAGATGGAAGTTTATTGTCACCGCCAACTAATGAAGCTGCAGAGCTCATCTGAAATGACTCTCACCGCATGGCAAAGGAGGTCCAAAATAAAACAGGTGTGAGTTGCACAGCAGGCAGGTGCTTTCCCCACTGGGGCTGGCACCCAACCCCACCCAGCCTGAGCCTCACCTCCAGTTAAACCTGGCACCAGGTATCTCGAAGCCATAGTCAGGATGGTCGTGAATGAACTCGGCGTGCATGGCAGTGTTCCACATCACCTGCTCACACAGAGCATGGCCCACTCAGTGCCCTGGTGCAGCAGGCTTCAGGATGAGCCTATTACACCCAGCAGGCTCTTGTAGTTTCAGGAGAACTGCAACCACCACGGGAGCCCCGAGGTCTGCCGCAGCAAACACCAGCTGCATGACTGTGACCACCCTTTGCGTGCAAGGCCATACAAGCGGCTTCACTGGCTTGCACCACCGGGATCTTAGCTTGGCTGCGTGCAGGCAGCGCTTCCTGATGCCACCCCTCTGCCCGGACCCGCTCACGGGACAGGGATCTTGGTGCCCCAGGGAGGTGCAGTTGCGCAATGCTCTGCAAGCACTGCTTCCTCCCCACGCCCTTCTCTGCAGGTTGTGCCCTGACCTCGGTGCAGTTATCCGCCTTTCGCTCAGGGCCAAACCCACGGCACCGAACTCTGTGCCGGGGCTGAAACTGATCCAGAATATAACGTTGCAAACAACAAAAAAAAATCACACTCACTTTTTTTGGCACGCACCCAACGTTGACCTAGGAGGGAAGAAGGGCAAGTTGTGAGCACGACTTGGACGAGGAGATGCTTCGGCAGCGCTGCACGCCACGTCTCATGGCCCGGAGCCGAGCGGGGTGCCGCGTCCCTCGTGCTGTGTCACAGCCCTCCGCTTCCTCGAGGCTGAGCACTGAAGGTCGGCAGTGCTCGCGGTCCAAAGGTAGAACACGAGAGGTCCACAGAGCGCGCCGTTTGCGGCCCCGTTCGGGCAGCGTCCGCCGCACGGCCGCTCCGGCAGGGGAAGCGCACCGCCGCCGCTTCTCCCCGAGCGAGCCGCCCGGCGGACGAGCCGTTTTCCTGCCCGCTGCTACATCGCTGCCCGCTCATCGCGTCCCGCCGCCTCCCCCGGGCCACCGCCTCCGCCCAACTCACGCAGGTGCCGCCGAGGCGTCGCGGCTCCACCAGGGCGACGCGGACGCCCATCTCGGCCGCCCGGCGCGCCCCCGCCAGTCCCCCCGACCCGCCGCCCAGCACCAGCAGCTCGTACGCGGCCGCCGCCATGGCTCAGGCACAGTCCGCCCTCCCGCCCGGCACCGCCCCGGCCCCGCCCCCGAGAGCGCAGCACCACGGCTCGGGCTGAGAAGGGCGTTTATTGTTCAGGTACAGCGAGCGGGAGAAGCGCGGCCGTGACAAGTACGCGGAGGCGGGAACAACACAGGACGGGAATCGAGCTAAAAAGGGAACGCTTTATTCCGTGTTATGACAACGTACTCCCAAAAGCAGGAATCGCTCCCCTTCTCCTGGCAGCGCAGAAGGGCAGGGGGTGCAAGGGGCCTTAAGGGCCACCCGACCCCTGCCGGGGGCAGGGCTGCATGCCCTGGGCCGGGCCGCCCGGGGTTTCGGCCAGCCTGGCCTGCTCCACTTCAGGCGCTCGTCTTTCAGTAAAATCAAGAGTGGTGGGGTAAAGAAGTTAGTGTGCATTTCCCTTAAAAATGTACTCCGAAACGCTAATTCATGCCAGTTAACCACTAGAACTAAAAATTTACAAATAAGCGTAAAAGGAGATGGAAGCGTTTGAGTTACCTTGTCCTCTCTGAACAGTCCAGAAAAAAAAACACAAAAAATGACTACAATACAGCAGGCAAACTGACTGTTGGACTGATTGGTATAGGATATATAGTGTTGTAAGGAATTCAGTCTCAAGTTGTGCTGAACGCTCTTCGTCCTCAGTATGGCACATTTTGGTCCATGAAGGGGATTATAAGTAGAGACGAACCCCGATTTCTGACAGAAACAAGTAAATATTGTTGCTCTTTAAAACACCAGGCGTACTTCCTTCTAAAAGGTTATGAGAGGTTTATAGGAAGTAGTCTGGGGTACGACGGGTGACATGAGGCTCTCCACGACGAGGTGCTGGGTCAAACTGAAGGCTGCAGGAAAGAAAAAGGGGTCATTGCTCCTCCACACAAGGCAGTTTCCAATACTGCAAACAAGACTTGCTCTCCTGCTGCTGTCACTTTATTTTCCCAGCTGCTTCCACCTGAAGTGTCCCAGATCTCCCACAACCCCAAATCTAAATCCAGAGGATTTAGCATTATCTATCCATCTAATCCAATCCATCTAATCCAATCTAATACCATTAGGATTGTAGCAGGTCCCCAAACTGATGACCAGCAGGAGGCAAACTCATCTGCTGGTAGAAATACTGCTCACAGAGCAAACACAGCCTGCCCCTGCAGAAGCTCCAATGTTTCAGAACCAGGAAAAGGAGACAAAGCAGTACCTAAGAAACGTTTTTAAGAGCTTAAGTAGCTCCTTTTATAGCTTGACTTAAGTTCCAGAGCAGTTTGAACTAGGTTTTCATGAAAGGACCCCTTTGGAAAGGATCAGACTTTCCTCCTAGTCTGGAACCGTTAAGCAGGAAGAGAACAGCTCGAAGCACGTTACTTACAAGGAATATTTTAAAGTGTCATCTAGTTCCATGATAGCGGCCTGGTTCCCACAGCGGTAGCAGTAATTGGGTGCACTGAAAATGGTCACCACATTTCGGTCATGGCACCAGTTATAACCCTGCCAGGAAAAAGAGAAAAGAAGTCTCTGTTAAACCTCAACCCTCAGTCCATCTGAATTTCCTCAAACAACAAGCCTCAAGCTATTTGTGAAACAGTAGGTTCCTTCCAGGTAGTTCCATTTTCAAAAGGCACTCTACAACATCAACAAAGTGGTGTTTACAAGCAATGTTTACCTAGCAAGAATAATTTAAGCCATTCTATATGGAGGCTGGCTATTGGCCACTGATGGGTTTGTATGCAAATTGTGGATTACACAAGAAGGAAAACTAGAGATTTCAGCTAAACCCTCAGCTCTCATTCACCACAAATGAATTTTGCCAATTCACTTAAAAGGGAATTCTGACACACGCTACTCCTTACAAGACCTACTTGAATGAGATGTAAAAATAAATCTGCTCCATTGACCCACTCGGCATTTTTCCATCAAGACATACAAGAATACACCATCAGCAGCCAAAGTTAGGGCTTAATCCCTGACATATCTGACTACTGCGTACTATAGGGCAGCCTGTTTAATACAGCATGTAAGATTATTACTTCAACAAACAGGGCATGGCAGGGTCTCTAGCAATGTATTTAGTTACAGAGCGGGTCAAAGCATCATCCTTTTACATAGCTTGTTGTTTTCACCTGACTGAAATCTCTCTTAGGAACTTACCTGCCTAGCCTTTACACGTCAGCTCGTGCAAATTCACCCGAAGGTCTCACAAAAGAGACAAGAATTTACATCTACCTTTTCTTTCTTTTTGCCTGTCCAGCTGACAGTGCTTCCCCTACCTCCATGACAAGTTGGTGAGCACGGGAAACCAGTGTAAGACCATTGGCATGGTTAAATGTTTCAGAAATGTCTTGCCCAAATGTGTAGCCAGCACCACGTGGAGATATACCCCAGCCGCCACGATCATCTGGATCCGACCACAACAGATCACACATTGGACCCTTGAAAAAAAGTGAGTGTTCTTTGTTAGCTTTCATCATGATTGCAAAATAGTTACAAAAATACAACTTTAAATATTTACAGTAAAAAGCCTGCCCGCATATTCTTCTCTGCATAAGCCACATCTGTTTATCTAGCAATAGTTACTCCAGTCAACATCCATTCACAAGGAATGAATACGCACACAGCTGAGCAGTCCGTACTACCAGAGAACTGTGTGGTCACCTCCAGCACACACTGCTTACCAGCTCGCTTCACCTAGCCAGAGCTGCAAAGATGTGCAGAACAGATCCACGTGCTTCTTCCTGACTCTCACAGTATAATAAAGGCCACACAGGAAAACATGTATGCAAGTCCGAGGATACACAAAGCGTTCATCAGTGCCAGCCAACTTGTAATAAATTAATGGAAGGGAAATTATCCACATGAAGCTATGAACTAATCAAAAGATTGATGGTTAATCTTCAGCAGTTCTTCTGGCAGGGTATTAAGCATGTAATTTTCTCTGCTGAATTGTTCTTCATTGGATTTTACATATTCAGAAATATCCTGGTACTTTTAACAATCACAAGTGAAGCTCAGCAGCTTTTCTCGCTGAGCTATTAAGAAACTCAGGGGCACTACAAACTGTCTAGTACTTATCAAAGCCCTCTGCTGTTTCCCATCCATTGATCCAAGCTACGTGGTAGGGATCACGTACAGAGGTTCTTGGGAAATGGATTCAGCAGTCAGATGCGGCATAAGACTTTGAAAAGACTGTGAGAACCCCAGAGTAACAAAACAATAATTACCATCTATCCACAATCAGAAGCCCCACCAGGCTGCCTCCTTCCTAATTCTGGAGGCAATTCTAACAGCTTATTTCAGGTTTTCAGAAATCTCAGACAGACCTTGCCACTCTATTCTTGCTCCTGTACCCAACACGTTTCAGGACAAGCAGTTTGTTTCCATGGGGGGATAATCAAGACCATCTGTAAGCCCCAACAATTCCAACACAGCAGAGCTATTTGCTAGCCTTGGAGCTCAGAGAGTGGTTTCTTCAGTCCAACTGGCACTCCCCAGCTGCTCCACATGGGACTCCTGCACATCAGCATGTCCTATAGGCTCTCTCTAACTTTGTCAGGTCCCCCAGAAGAAAGAGGGTAGCAATGAACACGGTGAAGACACAAAAAGGAGTGGCTGAGGTGGAGGGACAGTGACACGACAGCTTAGTGTGCTGGTGGTTGGTTCACAAGGAAGTGTGCAATGGGGCACTTTCCCTTGACAATATGACTGAGTCATCATAACAATCAAGAAAATCTGTTGCTGTGAAAAACAGCTGTGAAAACCTCACAGCTGTCCTTTTGCACATTGCTGTAATCACAGCATATTGACTTGGGTGTGTTTTAACCAAATGAATTTTCATTTGCTATAGCTCTTACTCAGGCAATAATCTTCTGCAGAACAGCATGTCTCACTGCGTGAACGCATTTCTGCATGACTGTATGTTTGCATTTTCAACTAACATATGTAAATTGTAGTGCATCTAGCTTCCTGTTACCTCATGTGGAACTTCCTGCAGGCGGTCCAGAGCCCTGATATGATCCAGTGTATCTATGGATGGAGAGAGGCCACCGTGGAGACAGAATATCTGTTGCAGAAAAAAAGAGCAATCCATTAAATGCATTTTTGCTATGGGAAGACTCGTCTCAGAAACAGCTGGTTTTAACCCATTATTTTGCAATTACAGTGGTCTACCCTTACAGGGGAGAAACAAATTTTAATTCTCTCAGATGGAAACAAAACTGGACGGCTGCACATTGCACACTAGTATCGGAGCAACAAACATCCTGTGCCTTCAGTATCACAGCAATATGTCAACTCGCAGGTGATGTATCATAAGGAGATTCTCACCTGCTGAAGACTTCTCTAAAATAAACAGCATCTGCAATACCCTGACACTCCTTAGGCAGCAAACAGAGGCCTTGTTGTACCATCAGCTTGTATTAATAGTTCACCCAATTCTTCCCCAAACCCACAGTAAACACCTGGGCTTTACAAAAAATTCTGGCCACAAGCTAAGACAGCTTGTTTGAGATTGTTCATGCATGGGTCAGACAGCACAGACTGCACTGTGCTACCAAACAAACAGTTTTGTTTATTCGGGGCAGGAAGCTTACCTGGCCATCTACTAGAGCTGTAAGCGGAAGATAATCAAACAGATCTGTGAAATACTTCCAGACATTGGCATTGCCGTATTTCCGCAGACATTCATCATAAAAGCCATACACTTGTGTAATTTGTCTGCTTTCATGATTTCCTCTCAGTATTGTAATGCGTTCTGGGTAACGCACCTATTGACCAAAAAGGGGGGGGGAAAAAGAGCAGCTTTCCTTTAACACAAGAACTGTATAAAAGATATGGAGAAATACTAACTAGAAGTTCAAGCAGCAGACAAGCATTCAGGCCTATTATATAAAAGCATGTGTCCATTAACAAATTCCAACTTACATCCATTTAGCTCAAGCCAACTGCAGTGTCAAGGGGGGAACAACTCTTTCATATCCCCTCCAAAGCACAGTTTTGCCCAAAGTTATCAAACCAAGCTGTCCAGCCGTACCTTTAACGCTACTAGTAGAGTCACCGTTTCCACTGAGTAGTAGCCTCTGTCCACGTAGTCTCCCATGAACAGGTAATTTGTGTCTGGAGACTTCCCACCGATTCTAAAGAGTTCCATAAGATCGTGGAATTGGCCATGGACATCCCCACAGACGGTGACAGGACAACGTACCTCTTGCACATTTGACTCTTTTGTAAGAATTTCTTTAGCCTAACAAGAGAAAAATAAAAACAAACAAAAAACAACAGAACAAAAATGCATGAAGCTCCTCTACTGGCAGGTGCAGAAGTTATTCCACTGCGTTTGCACTGGAAAATCAGTTTCCCTCTAATAGGGAAGGATGACCACTAGAAAAAGAGCGTGTTGAATAAGCAAAGGCAATGTGCATTTTACAGACCGTTGTGCAAGAAGACAAGTTTGGTACTGTGAAGCCTGGACACACAGATTTTATTGTACCATATATGACAATAAGCAAATTCAAAGAAGTAAATAAACAAGTTAATTCTTAACCTGTCCTGAAATTAAGGAGTGTGAATTTCAAGACTTGCTATTGCATACAACTTCCATCACTGATGGGGTTCATCCATGAAATCTCTGCTTTTTCCAGTCATTTCTGAATTGCATACAATGACTGCAAGTGCTATTCCAGTGTTTTCATTAGTGTCACATGCAGATCTCATCTCCTTAAGCACAACTGACTTGTTTGTTGGAAGCGTGCCGGTCCATTTGCTTGATAGATCTCTTGGTTCAGAAGAGCTCAGGTCAATTCATCTGACCTGTGTGAACTACAGCAGCACTGGTGTTCCAGTCTGACTGCCAAAGCCAAGTGCTGCTCAGCTTTGTGATGCCTAGCAGCTTTACCTCAAGAATGACAACTGTATCACTGGTCATCTCATGTCCTGTCCGAACCTCCGTGAGAGGCTTGCATGAACAGGGTTTGGAAGCCTGTGGCCATGGCAGAACACCAGAAGAGACTGCATGTTGCCCAGGCAACTATTATGGCTTCTGAAAAACTTGGTTTACAAAAGCAAGGGTAAAGCCAGATACTATTTCACGCTTATTCCAGTAGTTAAACCACGGCCTCTGAGGCTTCTTTGAGAAGTTACCTGACTTGCAGTGATACACTTGCACACAGGCTCTCTGCTCCTGCCACATTTTAGCCTGACTGCCACCCAAGTTACTGCTTTCCATCCCACGCAGCCATGAGGCTCCACACGGCAGGCTCAAATCTCTCTGCTGCCAGCCCTGACAGCTAATCTTCACCGCCTTCATCCTCTGGCATCCCTCGTGCTTCCTCCTCCCATCGCTGCACACCCAGGAACCAAGCATGCTATCCTAAAACCAGGATTTGGCAGGAACAGATTTGTGCCATGGAAACAGCACTGCAAGCAGTGCATTTGCTCAGTATCTACAAAGCCAGCTCATCATCTGAGCAAAGCTGATGCTAAGCAAGGCTGAATGTGACGAGGCAACTCGCCGGGCAGAAAAGCCGGGCACTGCTGTGGCACTAGATGAGCAGGACCATGTTACTCTGCCAAATGGCAATGAGAACAAGTGGCAGAGCATTGGGCACCTGAGGCAGCTATCTGAAGGCACTGTGCTCTCAGATCACATTATGATAAGAGACAACTGTCAGGAACAGGAATCTCTCAGCTATTCCCAGCTGTTCCCAGGACATACGGGAACCATCAAATCCATCTCCTTTGCAGAGGGGAGGGTTTCTTCTTGCTGAAGTCGTAAGGAAAAAAAGCATTTGTAAACCTTACCTGTACTAAACTGGCACAAACCTCAGTGCATATGCATGAGGCACTTTTCTAGCCCGGGGCACCTACTTCCTGCCAAATTTCCAATTCTTTTCCAAGTTTAATTTAAATTCCTCTGGAGATATTATCAACTTCCTGGCCGTAACCTGGCAACAACACAACTACAGATGGAGGGAAGGCATTCCTGAATTTAGTCATCTCTCTGCACCCAGCAGTTCCTATGCTAATTACAGCCACGTAATGTAGTAATGTAGCCTATCTGCGTTACTTCTTATTATGGTTGTTTTTGCTGCCTCCAGTTCATTAGCTGATATAGGCCAGAGCCGTGGCACATCTGAAGCACAGAGAGCACCCATGGGCAGGCTCAGCCAGATTCAGACAGAAAGGACAAAGGATCATCTGTGCAGAACAGTCACAGGTGGCGATTTGGCTGCTCTCTTTGCTTAGGATGAGTGAGGTCCCACCTACCACATGGTAAGAAGCTGCTTACTGAGGACACCCTCAGCAGGCACCCCTGAGCACATCTGTCTTCACATTCGAGTGTTCAGATGCCTTGCTTCTTACGCACTGGGAAAAAAAAAACTAAAGCCCACTGGCTTGGCTAATGCTCAGCATGCCACCTGCATGGTATGCAACCTGAGGGATGTGACCCTGATTCTCAGAGACATCCTGATTATAGACTGAGTGATGTGGAGTCCACTTTGTAGTTCTAAATGGACTGTAAACTGCTGAACACATGGCATCTGAGTGCAACAGCCCTCCTGAGTTCCTCCTGTTCATGCCTTTAAAAGCTCTCACGGGACCTCTCAAGAACTCCAGCCCTCAAGGAGTGACAGAAAATTCAGTCACAAAACACTTGTTCTGTGTGTTCTGACGTATGCTGTGTGAAGCAAGAGACTGGGCTTCACTGTGAATTGGAGTTAACCGAACCACAACAGGTGCCAGGTATTTTCTGTCTTTTTTTTTTAATTGTGCATGCTGCTCCTTTCTCAGCTGCATGAAAAGACAGGGTCTTCGTGCTTCTGGGAGAAAGATGCGGGGCATGACACAGGCATCATGCATACCTGCCTGTGTCCCAGTCCCATGCATGCATCCTGGGAACACATACAGGTAAAGAAGCATTCAAGAAACAGAGGGCAGCTGCTTTTGTGCAGTAACACCCAAAATGCTCATGTTAAATGCATCCTAGGAAGGTGGGTCAGCAGGACACTTGAAATATTGGTACTAGGAGAATCTAGAAGTTTCCCATCAGGAGAGAGAAGGAGCTGACAGCTGAAAAACAGCAGCTTCTTCAACTGCCAACCAGCTGTTACTGTTTACCCTATTTTAGCTTACTTTGAAGACATACATGAAAAATAAAATTTGTCATGTTAATATTGCTTGGGAGCTGAGCTGACCACAGAAATTTGCTCTCAAATGATCTTCTAAGGCAAAATGAGATCTTTAAAATCTTAAGCATCATTGAAAACATCCGGGAAAAGCTGCAATCGATCAACTCTGGTTGCCCTTTTCACTGAGCATAGGTAGCACTACAACACAAAGACTGAAAAAGCATCAATACAAAGGAAAAAATTCTATGACACCTCACATTACTGTCATTTATTTATGAAGGCTGTTTAAATAACTAGTAAAATCATTTTTAGCTACCTTTTTCTAGCACGTCAGCTTCCCAACCATGTCCCCCATTTGTTTTGGATTAAAGCCACTTTCCAAGTACGAGTGAATAAAAGTAACTGTTGTGGAACTGCTAAGTCATGGCCTGAACCAGTGATTAAGGTGATTAAGCACCTGGTGGGAAGGCAGGGCCAACCCAGGGCAGCTCAGGTGCATGCAATGTACTCCAGTAAACAGAAGGGGTGGACCCAGAATCCACCCCTTCTCAGACCTCATTTAAGGGTTGGCAAGGGGAGGTGAAGGCATCTGTCTGGAGATCTCTATCTACTGGAGGCCTTCCACAGGTAAGCAATTTTTCTTCCCTTGTTTTTGAGTCCATGGCTGCTACATTTGGGTTCATTTTCATTTGTTGTAGCCTAGGATTGTGCTACTCTGCTGATATTGCTGTACTTTCCATTGCATTATAGCATTTCATCATTACAATAGTAAGAATCTCCTGCTCCTAAGTAGACATAATATTTACAGTGCTTGCCCTCAAAATTATGCTGAAGAGTAAGTTATTTGTTGGTTGTGAGTTTGCCAATCAAACTGGCTCTCAGCTCGTTCCCAGCAGACCAGAAGTTGAAGCTGCCTGCCATCCTGACCCTTGATCTGCATGGATGGATGCTGGAGGACGTGTCCCAGCACTTTACTGTGTTGTCACTGCAAGAAGAAACTGAACAGTCTCAGGACTCAAACACAACCTCTTAATACACTGCTCTGAAACTGGAGATCTTACACAAGCCCTGAGACTACTGTCAAGATCACCAGGAGTCTAAGCCTGTGTGAGAGGCTTAATGATCAAACACACATTATCTCTCACACTACTTGGATTTGTCTATGAGACTTGTGTAGGCTGACTCCATCAGTGAGAGGATTAAGATGCATCCAGATTTTCAATGTCAGGCTTTCCCTAGAGCATAATAGAGACCCAGGCACCAGATTAACATAAGGTCCTTTGACAGCACAGAAACACAGCTTCTTCTGGAAGATTCACTGACCTCAGTTTGATTGCTGGAGGCCCTTACTTCAGGAATCAGAGAAACCAGCTATGGAGTTCCTAATTTAAATCAGCCAGTTGCAATTAATTAGCATCAACAGGCTGAGGATCTTAAGATCTCAGAGGTGCCTCAGCAGCATTGTTTGACAAGAGCCAGCTGGATTCTCCCCAAATGGGAGGGTAGCTGGAGTGCTGGAGCTGCCCTGCCCTTCAACAGCAGAGGGCACCCAACAGCAAAACAGATGCCAACGTGGATGCACACTCCTAGAGACATCCAGGCCAATATGTGCAAGATAAACTTCACTGCTGAAGAGATAAAATACTGCTGACTGTGATCCACCATAACGCTCTCAGAATGTGTCATGGTTTGAATGGCATCCAGGATGCTATTTGGCTTCCTCGCTCGTACTAATTTCACCGATTACTGCAGAAGAGCCTACAAGCTCATTCTATCGAAATTATTACTGGGCAGAATGACCTCAGAGAGCAGAACTGTCACAGGTACATGCCAGTAACAGCAGTATTCTCTGAAGCACCAACTGGCTTCTGCTCAGCTTCAAGAATCAGTGCACAACTACCTTTCAGCAACTGGACAAGAAATGCAAGTCTTCATTAGTGGTTAGAATCCTTCTCCTCCCACCTCTTTGCAACACAAAGCTCTCCAGCTGCTCAAAGCTACTCTCTACTCCCCTCTTAGACAAACAGAGGCCAAGGATGTTAAAAAAAAAAAAAAAAAAAACTACAAAGAAATAGATGGTTATAGATGGTTGTCTGCTTGTGTTTAAGAAACAGCCTTTAACTTGATTTTCTTTATGCCGTATCCTATATTAACGAAAACCTGTCTTTATTATAACTAAGGTCTCAACTCCCTCATAAGCAGAATTAATTTGCTCACTTGACCTGAATCTCAAATTGAAGAGCATTTAAAGCTTTTCATGTACAACTTTGAGAGCACTTCCTGTTATACGAATCCACTGCCTCAGTCTTTCAGCCCAGCTTTAGCTGCTTGAAGTGCAGGGTGAGGAGCAGCAGTGCCCACACGGGATCAAAAGGAGTTCCATCCAGAAAGTGCTACCCTCCTGTGAGTACCCAAATTCAAAGCAAGCACAACCATGGATACAGAACATGCCAGTACACCTCTGATTAAGTGCAGACAGCATCAAAGGCTGAGCTCCATAGATATTCTCACTGCGTATTTAATGAGAGCAGATAAAAGGTTTTTAACAACCTTCATCTACTCACGTGACTACAATAATCAAATTAAGCACGATGAGATACAGGAAGTCTGATGTCTATTTCCCTAACAGGCTGGATACATTTATGGTGCCTAGAAGCTCCAGTAGCGACAATAATTGTTTGTTCTTCTATTATGGTCTAAATATCAGCATGAATTTAGTTTTCATTTTAAGACCAGCAGAATGGGAAGTGTTTTATTGCTATCAGTGGATGACATCTTGATTAATTCTATAAAGAATATAAGATGGATTAGCTGCCAAAGTTATGTCATAACCAGGCAGATCAATTTACAGTGATTCTACAGGTGGAAATTTCAAAAGCTTTCTGAGAAAGAATGACTTCTATACTGTGTATGAGCCAGGCTATCTCCAGTCCTTCCCTCATTACTTTCTGTAAGGCCAGCAAGTGAAACCAAGAATGATACACACATGCAAGTCTGGGACTTGATCTGTTTTTGTATCTCCCGCTTTCATGTAAAACTTTCTAGATGGTTTTTTTTGCTTTTTTTTTTTTTTTCCCTCCATTTTAACCACCTAATATAATTACTAATTAAAACCTGAAGCAACAGTTACTATTGCACTTGACCAGAAAGGTTGTTAAGGGTTTCTCAAGTATTATCTCAAGGAAACAAACCAAGCTTTCTGCAGAACTGCAAATCAGTTACCAACGCTACCTGAAAACTAGATGCTGCAATAGCTTACACTCATTACCAAAAACAACGTGCTGTGCCTTACAAGTTCACATCCTACCTGTCACTTTTGAGGCCTGACATTCCCTTCACCTGCAGCTGTGCTCTCAACTTGGCACCTTTCCCTACTTTGCAGCCACTGACTGCAATGCAATCTACTGACAGTACTGTCCAGCTTTTGAAAACAACAGCCACAGCTCCTTCTCTGGCTTCATTGTTAATTAAGAAGGGAAATTTTTTTTGGTAACAGCTTGGCAGTTGGAACAACAGTTCAGAACTCTTGTTGTTTTGAACTGGAAATAAATTCTTTCAGGCTCATCAGATGGATTTCACACAGGACAGCATAGCCACAAGAATCTTGCTTGTTCTCAAGACAACTACATCTCAAGGCCCTTCTGTTGCTCCCTGCTGTAGCACCAGCCTTCCTCTCAACTGTCACAGCTCTGTGAGTGCAGAAAAAGCCATAAAGCAAATGGGCAGTCTCAGCATGGGTAAGAAAAAGAACCTGAGAAAGGAAATAGAGGCCAACGTGCAGTCAGACAGAAGGCAGGACCATGGGTAAAAGCATCTGCCAGGCAGCCACAGCTTGGAGTCCTAAAGAATATCCGCCTGTGGCACTCAAGCAACTCTACCTTCTGAAAGGCACTCTTAGCATGTTATGAGGTGATGGTGCAGACCCTCTCTACTGTTCAAATCTATTGCTGTGGTGGCCTACTGAAAACTTGAGAAGAAGAAATAGTTGCATCTTCTGAAAGCTGTCACCAAGGTGTTTAGTCACTGGCCAAAATGCCAGGAACAGGCACCGGAACAGATCACCTGGTCCTGAAAGAAGTCAGTAAGACACAGGTAACTGACACAACAGCAAAACCAAGCTCACTATCATCAATACAAACAGTACAGGGAACAATGAGCTAGCTGTCAGGCACACAGGCAGAGCAGTTATCAGCTGATCTGGTGCACAGCAACGGTCCCTGCTGTCACTGAGCTAGAAAGCCAACTGCAAGAACAGTCTTAGCCGTTCCATTGTGAAGAAACCTACTTCAGCTCCTTGGCCTTGTCACATCTCGTACTTGCAAAGAAATCCTACCTCAGTCATAGACTGCAGTATGGAGGAGTGTGCCTGCACACAGGCATTTAACAAAAGACAAAAGCCACCAAGACCTGTCTCCTGTCTTTGCAGCCTCCACTAAACACACCTGAACAGCATGCTACCGAAGGAACATCCAACAGTGATTGAGAGTGGCAAACTATCATTTTTCCAACCACTTCCCACTCTACCCCAGCCTTCCTTCAGCAAGGCATAAGCCTCTCTTTCAGGCAGCACCACAGCCCACCCGCCGCCCCTCTCCGCCCTCCTCCAACCCACAACGCATGTCAGAGGTTTCCCACAGCCGGGGGCCGTTCTACACCCGACGCCTCCCAGCGCTCGGCGCCGCGATGCGGGCAGAGCCGGGCGGGCCCGCGGCAGCCAGCGCGGAGGCACAAACGAGCCCGGCTCCTCCCGCCCGCGGCGCCGGGTCCCCGCACGGCCACCTTCGGCACCTCAGTCTCCCCGCGCCGAGCCGCCTCTCCCCGCCTCACCTTCTCGCAGAGGCTGCGGACCTGGCTCTCGCTCAGCTGCCGGCACTCGTTCAGCTGCTCGATCCACTGGTCCAGCTCCTTGGCGAAGCTCTTCTCCTCCATGACGGCGCTGCCGGCCGGGACCGGGCCCTTCGCACTGGGCGCCCGCGAGGGCCGGGCCCGCCTGAGGCTGGCGGCGCAACGGCGGGGGCGCGCGGCCTGCTGCGCTCCCCGGAATGGCGGCCCCCGGCCCTGCGCACTTCCGCCTGCCTCCGCCCCCGCCTGCACTTCCGGTCCGCCACTGAGCCTGCGCGCGGTTTCGCGCCGCGGCGTAACGGTCGCCGCCCGCCTGAGGGGTGGCCCGGCATCGTGCCCGGGGGAGCCGCTGCCGTGTAGCAGCGCCGCGGAATCGCAGGACGCCGCGAACACGGGGTACCTCGCCTCTGCTGCTTCACTGTGGGCGGTCGCTCTGCTTCGGCCCGACTGGCCGAAACGTCTCGCCTTGCAGACCGGAGTCAATAACGGAAAGCAAACGCGGCTTGCAGTCTCTGGAGCTGTGCGGCACCTTTGCGGGGTGCGAAGTCCCACCGAGCCCCCGGTTAGGCGCCGCCCCGCTGCCGCAGCGGCCTTGGCCTCGCGGAGAGGTGAGACTGCCCTCTGGAACCGGAGCGCTGAGGCACTGCGGGTAGCGCAGCGCTGCGTGCCCTTCTGCAGAGGAGTTCCTCAGCACGTGCTGCTCCTTGGAAATGCGGAGTAACGCCATAAGACGGCCCTGTCTTTTGGCTAGCTGTGGTGCACGTTAAACCACGCCGTGTATTACAGTGTCCTTTCGTTGTGTCATCTTAGGGGCAAGCGTGATCAGGACTGGTGTGCATGTGCCCTTATGTACCTAACACGGCATCTCACGGCCAGCTCTAGATCACTGCCAAAAAACGTACTGTGTACTGCAGTGTACAGAACTCCTTGGATCTTCTGTGTTTTTTGGGCACAAGTTTCAACATTCTCCTCGTTGTAAATAATGCTGACAGACAACATGCAATTTCCTCAGTTTCCACGGGCTGAAACAACCAGAGTTTCTGAAATTCACTTTCCCTCACGTGAAGCTGGAAATCAAGGGGTGTAGCACACTGTGCGCCTTTAATGAGCTTTCCAACTAAAAATACGTTTAGCAAAAGAGTGATATATTTCCAAAAATACAATTTTTTAGTTGCTCCTAAAGGGCTTCTGCCATTTCTGGACTCACAAAAGGTGCTTTTGTGAGCTGTGAGCAGCTTGGAAAACTCAGCCAAGAGAGCCCCTGGACTGCTCATCAGGCTGCTGAAACCCACTGGGTCTTCCATACTATCTTGCCAAAAAGGAATCCTGAGGGTATTTTACTTCTGAGTCTCATAAATTAAGACTTAAGCAATCAGATACATAAAGCATTTGTAATGCTTCCAACTTGGTCCTTGGTGATGACACCAGGGGCAGCTTAACTTCAGTGTGATACACACCTTGAAGATCTTTTCCACCTGGACCTGATGGCTCCACGCAATAAAGAGGTTGATGCTGACATGCTGGAAAGAGGTATGCACCTAGGAGGGGTCCATCCAGCTCTTCCAGAAGGTCCTGCTGGTGTGGTATTCTCCTCAGCATTGTATCTCCTCCCTGCGCATCACTCGTGCACAGTGGGGCCCCTCACATTCACACCCCATGTGGCATGGGCACTCCCTGGTACCCCTAGCACCTGATACAGTCTTGCATATGTCTTCTGCAGTGGCTCTGCTGAGTCCCAGCACCCCTGTGACAACAGTGGGAGAGGCAGTATTGGGGGGTTGTACTTGAGGGAGCAGGAGAAATCATCTGAGGAAACAAATATGCATTATTTAGGGTGGTGTGAGGATGCTTGGCACACCCGGGGACTTAGCAGAACTTGTTGCCTTCCATTTGAGGCTACAGGGAGATAAAGGGGCATTTTGTGGGGCAGGAACAGGCACTGTTCTTTTAATTTCATCTACTCACAGACTGGATTCTGTACCTGAAGATGCATGGTTTGCAACCACTTGTGAGTGCTGCCTTCCTTTGTACAATCTCTAGTAATCAATCTAGTAAAAAATGCCTTGTTAACGCGTGGCACTGAAAAACCAAGATGGTGCTGTTCACCTTTCTAAGGAGAAAGAAAGATTTTGCTACATCTCCTCCTGTGAACATCATTAGATGTCCACAGCTTTTGGCTGCTGTTTTTGGTGACGACATCACGATAAATTGTTTCCTTCTCAAATGCAAAACACCGACATCAGAAATTACTTAACTTCAATGAATACATTAATAACTATTTAATCTCTTAACTGTACTTAAGTGTACTGAAATGCAGTGATTTTTCTGTTGTACACTTACCATTTTGAAGGATGTAATTATGAAAGACTGGTGAAAGAGGACATAAGGTTGAAAAGCCCTGGGGAGAAGATGTGAGATAACCAAAAGAGATAGATTTATATTCTGGGTCTTGGCTAAAATTATTGCCCCTCACAGGCGGACACATTTCCCTGTCTTACTCACAGGAAGCGCCCACATGGGAGACACTGTAAGGGCAGCTCTGAGTGACTGAACCCTGAAACAGCCGTACTGTGCATCAGGCAAGAAGAATCAGACCAGACAGTTCAGACTACACAAGTAAGCAAATTTATTTTAAGACAGAACAAATATTGTGGCAAACAACAATATGCAAATTCAGTTGGTAACAGGGGTAAATATCAGACTTTGTTTTCAAATAGATATAAAATATATTCAGATTTTGTTTTGTCCAGAAAGCAGCTCATGTGGGGGGCTTGGAATGGGAAGGGTCTGTCCACACTATCCAACAGCCCATAAAGCCCCAGAACCAACAGTGACTCCTCTGCCAGTGGGGCTGCATGCGTGGGCTCTCCCCTCACAGGACAGAGGTGCCTGTTGGGACTCCAGCTCCTCTTCAGTAATTCCCTCCCTTCTGGTAAAAAGACAATTCTTGCTACAGACTCCACTTTTGGTTGTGGAGGAGTTGGAGCAGCACCACAGTGTCCACCTACCTGGGGATGGAGTGGTCACAGGTGTCCTTTTTAGGCACAGACAAGCACGCAGAGAGCTGCTGGGGAGGCAGCTCACCACCAAAGGCAGAGGAGTCACAGTAAGTCCTGGCCCCATGCTCACCATGGAGAAAGAGGACAGGATTGCCTACTGGAGCACACGGGCGGCTGCGAACCAAGGGGGAGAGAGCTGCTTTCTGGAAAAGCCATCCCAAATAAAAGCACACATAGAAAACATTAGATTGTCAATGATGCTTTGAAACAAATTCAAGTTTATCATTTAGTGTGTGTGTGTTCACTTCGTACAAACAGAGGAGAAATACTGTGAAACTTCAAGCTCTGGTCAGCATGTCCTCAGTTAGTGTCCACAGAAGCACCATAAGGTATGGGAGAGTTAGCACCACAGAGTTGTAGGACCTAACTGATAACATGCATCATTGTTGAAAAACTGGGGACATGGAGATCCATGGGGGACATGGTACAGTCCATTAGAAACAATACAAGGCAATTTATGCGTCGTCATACAGTACAATACAGTCACTGACCAACCAACCCTTTGAGTACAGTACGGAACATGTAACACTTTGCACCCTGTTAACACTAGGGGACTAAGAGACTCTCACACTTTTCTTTCCTTCTGGCCAATTCTGGTACCAAAATGTGCAGGAAGGATGAAGAGCTTGACCCTTTCCTGACATGCTTCCCAGGATCTGCACGTCAGGAGAGACGGGTCCTGACAGCCCCAGAAGTGCTCCTTACTTCTGGCATAGTGAGAACAGGGTTAATTGAAAAAGTGCTAAATTACAGTACATTTGCATTTTTATATGTCAACTACTGAACAGCGAAACAGATCGTTTGAAAACAGAATTGGTATTGTACAGTAAGTTCACACTTAATTCTTCACCGTTTCTACACTTGTAACACATGCATTTTATTTCCATTAGTGTGATTCCAGTAGTACCAACATCCTTCAGAACAATGATCTAACATTAAACAAAACTCCCTAAGAAAAATACTGAGCATCACATAAGTTCCAGAAAAATCTGTTAATCAGCATCACAATGTACTCAGATTTACATCTAGGGTTCTTCATGCCATGAATTTAAAACACCTTTTGGTTAATATCCTGAAAACAAATCAAAACCCCCCAAAATAATAATAACAGTAATAATAGTAATAATAATAATAATAATAATACCACAAAAAGAACAGGTGGGGAAAAATAAATTCTCTGTCTGTAGGTTATATGTGCACACACATACATGCACACATACACATTGATGGGTGCACAGGTGTGTGTGCATTTGGAGACTGCTTCCTGCAATGCACAATTAGTTCGATAAACTTGACTCATTTCAAGGTCATTCACATGGGCCAGGAAATACTTTTGGGAAAGAGCTCTAAACTATGGAAAGAAATTAAAACTGTCTCTGCTGGAGAGAACGAAAAGGTCAGTAAAACATCGTCCGTGTGCCATTTCAATGCACTTCCCATGAGCTGCCTCAAACCCAAGCAACTGAAATCCCCTAAAAGAACCGTCTTCTGCTTAAAAGGTCCTTCCAGAGAAAGAGGTGCTGTGCTATGCATTACATTCAGGCCTTATGTGTGCCGTGCAGCAGAAAGTGCTTAACTTTACCTTCCCGAAGGACGAGATGCCAACTCGGAGGGGCAAAAAACTACACCTGTGGAAAAAAAACACAGAGACCTGTTCTGCGTCCCTCTTCCTTGCCAGCTTCCTTTCCCCAGAAGGAAAGAAAGCTCTCAGTTCCCCAAAGGATGACAGAATGTCGGCTCAAGTATTGAAAAGCATCCCATTGTGTCCCAGCGCCAGCCAGAGGGGCCAAGGTCCTCTGTGAGCCTTTCTGAGAGGCTGTCCTCTCATCAACTAGCGCCTGGGTACTGAGAGAGCACCTGAGCCGCTGGATGCTAGTTCTTTAAAGCTAGATTTGCAGGGTTAATTTGGCCAGGAGCGAAAAAAGTCTGGAATCTATGTACATTTCCACTTTAAAATCACACAATGGAGAATATAAAAGCATAACGCTTTGGGCTGCTCAGATCTTGTTGCTTTTTAACCACTTTCAATTCTGAATGAATACCCAAACCCATAAAGCTCTATTGGAGAAGAAAGCCTAGGTTGAACCAAAGCAAAAGCAGCTGGTCAGGACAATACTTGATCTGCTGAAACAAGCAAAATTATCACTTTTTTTTTTCCACTGGAGGTTATTTCCACCACAGCTGCTTGCTAAAAGTGAAGGAGAAGACCTAACTCATCTCCCTTCAAGCAATTGACTGTGCTGATGGAGTTTTGCCCCCTACTCATGTCACCAAGGAGCAAATCCGATCCAGAAGCATTGCCAAGGAAAGGCTCCAATGGAAGGGTTCCCTTGTGGGCCTCATGCGTGATACCTCATTGGGAAGGATACACAGAACCCTTGCAAGCACCATGGTTTACTTGTTGCTGCAGTAAACCCATGATGGCTTTTAGAGAAGCAAAAGACAACAGTGGGTTGAGAGGGTATGGTTTGGAATATCAAAACCTGGAAAATGGTGCATCCTGAGGATCATCACCCAGGTCCAAATACTAGAAAATTATGACTTTGCCATTTGGGACAAACTCTATCCCATTGATTTTTTGCTGGAGAACTGGCAACTCAGGCCCCACACCAGCCATGCTGAAATATTGCAGGAATCTAACAAAGATAGGAAAGCACATTGACATGGCTTCTTGCCATGTGACTTGCTAAGCTCCTAATGCTTCTCTCCAATCTCAACAGCAAACCCAGTGTTTATATGCTCCATCGTCTAAAACATTTGCAAATCCTTTACTTTTTTTTTTGTAGTTTTAGCCACAACGATCCCAACAGCACTTTCAGTACAGGCACAATGATGGCATGTATTGCAATGGCTTGAGCGCAGTTGTTACTGATACCTGCATCTACAAGCAGTTTCAAATTAGCTTTCCCACTGACCCAACCCAACCTGCTGCTGCAGACTGGGTTCTCCTACCAAAACCGAGAGTATCTGCCACGCACTCTTAGCTTTGGTTCTGTTTCACATCCTGCTGTCTGTGCAAATCAAAGTGTCAATTATACCATCTTGCACTATCCCAATCCCTTTTGAGATTTCTCCTATATCTTTGGTGTTAAAAACAACCATGCGCTTGGTTTTCTGATTGACCTCAAAGTTTACAGCAACCACATCTGCTTGGATGTCAATGATACAGATGTTCAGTCTATTAGGTAAAAACAATCTTTGACGGTTTCATTTCTCTCATCTATAAAATTGCTAAGAGATATGCAGTGGAAATTAGGCACCAGACAGTGGTCACATACACCTCAAAATTATCTTCTGATGGCCCCTAGGTAATTAATGCCGTGCCTAAGAGACTAAATAGACTGGGGGAAAAAAGTGGTTCAAAACTCAGTGCTAATAGTACTTACAAAAGTGCAGTGCTCAGTATAATCAGAAGCAAAGTGACCACTAGTACTTAAAGTGCTAGTTTTAAAGTTTGTTTGGTTCAATGTCCAAAACATGGGGAAAACACGTGTGATAGCTAGGGATGAAATCAAAACCAGATGGCACTGCTACTGTACATGCCACACCAAAAGTGCTTCAAATCACACCATTTCAGGGATGCATAACGCTACGGGTCAGCTTGTGAACACATACAAGCAAACAACTGACACCTTTTAGGTTACGATAAAGAACAGCTCCATTAACTCCATCACTATGAACCGATTCAGAAAGCAAAGGGCCACAGCATACGAAAAAAACAAGAGTCTCTCAGAACAGGTACAAGTCTCTGCAACTATGATACTCAAAGTCTAGCAAAAGCAACCCTGGGAAGCTGCTGAGTGTCTGCAGCAGGCTTCACCAATGCTATCATGCAGTTTACAGAGGAGTCACGCTGCAGACTGCCTCCTTTTACAAGCTATCATACAGTTAGCCTATTTATGTACTTATTGGTGGTTTGTTTCTATACTTTTATACTTGCGCTTTCTGACTACGTGTTAAGCCGGCTTTTCTCTCTTCACCACCCTAATGGTGAAAGGACAGATAGTGCAAGAACAAGACAATGAAATGTTGACAGTAAATGTCAACGTTCCTAACATCCGATCTTCATTTTCATGAATGAAAACATCCCCAAGAAGGACTTTGGATATGCAGACATCACTTTCACATGTCTAGCATGCTGTAACACACAGCTGGGCGACTACAAGACAGGAGACACGCAAGAAGGAAGGAAGCTGCAGGAAGATAGGACCAGGCAGTCAACATGTCTGCCTCCACTCAGCTCTGCATGCTCCTTGAAGGAGGCTAGGCGAGGAGAACTCTTCCTGACAGAGGCCAGATGCTGTTCTTTCTTCTCCTTAAACACACAAGACGTGCTGCATGCTGACTTCTGCTTCTCTTATTCCAGCTGTTGGCTTTTCTCCCTCTGAATAACCATGTTGAGCTGAAAGCCCAGACAACCTAGGGCAGACCTACGAGGACCAGGCAGCTAAACTGAGGGGAGTATGAAAGGACAAGTAGAAAGCTGGAGTAGCAGGACCTCAGGAGAATAAACAAACTGTCGAGCTTAGATGTCTCAAAAAGTTTCAGCAGGAGCCT